ATTCAAAATCATCCCCAGATCAAAATAACAACAATCCCTCCCCTAATTACGAGGACATTTGTGTAAATAATTCATGTCATCTTAACCTATATGATCAACTGAATAAAATTGGTGAGGCTATTGATCGTTTATCCAGTCAATTACAAGTTTTAACCAAGTCCCATGAACATTTAAAAGAAAAAGTTAACAAAATTAATACAGATGAAGAAATTACTATTAATCAATCAACACATATTACCAATAATGACTGCTTTCAATACAACAACAGAAGAATTAAACCTTTAGACTATAAACAAAATGTTCTTATTGGATCTTCATTATTTAAAGGAATTAATGTACGATCAGTTGATAACACCAATTCTACTGAAATTAGAACAATGCCCGGTGCCTGTATTGCTAATGTGATTGACTATTGCCATTTTTCTAATACAGTATTAAATATTATTTTTCTAATTGGCTCCAATGATTCAAGTAATTCCCCCTATATAGACTACACAAGATCCCAATATAAATCCCTTATAGAAAAGTGTCATCTTAAATTCCCCAATGCAGTCATTAAATTCATCAAGCTTCTACCAAGAAAATCCAACAAAGTAAATAGTGTCATAAACAGAATTAACAACATTCTTTATGATGTTTGTAAACAATATACCAATGTTATTTTCTTAGATCATTATGCTCTATTTTATGATTTTCCTGCTCAATTCTATCAAATTCACTTGTATCAAAGTTCCACACATTTAAATGCCACCGGTTGTAGATTACTAAGTGCTTTTATTTGTAATAATCTTCCTAAAGTTAAGCACCATAGTGGTTACTATTCAAGATTCTTTTAACATGTCACAGCCATGTAGCAGGCCTAATATTGTAATTTTCATTACTCGCATTTGGTCTTAATTGATATTAATTAGTGTATTATCTGTGTCTAGTCACATAACTGTTCTTATTGTGTGTATGTTATATTTTACAGTTTACAGTTAGTTATTTATGAATACAGTTCTTACTAAGAAAGGACTACATGTTTCTCATTTGAATGTCTGTCACTTTGTAAACAAACTATCTGAACTTAGCATTTTTATTCAACAATTTGATATTTTTGGAATATCAGAATCTCATTTACATAACTTAGATGTTAATACTTTTGATTTAGCTATATCTGGATTTAGTTTACCTTATAGAAAAGATGAATGTAACTCAAGTCATTCCAGAACTTTAGTATATATTAAATATCACCTCTCAACTAAAAGAAGGGATGATTTAGAAAACTAATATTGAAGTTATTTGGTTTGAAGTACATTTTACTAATTCTAAACCACTATTATTGTGTAACTTATACCGAAATCCTTCTTCCACTAGACAATGGCTAGATTCCTTTACTATTATGTTAGAAAATGCCTGGAATTGTGACTATGAAATTTTACTATTTGGTGATATAAATATCGATATAAGTAATAATCAAAACCTATATTGGCCTGATCTACTTTCACTTTATGGTTTATATCCAATAATTACTACACCAACTCGTATCACCAATTCATCTTCTACTATTATTGATCACATTTTTGTTTCCTGTCCTGAAAATATTACAGAAACCTCTGTTCCAACCTATTCAATTTCTGATCACTATTCAGTATGCTGTACATGGAATAAGAAAGGTACTAAAATCACTAAAATTGGTCACACTTTTATTACTTATCGCTCTTTTAAATCATTTAATAAAGAGGCTTTTCTGCAGGATGTAGACAATGCTCATTTTTATGTTTATGAATTTAATGATCCTGATCTTGCCTTACAAAGTCTTTATTCTACATTACAACCTATTATAGACAAACATGCTCCAATTAAGACAAAAAAAGTTAAAAATTATTATAAACCCGATTGGCTAACTTCTGAAATATTAACATTAATTCATAGAAGGGATAAGTTTAAGAAAGTAGGTGATATTGCCAATTATAAAATATTAAGAAATAAGATTAAGTCTAAAATAAGGGATAATAAGAAAAAGTGTCTAGAATCTTTAATTAAAGATAGAAAAAACAGTAAATCTATTTGGAAAGCCATTAATACAGCTAAAAGTGAAGGAGGTAATAACAATACTATTTCAGATATTAGTGCTGATGATTTTAATATTTTCTTTATTAATGCTGCATCTTCCATTATTCCGAATTCTACTACTCAACTAAGTAATGACAATTCTAACTTAATTTCTAACTTTGTATCTGAGCATATTGATAATAAGACATTCTGTCATGTTCCATATATGACTATAAATCAAGTATATAAACTGCTCTCTTCTCTTGATCCAACTAAATCTGTAGGATTAGATAGACTTGGTCCTTTCTTCATCAAACATGCAGCCTATTTTTTATCTGATTCATTAACCTATATTTATAATTTTAGTATTGATAAAAATATATTTCCTTCTTCTCTCAAACATGCTAAAGTTTTACCATTATACAAATCTGGTGCTAAAAATGATCCTAGTAATTATAGGCCAATATCTATTTTACCTACATTATCTAAACCATTAGAAAAACATATTTCTCAATCCATTAATTCTTTCCTTGAGAAATATAACTTGCTTTATTCAAATAAATCAGGATTTAGATCCAATAGCTCTTGTCAAACGGCATTAACTAATATTTCTGATAACATTTATCATGCTATTAATAATAATCTGTATACAGGTATGGTATTTATTGATTTCCGCAAAGCCTTTGATTTAGTAAATCATAATCTTCTACTTCAAAAACTGAAATTATATAATTTATCTTGTACTCTTATTAAATTGTTAACTTCCTATTTATATAATAGACAACAATGTACCAGTATTGGACAAACTTATTCTGCCCCTGCTATGATAACTCAAGGTGTTCCCCAAGGTTCAATCCTTGGTCCTTTGTTATTTAATTTATTTATTAATGATCTACCTTTACATTTACATGTTAATAGTGATTTATTTGCTGATGATACTACTGTCTATTTCTCATCTTCTGATGTTACTTCATTAATTACCACACTGCAAAATGAAACTTCTATTATTCAAAATTGGTGTTCCACAAATGACATGGTAATTAATGAAACCAAAACTAAAACAATGAGTATTACACCTTCTTCAAATTACTTTCAACAAAATTTCAAATTCACATAAATAATTCACCTTTAGAAAATGTCTCTACATTTAAACTTTTAGGCATCATTTTTGATGAAAATTTCACTTGGTCTCCTCATGTTGATCATTTATCTAAGCTTCTTCGACAGAAAAATTTTCAATTACGCAAATTAAAACAGTTGCTTCCTACTGAAGTACTTAAATTGTTCTATTTTGCTCATATTCAATCTCATATAAATTATTGCTCCACTATTTGGGACTCTTGTTCAATTACATCTATATCTAAACTTGAGAGACTTCAAAAATTATCCTTTAAATTAATTTACAATAGACCTATCTCTGATCATTCCTTCTCATCTAATTATCAGTTTTTATCTTCATCCTTAAATCTTCAAACTATTTATCAAAGACTTTTAATTAACAAATATATTTTTGTTTATAAAATTATCCATAAACTTTGTCCATCATATTTATATAATATTTTTCATTATAACACCACTCCATATTCATCTCTCAATAATAGACTTTCTATCTGTAGACCTAATAATGAAATATTTAAATGTAGTTTACAATATAGAGGCACAGTGCTTTGGAATTCTCTCCCATATTCACTTAAAACTATTAAAAATCTTCATTTATTTAAGAAAAATATCACTAGGCATGTTATTTCTTCTTCTTAACCTGTAGCCTATATTTAATATATCAACTACTTACTACATATTATCTATCATATTACTTTTAGTTTTGAAGTTAAACTATTTAGCTTATCAATATATATTTGAATGTTTTGTGTGTGAGTATTTGTTAAGTGTCTTGTTCTGTTACTGTCTTTTTCATTTCTTTGTTATAAAGGGCAAAATTGTAAACAGGCTCTAAGCCTAATTTTTCACCTTTGAAAATAAAGATATTATTATTATTATTATTATAAAGCAAGAAGAATAAAACGATCTATAAATAGATTACTGTCACTGTTAGGCCAGGAATACCGCAGCCAATTGAATGCTTGAATGGGAAGATAGTCCGGATCATTTAGTATTTGTTAAACTGTTTGAACTTACAATACAAGACTTGAAGACCGCATCTACTTACTTTCGCTGCACATGATATTTGAGAATTTTCTTACACAAGGTCACAAGTAGACGCTTTTTAAACATCAACGGTTGTATTTAATGTTTATCCAAAAAGGATGTTGTTTTGTTCATTTTAATAAATTTTATATTATAAAAAGAGCAAAGGTTAAAGTGTACGAATAAAGCAATTCTCACCCACAATTCTTACTCACACTGTAGTCAGCTTTAATGAATTTATATTTAATTTATTTAATAGCAAAGTGACATTATTATTAAACATGCATTATGCAAGAGCAAAATCTGCTTATTCCAAGTCTTTCTTTAGGCCTGAAATGTTATCAAAATTATCAATTAGACATTAATTAAATATCCAGACCATAATAAACTCTCGATGTCAAGGCTAGCCTTCGATGTTGGCTGGATTAGATTCCTATATGCCGCTAACGGACATTGATAATTAAATTTAAAAAAAGTGGATGATCGAGACTATGCTGTTTATATTAATTATTTTAGTAATGATGACCGAGACTATGCAAAAATTTCACCTGCTTCTTTCTCGGCTCATAGTGGATCAGTTTGACTGAAATTTTCAGCAAATTACCTTTAGACTATCTAGTTTTTAACTATTATAGCGAGAACTGCCATCTCTTTATCTTATCTCCCATAATGTATCTTTAAATATCGCGATATATAACTATATTGTTGAAAAAAATGCCAATATCGATATCGTCCCTTTTTGCAATATCGTACAGCCCTAGATTCAAACCCCTCCTTCAAATTGATGTGTCATTTTATGGCTATTTTTTGTTTAACTCCAGGTCAATGCAGGAAATATCCAGATACATAAACATGAGAATTTCCTGAAAGCAATGGATGAATTTGAACTGGAATTATTGAGTATGGTACGACATCATGAAGAGTTAGCTAACAAACAATACGATGCACCCTCACAGTCAAATTCTGGTGAAGCTATTTCTGTTTGATGATCAACTGATGTTTTATTTCTACAACTATGTTTTTATTGACAAAAATATATGAACATTTTTCTTTATTGGAAATTGTCCTAACTAGCTGGTGACTTAATTGTACATGTATTCAATTCATGTCACGTAACTTGCTGTCTTAAAGGGCAACCAAATAGATAGTCTATGAATATAATAAAAACTCTATATCCTTGAAGGAATATATCCAAACAACTGCTGGGAAAGTGTATCATATTTATATTTATCAAGATATTTCAAGGGAAGATATTTTCACCTTCGAAAAATTCACCACCATTATTTAGTTCACTTGGAAGATGATCAATCAAAGAGTATCAGGGTTACCGTGCAATGTACAAGTAATAAGAGTGCCAAGATATCAAGTTTCATTTATTTTGGGTAATTAAGTGATTTGAATCTGCATGTATATGATTTTGTCCTGGCCATTAGAAATATTTAAATGAAAAAATAAGTTCTGCAGTTTGAACATATAACCTAATTATGTTTTTTCAAGGCAATATTTATATTAGAAGACTGTCATTAGAATTGAAGCACAAAATATTTACATGTATATAGGAATGGCCAGACTTAATTCAGAACTTAAAACACATGAAATTAACTGTTTGAGGTGTACCTAAATTACCATTGTTATTTATTGAATTAAGTTGTGATAAAATTTGTAAACCTTTTGGGGGAGATGGATGGCCGTATGGTTGGCACGCGCTGTATCATACAGTCTGTCATTGAGTCGACTGGCGGGGTTTCAATTCCCCGGTTGTACGTGACAAGGGGTAGGGTCGCCTGTCCAACCTCGTGGGTTTTCTCTGGGTCCCCCGGTTTCCGCCTACTGCTAAAGACCCCTACACGCAAGTGAATTAATGAAATAAAATTGAACCATGTGTTCGTCCCGAAATGACCTAGTTTGTGTTGAGTGGACGTTAAACCCCATTTCTCTCGCTCTCTGTAAACCTTTTGGATATGATCATTTATTAAAAGGTAGATTTTTACGTGAAGTTATGGTTAATTCTTTTAATAACTGGATTTTTAAATATGTAAATAAAATTGAAATATTTGATATACTTGCCGTTTAATAGAAATTGTAAATACTGTATATAAAAAAAGTAATTATATATCTTAATATTTTAGTTTTTTTATTTCATCAATTACCATTTTTAATGTTAATTTTTATATGCCCACATTTCAGTGTGAGTGTATTATGTCAACACCTGCTTGTTAGTCTGTCCGTTAACAGTTGACTTTTTCAAAAGGATTGAGCAATCAAACTGATTATCTATACTTAGATGGAAAACATGCTATACACTGTACCTCAATTAGAAGGAGAGTTGTTGTATTCCAAAGTCTCGACCAATCAAATTACTTATCGCTCTGCTTACCCTAAGCAGAAAATGCTCATTATCGAACTTAGTCAAGGTATTGATGTAATGAAGTTTACTCACTCTTACTTAATTAGAACTAAAGTTATCATGTCCCAAGGCATCAGCCAATCAAATGGCTTATCTCTGCTTACTCTAAGCAGAAAATGCTCTTCTTCGAACTCCATCAAGGCATTCGTCTAATGAACACCTACACAAAGTTTGAACATTGTTCCTCAATTAGAAGGAGAGTTATTGTGTCCCAAAGTCTCGACCAATCAAATTGCTTATCGCTCAGCTCACCCTAAGCAGAAAATGGTCATTATCGAACTTAATCAAGGTATTGATGAAATGAAACTATACACCAAGTTTCATCACTGTCACTTAATTAGAACTGAAGTTATCATGTCCCAAGGCATCAGCCAATCAAATGGCTTACCCTAAGCAGAAAATGCTCATCGTCGAACTTCATTAAGGCATCCTACACCAAGTTTGAACATTGTACCTCAATTATTGTATCCCAAAAAGTATGACCGACAGACAGACTCATTTTAATAGTCTCCTGCTTTCTTCGAAAGACGGGGAACAATAATGGAAATTGTTGAAATGAAAAAAGCTTCATCTCGTATATAAATTTAAACGATTGGATGATAAATGTAGTCAAATAGAGTGTTCACAAAAAATTGTGGATCACAATATACGATCACATTCTATGTGTGTATACGATCACATTTTATGTGTGCGTATAAAAAAAAACCATATGCAATATTATCAAATATAGCTTCGAAACGCCTAAATTTTAAGATATTGCAGTCTGAATAAAAATAAAAGTGACTTGCTTTGATTTCACAACAAAACAACTCATGGTTTCGAATAAAGTCTCTCCTTGTGACGTAATTTCATCCACATATTTCAACACCACTGTAGGAAATGTACATTCTTTCATATAGCTATATATTAAAATATATTAATAGGGCATTATCGATATCAACAGATAATAACTGTAATCAATTTGAAATAATCAAGTACTAGACTCACCTAATTTTAGAAAATCTAAACACTATCCTATAAAATTATAGTGTTTTTACAAGATGTTCATAGAAACCTCTATAGGCTGGTAAGGGGTAGACTCCTATTAAATTAAAACTCAAAATGTCTAACTTATGACTTGACAGATCGGTCTTAAATTTTGACACATGTAGAAGTAAGATTGAAATGAGGTTTACTATCTCATAAACATACGGTAATAAATATTTTTCCCTCACCATTCGTTTCTTGACTGCGTTCAGTGATGAGTATTTTCCGCTTTTGTCCATCATATCTTTTGGAATATTATAAACCTGTAACGGTAAATCTCTTTGATCTTCTGGGTATATTCTATGCCCGGAATAACTTGCGGTCTGGAAATCGTGGGTGGCTTTGGATATATACAGGGGAATTTGGGGTTATTCTTCTGAAAATTTTTCTTTAAACCTGTACCGGGTTATTCTTCCAGGGTAGGTTTTTTTGTCCCCCGCCTTTCGAAGAAAGCAGGGGACTATTAAAATGGGTTCGTCCGTCTGTCTGTCCGTCCGTCCGTCTGTCTGTCCGTCACACTTTTTGGGACACAATAACTCTCTTCCTAATTGAGCTAGAATGTTCAAACTTCGTGTATGTGTTTATTAGGTCAATGCCTTGATGGAGTTCGAAGATGAGCATTTTCCGCTTAGGGTAAGCAGAGATAAGCAATTTGATTGGTTGATGCTTTGGGACACGATAACTCTCTTCCTAATTGGGCTAGAATGTTCAAACTTGGTGTATGTGTTGATTAGGTCAATGCCTTGATGGAGTTCGAAGATGAGCATTTTCCGCTTAGGGTAAGCAGAGATAAGCAATTTGATTGGTTGATGCTTTGGGACACGATAACTTATAATTGAGCTAGAATGTTCAAACTTGGTGTATGTGTTTATTAGGTCAATGCCTTGATGGAGTTCGAAGATAAGCATTTTCCGCTTAGGGTAACCAAGATAAGCAATTTGATTGGTTGATACTTTGGGGCACGATAACTCTCTTCCTAATTGAGCTAGAATGTTCAAACTTGGTGTATGTGTTGATTAGGTCAATGCCTTGATGGAGTTCGAAGATGAGCATTTTCCGCTTAGGGTAAGCAGAGATAAGCAATTTGATTGGTTGATGCTTTGGGATACGATAACTTTAGTTCTAATTAAGTGAGATTGATGAAACTTGGTGTATAGTTTCATTACAGTAATACCTTGACTAAGTTTGATAATGAGCATTTTCTGCTCAGGGTAAGCAGAGCGATACGCAATTTGATTGGTCGAGACTTTGGAAAACAATAACTCTCCTACTTTGATTGTCCCCCGCCTTTCGAACAAAGCAGGGAACTATTAAAATGGGTTCGTCCGTCTGTCTGTTTGTCTGTCTGTCCGTTCCGCTTATTTGTGATAAATTTATATGTGTCCTCTAATTATTTTCCTATTTCGGCGGGGGACATCAGCCTCACTGTTGGCTTGTTATCCATAAGAAAACATGATATAAGGTTTTTCTTAAGTAATTCTGGGATATTCTCATCTTGCGTACATGTAAACATAGATGGTTTATAAGCAAGATAAAGTCCTCGACTTAAGTTATGCTGGGGAAGAAAGACTTCAGAAAAAAACCCTCAACAGAAAAACCTTGGCCGGCCTCGGTTATTCTTTTTCTCTGGCTATTTTCTTGGGCAATGTGAGGTAGTAGAATTTTGCCCTGACATTGACATTTCGACTTACTTTGCCCGGACACTGACATTTCCACTTACTTTTTTTTCCCCCCAACTTCCAAGGTATCTAGGGTTAACTGGAAAGTTAAATCACCAGAAATAAAGTTGTTGACTGGCAAAGATCATCTAAGCACTAATACTTCTTTAAATGCCTTAAGACTATCTATTTGTCATCCTTTCCATAATAAAACAATATACAACTATGAATTTTTAACTAAATTTATTGGGATTATGCAACTGTCATAAATTATTGTCAATATATATTTACATAATCAACACATGAATCTTACAAATGATATATATATATATTATATATATATATATATATATATATATATATATATATATATATATATTACAGGTAATATAATCAGACATTTGTCTAAAGTTACATTTAATACTGGTATTCACCTGTTTGCATAACCTAACAATTGAATTAAGTTTCTATTATTTGTTTGAATTTTGGACTAACTTAATAGAGTAAGAGATTTTATCATTTAAATTTAATGTGGATATTTCTAATCTGTGCAGAACAGTTGCATAAGTAACGGTGACTTTACATGTATCTTACTGTTAATTGCATCATGTTGAATTGGTTACAAAAATAAACTCTTTTAGCTTTAAAACATGTTAATGATCATAGTATGGAATGTCTAGTAACTCTTTATGGAAATAAATTTATACATTTAAAAACATGAACATCCTACAACTAAAATATCTAACTATGGCCACACCAATATAATTTTCTGTTCTTCAAGGTCCTGATAATGATAAATAAGTGAATTATGTAAAAGATGTTATTATGTGAAAGATGTTTTGTATTAACATTTCAAAACTTAAAATTTGTACCTAAATTCTTTAGAACAATGCCACCAAGTTCTTTTGGATTTTAAATAAGTTTTTCTTTCTGAATAAATAAAGAAGGAAATTTTATACAGGTGTTCGTCAAGAACAGAAAATCAAATTGGTGTGCCCTAAGGTAAGGGAGAAGAGAAAACAAAAAAGGTGAATGATTAAAAACTTGTATAGAGCTAAAAAATAATTATATCAGCTTGGCAAATCAAATGTTGTTTACTTATAACTACCCTGGCACAGTTTAAATAATTATTGTTGGGAGATTTGTCTGCGTATCTGATTGACTCTTTATATAAACACAATCAGCAGGACTATAGAAGTAATGACTTTAATTCCACTTGGACAAAATGACAGGCACTATTAATTAACACTGTTCCTGACATTTTTAATAGAAACAGACAAAATCTGAACCTGTCCCTAATGAACCTTGAATCTGTGCCCCCACAGTTTCTGACAGGTGCCTTATTTCCAACCTTGACAGACTAGGGTCAAGGCAACAATAATATAATGCAATGCTTACACATTGTAACAATATGTATGTAGTAAACATAAACAATTAATACAACCAAAAGTCCTACAACAAAACAAACAAATTTATAATTTAATTAATTGTCAAACTTCATGTAGATGTAGCCATGGTGGTATAGTAGTACATACATGTATTGAATAACAAAATGATCCAAAAAAAAAAAAAAGCCTTTAATCTAATATCTACATATTTATCACAGAACTTATTAATCACCATCAAATATTTAACAATTACCCCACAATATGTAATTAAAATGGAGAAATTAAAAATAACGAACTCCACGACTTCATCACAACAATAACAGAACAATAATAATGTTTAGACAGGTGACATAATCATTAAATATAAACATATTTAGTCTCTTGTATGTTTTTGTTTAGGTTATATACAATGGCTGATGAAATAATGAGGTAAGGCCATTAGAGGTTAACAACTGTAGGTCTAGACTGGACTTTATAAATCCTATTCAAAGATTTTATTGCACATTTGTTGTTTAATTCTTGCAATGTCTATATAGTTTGTTTTGTTTGCAGTCTGCTGGTTTGTTTTGTATGTAGTTCGGTCCTTCTTGTGTATTGAGCTATGAACTACTATCAATTGGTCCGATTTATAAAATTCCTTAATTCTTCAGTGTTTTCTACATTTTCAGTAAATTAAATACTTCAACATATAGTTGGTTAAATTTCATCTCTGGGGTGGCAAAATCTCTCAGGACCCAAACTTCAAATGTTGCAATTTACCCAAATAAACAGATTAATATTGAAGTATTTACTTAAACCCAAAAATATTTTGGCCTCCTAAGTTTTTACTTACATCATTCACAATTTTGCAATGTGAGAGTGTTACAACAAGATGCCAAGATCTCCCACGGCCTATAACCACAATGACTAGGAGGTTTTGCCATCCCTTTGATGATACAGTTTACTGTTTATCTGAATGTAAAGATTTATAAATTTGAGATCGGTGACTCATTTTTAGGATGGGGGAGATGATTTTTTCAATGTCTTGAATCCTCCGATGAAATCTTTCCCGGTCCCTAGCGTATTGCTCCCATGGGCCTCTACGACATGCTCTGTAGGCAAAGGACCAAGCATACATTCGATGTACGACGACTAATTTATCTTCATCTGCAAAATGTACCTGAAAAATAAAATATTTCCAACATTAATATTGAAATCAGTGAAACTGATGGAAGTCATATTCATTCAAATTTTCGATTATAATGATTCAGAATATACATACACTGGCCACTAATGATGGGTGTGGCCACCAGTATTGAAACATCACAAGACAAGCCCAAATACAGAAAATGAAAAGTCAAACTGATACTGATGTAATATTTATTGATAATTGCCATCTTTGTTTCGAGGTTTTAGATTTTTCTGCTATTTTTTTTATCATAAAATCCCAGAACAGTGCAACCTTTTTGGATTTATTCCTGAAAATATCTATTCCCCTTCTTCATTTTAGATGGGGGGTAAATTTCCTAGAGTGCTAAAGCATATCATCTGAGCAGCTACTGTATCCAGGGCTTGAACATAGTCAATTATTTTTAGAGTTAGTTATCATCATCATCAATACAAATACAGTGACTTATTGGTAGTCGGTATGTGCTCGCAATTTGCCATCACAACTGAGTGAAAGAGCTCTATAAGATTGTCTAACAGTAACTACATGTATCTCCTAACCAAAGACACCTTTTATACTAAAGTGGGTAATGGGGAAGACCTACATATTTGACTGGTATTACCTTTTTAGTTTTATTTTCTGAGCAATTTGATTGTTCTGTATCAGTTTTATTATCTGTAGAATGAATGTTCCAAGAAATGTTGAGTGATTCTATATTATTGTTGGTTGCACTAGCACATGTACCGGTACTTTGTTTTGGTATGGTTGATATATGATCTTTAAAGTTCATGGGATTCATTAAGTTCTGGGGAAACATTTCATCCATATTTGACCAATCATTATCATCATCATCATCGTCAATACTATCCCATGAATCATCAGTTTCTGTGTCATTGTCGCTAGCCACAAACTGAAAGATGTGAGATTTTATGGGACTTTGAGCGGTCTTCACTCCAACATAAAATGATTTAGGGCTTGGAGAAGAATGAAAGCTTTCAGATTGTTTTTCTTTTACGCGACGTTTTTTGGTTTTCTTTGAGTTATCTCGAACTAAGAGAATTATGGAATGCTTGCAACCGGCACTTTGCGGAAATTCCTTACATTCAGGTGTTACCCGTGTTATGTAAGCTGTACAGATATTGCACAATTTTTGTGAATCTTTATCTTCTTGCAGAACAGAAGTAGGTTTGATTTCTTCAGACTGAATCCCACGACAGTCTTTATTTTGTACAATTCCCAGTTCATTTTTGTGTTTTTTCTTTCCGATTATGTTCAGATGGATTTTAGTGGGTGAAGGGGAGGGATGACGATTATTATCTCCAACACATGACTTAGATACCTCATGAGCAGGATTCGATTTTTCGGCAGAATGAGTACTATTAGTCTTTCCTAGTTTTTCAATGAAAGGTAAAGCTTTTCCCAGAGAATTAGATAGCTCACAACCTGGGTGTGGGGTTACACATTCAATGTTACAATTGATTTCTTGTTTAGGCTCATTGAAATTCACTTTCTGTTCACAAACTTCACATTTCATTTTTATATTCGAATTCACTTCCTGTTCGCATTTCGTGTTAGAAACTGTCTGTGGTTCACTTTTGTCATTAATAATGCTATCTTTAATGACACTGTCAATATCTTTAACGACACTGTCACTGACAGCTATCGGTTTTGCGCTTAGTTCTTTCTCCATTACCGTAGGATCACATCCAGCACTTTGAATCACAGAATTTGATTTATTATCTTTCCTTGCACCCGAACATTCAGTGTTTTTATTTGAATAATGTTTGTGTTTGCTTTTTTTCTTATCAAATTTTCTATAGGCATTTCTTTCTGCTGTTGCTGCACCATTGTTGAAGTTATTTTGGTGAAAATATCCGGAATTGACTTTAAGCCATGGTGAATCTGGATGGATTGGAGATTTAAAGACTCCAGGGGACGACGTGTGACGTACGTAAGCTTGTTTACCAAGCAAACCTTGACTAAAACTCCAATGGTTTATAAACGATGATGAATAATTGCATTGTCCTCGTGTTGACCCCTGATCAAAATCTGAGGTACCGGTAATATTCATTGTCTTTTTATTTAAAGATCTGAATGGTGATTTCTGCATCAGCTCTTGACAACCACCGACTCCGAAGCCATTTAATGGCTTTGTATGAATACCGCCACCCCTACCATTACAATAATAATATGGTTCCATAATGGGCACTCTTCGGTTTCCGAAGTTTCTTTGACTTTTCATGTTGTCTTTTTTCGTTAATATATTTATTGGCGGAGGTGTAAATTCACAATTTGGACTGGAATTTTCGGATGAAACTTCTCCAGTACTATCTAGTCTTAATAGCTTTGGTTTACTCAAAGCACTAAAAGTATTTGACAAAAGTTTAATTGGTTCAAAATTTGTCCACATTTTGAACTAATTTAATTACAATAGTGTCACTTTCACAGTTCATAAAATTTTGTGGATAAGTTCAATTTACATAGCCATAAAATTATCCCAGTAATGAGGATAAGATTGAAATACATGTAAGTCAAAAATCACATTCTCCATATTTTTATTAACGTGAAAACCACCAGCTGTCTGAAATCCTCGCCGCGTGTTTTTATCAGAAATGAACATTTTTCTGGCATTAAGTCCTCTCTTGTCACTCAAAACATTTTCTGTATCTTCTAAAACACTTATTACACTCGATACTGCTAGTTTAGACATCTTAAAACTTAGTTGGTATATCTATTTTACGTCCTTCTTGCTTGATTGTTGTAAACATGTTTCATTATCTGTAAAAATTGAAGTCATGTCGGAAGAATCTATTTTTAGAATTGACCTTTCAACAATTGAAAATGGCGCCATATAAGATGTAGTTCCTACTTTTTCTGCCTTTTTGCCTGAAGATCTTGTTTCCATTTCTCCAGTATTAATATTTTCCTTAATTACATATCTATATGAACCCTATAGCATTGTTTTCGAGAATATTCATGCTTTTCGAATATATTTCAGAGTTAACATTGAGTGCTCTGGCTTGACCTATATTCATAAATATGCCAAGATAGGTCACTGTTGAGATATTGCATCAGTCGTTTTATAAAACATGCCAGTTCATGACACAAAGCTGAAAGGCGATCACGTAGTTTTTAACATGTCCTTAATGCGTCTTAACGGATATGTGATAATAGTCACGTCAAGATTTAATATTTAAAATTGTTAATAAATATTATAACTATGTCCTTTTCGATATAAACCAATGGGGAATTTTCTTATTTTTTTTTAGGCGGATGAGAATTTTCTCGTATTACGTAGAATGTCATGTGACTTATGAATCATCCAGAAGTTGCGCCTTTAATGATAATAAACAATATATTATCTGGAATGGAAACGAATGAAATGGGGTATACGTCCTACTTTTCTGAACCAACAGGGACGACATTGTGCAGTGTGGTCAGTGCAGGGTGAATGCTAGTGGTGTCTGACGAGGAACAGTGTCCAGTCCCAGTGCATGGTTCGTATGGGGCGCAAAAACGAAGGTCCCATGGGCATGTTAATGATGTGGTGTACCGACCGGTACACACGTGCACGTATTTAAATAACCCTTGGCAGTTGGAATCCGAAATAAGAGTATGCCGTTGTACAAATTTCACCCATATAATACACTACAAGTAGGCCTATCTTAGACAGTCATTTTCAAGCGGCGTGCCATCGAATTACAACTTGTATTTACAACCACAAGTGCACGACCCTTGCCAAAATACCACTGAAAATCCCAGAGAATAATCGACCATGACAAAGTGGGTGACTGAACAATTTGGCATTGTTGAAAATTGAAAATGACTTTATATTACTCCGCAATATTCATGTAGGCTTAATTGATTCATATTAAGGCTCGTAAACAAAGAAATAATATGATGTGATTGAAGTTTGCCTAACAACAATTTAATTTGATAGCCTACAAAAATTGCTAACCATTGGGCATTCATTGATTTGAGATTGTATAGGCCCTACTTTGTGTTTAACACACAAAAGTTCATCTACTATTTAATAGAGTAATAAGCGAATAGGCCTAGAATACATTTTCCTATACCCTATTTAAATAGAAGCCTTCTCAAATTATCACATCGTGGTATTTCTTTGCAATACCGGTACACCCCCATGCTTCGGCTTTCGACGGATTACGACACCGTCTTGAATACTTGATCGTATAGCCTAAGTCGTAAAAGATATGCATAGGCCTATTATATGTATTACCAATAATCGTATTATGGTAATCTTATTAAATTGCTAAATCGCCCCATAATTATATGTGCGATCTCCAGGTCAAACCGACTGACATCAGATTTAAGAGTTGGACCAGGGCCAGTGACAAGATGACACCGTGGGGGGCGTCCGGGAGTCCTCCCCGAGAAATGCTGGTCTGTGGAGTATATCCCGGGCGGGAAGTCATATACTTAGTTATATAAGCAGTTAGTTGAGTTAGTGTCGATCTAGATTGCGGGTCTCCCTAGCTAATAATTTTAAAACCCATTGAAAATATGACACTTTGTTTCACGATTTTTGGAAAATGGGTTTTCATTATTTCTTTTCAACAAAATATGAATTTTTTTATTTCTTTGTTTTGCCACCAAATCGTCGGTCCCGGGCCCTAGGCATTTGCCTCATTTGCCCGTGAGGCGGGGTGTGGGGCACTCGGGGGTATGCCGAGTAATGTTTTTTATAAAGATGTTGGGATAAATTGATAAATAGAGGATATTTGTCGTTTTAGAGTGAATAACATATTTTATTTCATCGAGAAGCAAGAAAACTTATATTTTCACGAATGCGTAGCATGAGTGAAAATATAAACGTTTTCTTGCTTAGAGATGAAATAAAATATGTTATTCACGACAAAACGACAAATGTTCTATTTATTTTATGATTTTACAATCAGTTTAGGTAAAAACGACATGGACTACTGCTAGCCAGTGGAATAACACTTTTATTTCACTGATAAAACGCGGTTTTCCACTACTGATCATAAAATAAAAAGAAATACACCATTACTTGATCGTAAATTAGAAGAAAACCCGTGATTGTTCTGAATGTGTTCACCTAATGACGTGTGTAGGTTTAGAATCCGATTGTCAGTCCACTGTTTTGCAAAAATTGATGAATTCAAAACTAAAATCTACTAGATGTGGCTCTCGTAAAAGAACTCGAATATTCATTAATTTGTTAATAATTTTCAGCCTCTCACTCGAATGTACTAATGTTTTGTTGGCCGAAAAAGTTCCTTGTGTTTTTCCAGCGTGGTTTCCCATTGTCAGTGGTGTATAATCTGGCAATTAGGAAGATAGTCTTTCGAATGGAACGGATAATCGAGGTACCGTACAGTAGAGGAGGCCTACAATTGATAAATAAAAGCCCTTGAAAGCTGGAATTCGATAAAGGGTAACCTAGGTGGTAAAGACCCTGTCCTGGCAAAATTGCAATTATACTACACTTCATCAGCCTGGCTGGCGCTGACAAATATGACTTTAAAAAGTTGGACCCCATTTTATTTTAAATAAGGAAGTGTAGGTGTTTGAATCCCGCTCTTTTTGGAGTCTTGACAGAGTTGCTTTCCCTTTATTCACCCACTTCCGGCGAGTTATCGTTCTTTTTTAAGTCAATCACATTGACGGAAAGGTGCAACTGTCCTTGGTCGTGCCAATCCAGGCTCATCCAACACCAATTCGTCTTCTAAGATAAACTGAAGTTATAAGAAAACTACCAAAATGCCCCCTAAATTCGACCCAACCGCAATCACTGAAAGTAAGATGTCCTGTAATATTTATTTTCAGCTTTGAAAACAGCGATGTGATGCAGCGAAGAAATGGCCATGCGCCATGTTTTATAATAAGGTCTGCTTTCACTGCTGTGTTGTAAATAATTAAATAAAAAGTATTAAATATTCGATGTATTGAAAACATTATTGTCAATTATTAATGGTAATAATCAAGAAAATATTTTTTTTCACTAGTAACAATGTTGTACGTATATTGTGTATTTTTGTGAATTCAGGTTACGTGATAACAAAAAACTAACAATTGTGGGCCTAAAAATTGGCTAAATTCTTAATAATTTAGCAGTCTTAGATGTAGTTTTTAAATTAAGTTAGCAAATCTGATGCCAAGGAATATTCTCTTTGGAGAATGGAAACAAAAATAAGCTTTCAGTTTCAGTGAGGAACAAATTTATTCATGTTTGCCATCATATCATATCAATTCAATGCGTAAAATTTTACTCGATACCACTATCTAACTAATGAAATTGTGACGAATGACCTTATTTGTATGCTTATTATTGTAAGGTGTCGGGTTAGGTTTTATGGTCTACAACAAGCGTACACATAAGATCCCTTGGCAGTTGAAATTCAATTTAACAGTTTGCTGTAGTGCTGCTGACTGGGCAAATTTTCCTCAGTCATAGCACACTGGCGTATGCACATCTGAATTAGCCCAGTTGAAGCAACTAGTGGGACGTTGAACCCCATTTCGTTTTGCAGTCTAAAGTAAGGTTATACCATCAGGGTTGAGATTTCATCTATGTTTTTATAGCTACATGTAAATACTGCCTGCTGGTTTCCTAGATGTATTTAGATAATCACCAAACCAAAATCCAGTCCTGTGCTTAATTTATTAGTTGCCTAAGTTGGGATCAAGAACCGGTCGTTATCCACTTATAGAAAATACTGGTATGCCGATTAGCCGGTACAATTTTTCAGGGGTGGATGTGTATCGATATGATCTAGACTTCAGGTGTAGATAAAATATGCCTGATTTAAGTTTTCAAGAAAGTTTAAGTAATATAACCATTTATTTTTCCAGTCTTTGTCAGGGCTGTTGGCGGTGATGTACCAGCCACATCATCACTTGCTCCTAAGATTGGTCCCATGGGATTGGTAAGTACTGATAATTTGTGCTATTTTAAGTTTAGCATTGGCTTTCGCACATATTGTCAAGTTCATTATATCGACTTGTATTGCTCTGGTTTCAAAAACCAGACATACAATTAATTATGCATTATGTAAAAGTTAGATAATGTTTAAATAATTTATAAACTTGGAAGCTGGAAAAAAAGACCTGTAAAAGGCAGTTTTAGCTCTTGCATAATGCATATAAGATTTGTAGGTTGATTGACTATTAATAGCATTCAAAGGTGGTTTGGGTCACAATTTTGTAACGATGAACAATTTATTTTCCAGTCTCCCAAGAAAGTTGGTGATGATATTGCTAAAGGTACCACAGAATGGAAGGGCTTGAAAATTACCGTTAAATTGACAATTCAGAATCGACAAGCTAAAGTATCAGTAGTTCCAAGTGCAGCTGCTCTTATTATCCAAGCTTTAAAAGAACCCCCAAGGGACAGAAAGAAGGTCAAGAATGGTGAGTTCAAAATTAAATTTATCAAGTGGTTACATGTTCTGTAAAAAAAAAATGTCAATAAATGATTAATTTGGCATATTTAGGGAATGTTTCAATATTTCCTCTTAGATACATGATGTAGATACATGTACATATAGGAAAGACCTACGAGCTTCCAAATATTACCAATATCCTAAAATAAAGTCCACCCCACCCTTTTGTCTGATTGTGCAGAATACTGCTGAAAAACATTTAACTGTAATAAAAACAAACAGCACACTCAATGTGACCGGCAAAAGCCCATAACTCAACAAAATTAGACAAATATTGAATTAACAAAATAAAGATGAATAATACAGCCTTGACCTTTAATGAAATGAACAAAAGTTTACATGATTTCTTTATTTTTAAGTGAAACACAGTGGAAATCTGAGTTTAGACGATATTGTTGCCATTGCTCGACAAATGAGACCCAGAAGTATGGCAAAAACATTAACTGGTACAATCAAAGAAATTCTTGGTAAGATATTAAGTCGATTGTCTGTCTGCAAATCTACATGTATTTGCTTGCACTACATGTGCAGCATACAGTGACCAAAGTTGGTTTCTTAACGATGCATTATGTAAGATTTAGATGAAGAGCTGGCCGTTCTTGCTTAATAGTTCAAAAAGCTGATGATGCAAAATGAATATATTGAAAATTTCATTCAAATAACTTTTATTCTGAGTGAAGTTATCGATGCTTGTAGTTTGACAAGATGTCTGCATTTATTGGTTATCGTAACCACAGTGCTGGTTATTAGAGACTTAGCCTGGCTTCTCCGTTTTTAAATTGAATCAGTAAATGGCAGAAGTTCTAATCTACTTAAATCGGAACCATCCGATGTCTTAGAGAGTTGATTATGATCTTGTCATGTTAATAAATGTCAATTAATAATTTATATAACATTTTAAGACCTGCATTTTAAGGCCGATATCTCTTGAATACTATATCTTTAATTTAGTTTAATTCTATATGTGATTTCATTTGCTAGAACATGATTTGCCTGCAGTTAAAACTGTAAAGAACTATGTAATAGAAATGTGTGAGATGTTATCAATGTTATTTATGTTACAGGTACTGCCCAATCAGTTGGATGTACAGTAGAGAAAAGTCATCCACATACAGTTATAGAAAATATTGATAGTGGGGAGCTCGAGGTACCAGATGTAAGTACAGATAAATGACGATTCTTTTAATATTCTGAATTTTAAGATAAAATAAAGAATGCATTTTGATTTCTCAATATTTGCATGATGAACCTCATCTGTGTAGTAAGATACTGGACGTGTGAAATATTTGGGTGGGTAGGTGGGACTGGTAAGGCCCAGGAATTGTCTAGTAATGGATCAATAGTTAAGATTTGAATTCCTCAAAATTAAAACGGGCTGCAAACATTTATCTTGAATAATTCTTTTTCGTTTTCCATTTCAGGAGTAAATCATCAGAGTTATCAAGTAAAAGTTTGAATAAAGTTTTACTTGAATGAAATTAATCTTTTTGATTTTTTGCTGTTTTACTATATTGCACACTTGCCTTAAGTACTGTCTGTAACTTTACTTAACAATTACTGAACATGGTTGGCGGACTTTTTAAATTGAATTAATAACGAGTTGTGGTAATGGTGTGGGGTGTGTTAACGGCATAAAGCATGTTCCTGAAGCAACGACCGCGAGTTTAACAACACCATGACATAGCTAGATTGCTTGGCAATTCCCGAACTTATAGCTACTTTACCTCCCTTTACTGTAGACCAGTGAATAGTAGCGTCCAGGTTGACACAACACTCGAATCAAACATGGCGGCCATTACGAAAGCCTTGACATTGAATGAACCTTTAAGTTTGCAACTCGATTATAACAGGGTAGATATTTGAGCTGGAAAGCGCGAGACTTGGTATTGCGATGATTGAAGAATCTGATATGCTCTCGAAATGGGTCAGTATCCGATCGAAATATGCAGGGTATTACGTGAAGGGCTTGATAAGCAGTAGGGCGATCAAGCCATGTATTGAAGATAAGCATAAAGAGGTAGTACCTGGTTGGTTGACATGGAAAGATTTTTTACTGACTTTTAGATGAGATGTAAAATTGAGGTCAACTGATTCATTCTTTGGTGACCCAATCCTGGCCTCAAATAACCCAAACTAATTGTCCCACTAGCAAAATTTTGAAATGGCATCCCTGTGTTGTACCATACATGTCGTTCGAATATCAACTTAAGAAGAAATGAAATTGGGTTTAACGGCTTACTGTTCTGCTCTGACTGGGCTAATGAAGACGGACATGCACCATACAGAGATATGAGGGAAATTTTGCTCAGACAGCAGTACTAAACTGCTCTTATATCGAATTCCAGCTGCAAAGGGATCATTAACATGTATGTGCAGTACCTCGTTTTTCTGTCCCATCCAAACAACTAGACAGCTGTCCTCGCCAGGCTTGCCGTTCTGCACCACTGATAAGGGGGGGGGAACCACATCAGAAAATCGTGAATTTTCTCGGCCAATGCAGGGATTTTAACACGCTAGCCAGCATCTTAGCCACTGTAGCTCCCAACTTATGGAGAAAAGCACCCTTAGGTTTCACTAGTCTATTACCAAAGAAAGAAAACGTCCAAATGATTAATTCAAACAGATTCTAGTGCCCTCATTGAGACCACTTAAATGTGTCATGCATATTTTTTTGGGAGGTGTCTGTTAAAGATACATTATTGGAGATAAGATAAAGAAATGGCAGTTCTCGCTATAATAGTTAAAAACTAGATGGTGTAAAGGTAATTTGCAGAAAATTTCAATCAAATTGATCCACTATGAGCTGAGAACGAAGCGGGTGAAATTTTCGCATGGTCTCGGTCATTATTACTAAAGTCATTAATATAAACAGCATAGTCTCGATTATCCACTGTTGTGATTTAATTATCAATGGCCGTTAAGCGGCATATAGGAATCTAATCCAGCCAACATCGAAGGCTAGCCTTGACATCGAGAGTTTATTATGGTCTGGATAAGTTAATTAATGTCTAATTGATCATTTAGATAACATTTCAGGCCTAAAGAAAGACTTGTAATAAGCAGATTTTGCTCTTGCACAATGCATGTTTAAGTAAATACCAGTTATACAACTGTATGGAGAGTTTTGATTGGTTTATTTAAATAACCATATTTGTATATTATACAAAGTAACTATTCTACTACATACTATTATAATATACAGATGTAAAATCATCTAAATACAATGTACACATAATAAACAACAACAAGCCAACAGTGAGGCTGATGTCCCCCTCCGAAATCCAAAAATAAATAGATGACACATATTTATTAATCGCACATTTATTTTTTTCAAAAGTATCGAGCAATCAAACTATACACTAAGTTTCAGCACTCTCCATCAGATAGAATCAAAGTTATCTTGTCCCAAAGCATCGACTAATGTAAATCATTGAACTCAGCCATGACATGACAGCAGAGAATATTCATTATCGAACTAAGTCAAGGTATTGATGTAATAAAGCTATACACCAAGTGTCCTCACTCTCACTTAATTCGAACTAAAGTTATCGTGTCCCAAAGCATCAACCAATCAAATTGCTTATCCCTGCTTACCCTAAGCAGAAAATTCTCATCTTCAATCTCCATCAAGGCATTCACCTATCAGACACCTACGCCAAGTGTGAACATTCTAACTCAACTAGAATGAGAGTTATTGTGTTCTAAAATCTTGACCAATCAAATTGCTTATCTCTGCTTAACCTAAGCACAAAATGCTCATGTTCGAACTCCATCAAGACATTGACCTAATTAACACCTACACCAAGTTTGAACATTCTACCTCAATTAGAAGGGGAGTTATTGTGTTCCAAAGTCTCGGCCAATCAAATTGCTTATCGCTCTGCTTACCCTAAGCAGAAAATGCTCATTATCGAACTTAGTCAAGGTATTGATGTAATGAAGCTATACACCAAGTTTCATCACTCTCACTTAATTAGAACTAAAGTTATCGTGTCCCAAAGCATCAACCAATCAAATTGCTTATCTCTGCTTACACTAAGCAGAAAATGCTCATCTTTGAACTCCATCAAGGCATTGACCTAATAAACACCTACACCAAGTTTGAACATTCTGGCTCAGTTAGAGAGAGTTATTGTGTCCCAAAAAGTGTGACGGACGGACAGACACACCGATTTTAATAGTCCCCTGCTTTCTTCGAAAGGCGGGGGACAAAAATACAAATATTATATAATAAAGAAGTTAAATAACATTTGCAGGAAAACGGAATATGAAAATCGATTCCCTCCTTCCACTACTTATTTATGAGGGCTATCCAGTTATATATCAGCTAAATTGCGATAAAATAATATTTTATATCAATAATTATTATAGCTTGTGCCATCGTGTATTCTATGCCGTTGATTGTGTGTCAACCGAATAATTATTATCTAGTTTATATGCTAAAAACTGTATCACCAAAGGGGGATAATTTAGATAACAAGGTATTACTGTAATGAAACTATACACCAAGTTTCATCAATCTCACTTAATTAGAACTAAAGTTATCGTGTCCCAAAGCATCAACCAATCAAATTGCTTATCTCTGCTTACCCTAAGCGGAAAATGCTCATCTTCGAACTCCATCAAGGCATTGACCTAATCAACACATACACCAAGTTTGAACATTCTAGCTCAATTAGGAAGAGAGTTATCGTGCCCCAAAGTATCAACCAATCAAATTGCTTATCTCTGCTTACCCTAAGCGGAAAATGCTCATCTTCGAACTCCATCAAGGCATTGACCTAATAAACACATACACCAAGTTTGAACATTCTAGCTCAATTAAAAGTTATCGTGTCCCAAAGCATCAACCAATCAAATTGCTTATCTCTGCTTACCCTAAGCGGAAAATGCTCATCTTCGAACTCCATCAAGGCATTGACCTAATCAACACATACACCAAGTTTGAACATTCTAGCCCAATTAGGAAGAGAGTTATCGTGTCCCAAAGCATCAACCAATCAAATTGCTTATCTCTGCTTACCCTAAGCGGAAAATGCTCATCTTCGAACTCCATCAAGGCATTGACCTAATAAACACATACACCAAGTTTGAACATTCTAGCTCAATTAGGAAGAGAGTTATTGTGTCCCAAAAAGTGTGACGGACAGACAGACGGACAGACAGACAGACGAACCCATTTTAATAGTCCCCTGCTTTCTTCGAAAGGCGGGGGACAAATATAATATACTTGTAACAACTGTAGCACTGAATAAATCTTGACAGGGTTTAACATCCACTCGATGCAAACTAGGTCATTTTGGATTAACGCATGGTTTAATTTTATTTCAACAATGTACCGGTAGGTAGGGGTCTTCAGCAGTAGGAGAAAACCCAAAGGTTGGACAGGTGACTATTCAAAACCATGCCAGGGACCTTATCATCTAAAGGCCATGCGTTAAACCATTTGGTCACACATTGACTATTCAAAACCATGCCAGGGACCTTATCATCTAAAGGCCATGCGTTAAACCATTTGGTCACACATTGACATCATAAATCTCGATAATCCAGTCCTCTGGACAACTTTTAAAGGGGTAAAACTTCTAGTACCATTGCAATCTGTTTCACAGAGAATTATGAGTCTTCTCTAATATCTCTGTAAAAGATGACTGCCTTTAACACGTGCCGTCACAGCACGCGGCGGCAATCATTGGCTGAATGGTGCGTGCATTGTTTACATAAGACATCACTGCTTCGGGCAGAATGCTGCCTTTTAGTCATTTTAATACCGATTTACACTAAATAGGGAATAATTTTTACCTACAAATACGTCAAACATCTTTCTTTATTTTTCTAACACGTCAAAAAAAATGTTTTAGAATTTAATTTGTCGGTGGAAAAAAGTTAATATTTGAGACTCATTAAGTCGCATTGATGTCATCCTTATCAGTGATTGTAGCGGCCTAGTGAATATTCACTGCTGATCAGTGTGGTACGATTGTTAAAGTATAGTAGTAATAGGCTAAACTACATGTATAAGTTTTCCCAGTGTTGCACTTGACAATTTCAGCTTCATAAACTTGTCTGAATTTGACCACACAGAAATTATATCACCTTAGTAGCCCAAGACTTATAGTACAAATGGTGTATTTGTGAGTTGGTCAGGTGGTTTATTAAGACTAGGGAAATGTCAGTTCATGTTGACTGATATTGATGTGGTAGTTGTCATTCTATTGGCTTGATTCAAAACTAGGTTCATTGCAACATGAGCACAATAAATAGAAGTAAACTGTTCGATACGAACATCTAAAAATAAATATCATCACTCAACTGACAATATTCTTCGTTCTCAAGAATCCACTTCTTTTTTTCTTACTGTCTATCTGTTTTGGAAGAATCTAGGTCAGTGTTAAAAGGTAAGAAATCGGGAGCCTTTGACAATTAAATGATTTTTTGTTCGTCTTATGTACCATAGCCTTAATCCTCAATTCAGATTAAAATGGAACAAACAGCTCCTCCGTATTCTTGACGTTTTCATGTTGTCAAGAATGGTGTCTCAAATACGTCCATTGATTCTCGGGTTGACTAGGATAAAGTATGAGAATAAATTTTCAGTGGTCCTTTGTGACAAGGGGGCAGTTTCTCTTACATTACGTAGGGGATGGTGGATTGACAGCCGGGAACATTCCAAATTGACAGAATTGCAATCAAGTGACACAGAATCAACTCCTGCAACAGTTCTGATAACTGAGGCAGTGGGAGTAGAACCATATCATAACAAAACAAAGTGAATAGTTTCAGCTGTCTTGGTTTGTTGAAATATTTATTATTCAGTTGACCCCTGAAATCACTTTTTTCACTTGATTGCCATTATTCATAGGATTAAGAGAATTGAATTCCAGAACATCAAATCTAGCATCCCCATATTAAAAACCCTTTGCATAAAAATAAAACTGGACAATTTCAAATAAACTATTTCCTTTTGTTTGTTTTTTTTAACAACAACCAAAGTGCCAAAATAATCAGTGTCGAGTAGGGTGAATTTTTGGTACCGATGACTTTTCTTATTTTTAATCAAGGGCTTATAACAATTGATATGTCAAAAATATTATCTGATCTATTAATGTATGAAATAACAATATGGTATATTTATACCTGTGGTTGTTAAATTGTATTTTCATATGTCTTGTAAAAGAATATCATTCATGGATAGATGAGCTTTCATGAATTTTGAAAAATGCAAATTTTGGCACCAATAAAATTGTTTATGAGATTCCAAGACATAATGCCCTAAAATAAAAATATACTGTCCTTCTAAACAAAATAGGCTGCCAACTGAGACATTTTGTCTTTTGGTTTTCCTCTTCCCCTCCCTCTTCCACCGCGACCTCGTCCTCTTCCTCCCCTACCTCTCCCCCCTCCCCGTCCCCTTGAAGCCCCTCCACGAGATGCTTTGTTTTGGAAGAAGTTACTGGCGTGATGTTTTTCCATCAGTGGTTTGAGAGCTGGATCACAGAAAACACAGCCAGTATGTTCTTCTGCACCTTCTGGTAATTTTGACTTCCCCTAAAATAAAGGTAAAAAAGTTAACTACATTATAAATTTGCTTGAAACGTCGCTTTAATTAAAATAGTAATTGTATTCCATATTGCGTTTTTCTGTTTATTAGGTGTGTCAATTGCTAAATGCCACTCAAAGAATATATTAATCAAATTAACAAGGATGGATCAGCATCACACTCTTTATCAGAATACAAGCAAGGTCCTTTGACTGGCCCCCAATCCATAGAAAATACTAATTACTTCTTTGATTGGCATTTAGTAATTGAACGTATTAACACAAGGTACAATTTTATGGATAAACAATTACTGAGTTTAATACTCAGTAATTGTGTATCCATAAAATTGTACCTTGTGTTGATAACCAATTTAATTGATTTTATTCTTTTTTCCCCACAGAAATCAGATCTTCTAATCTTAATGACCTGACCTCCCAAATCAAGGGAGCAAGTGAGTGAAAAGGGATCATTTTCCTCAGAAATAGCTAGCCACTGCAATGGAAGTGTATATTCAAAGTCTGATTTCTGACAATATTGTTGCCACATTGATTCTGAGAAAGTTCATTGAATAAATATAGTAGAACAATTTTTCTCCTTTGGTGATGGTTTGTGGATGACCACCATTTGTTTCCATTGCCATAATTTATGTATATAGACATCATGACACTCATCACATGAAAAATAGTTTACTTCATACACACAAGTTCTTTTTCAAGAACCTGTGTAAACGGTAGGGAATTCTTCACTGTTATATTCTTCTGGTATCTTCTACTCATAGGCATAAATAATCACAGGGTTTTGGAGAAGGGGAGACATCCTGTAAAATGTCTCCCACATAATACATTGTGCTTTTTGGGTTGAAAGGTAGTAAGCTAACAGAGAATTATTACCTTGGGGAAAGTAGCATCGACTAGATTAGAGCCACAATCACATGTCTCTTCATTAACACTGATTTTAGTTGCATGTTCTAGAAAATGTATAACAACATTACACCTGAAATATAGTATAAAATGTCTGGTACAAAGTTGACAATGTTCAGTAGATTAGTGCCTGATATTTTGTCAGACATGATTATTTGGCTTGCATGGGCGGAACTGAGGAAACGCCCCAGAGGTTACGTATGTCATGTACAATCAAGGGATATAACGTGCAGCTTACAGAGACCATACACCTTTTATTACTGGTTGATGCAAAATTAGCCCATTTTTCGTCAATCAAATTCTGTAGATCCATTGTCCAATCATCTGCTTTATAACTAAGGTTAATAATACAGCCATGTTTACAATTCCAAGATAAACATATTGCTGACACATGGACTGTGCTAGCCGACAGGATGTTAAGAAAAATTGCAAATACTATGACATGTAGTGGTTATAAATATTTTGGATGGAGGAACAGGGAGGTGGAGAGAGAGAGAGAGAGAGAGAGAGAGAGAGAGAGAGAGCAAACCGGAGGACTTGGAGAAAACGCACAAGGTTGGACAGGCGACCCTACTCCTTAGCACGTACAAGCAGGGAAAAAACATATTGTAATGCTCTTACTTGTTACAAGCCATCCTCCATTTTGGACCCGAAGATTGGTCTATAACTAGAATGCCACGATCACACTCCACACATTCTGAGACACCATTTTTACTGAAACTATGCGGACATGTTGGATGCGTACACTCGTTACATCCCATTCCTTTCCTCATATCATTAAACGGTGGATTGTTGTAACAGTAAGGACACAGTTGATACGTCTGAAAGAATAGGGTACGAATATATTAAATACTACCAGATATAACAATAGTTAAGAGTGACAGTCAGGACAGTTTATCTCAAAGAGGTTATCAAAATGAGCCAAAAGTGAGACTGATTTTCCCAACTTTAATCCCAAAATAAACAAGCGACACATGTTAATTAATTGTACATATATCTTTTTGTTATTTAATAGGGTTCTTCGTTTCACACATCTAAATAAATTTCATACAGATCTAATGATAACTTTTGTCATTTAAGCGTTAAAAAATTCAAAAAAGTGAAACAAGGGCATAACTCCAGAAGAAACAAGCCAACAGTGAGGCTGATGTCCCCCGCCGAAATCCCAAAATAAATAGATGACACATATTAATTAATAGCACATTTATTTTTTTCAAAAGTATCAAGCAATCAAACTGATTATCAACTATACACTAAGTTTCATCCCTCTCTATCAGATAGAATCAAAGTTATCTTGTCCGAAAGCATCGACCAATGAAATTGATTAGCTCTGCTTAGCTTAATGTTAATCATTGAAATCCGTCAAGACATCCATTCAATGAACATCTACATCCGGTTTAAACATTCTACCTCAATTAAAAGCAGAGTTTTTATGTTCCAAAGTCTTGACCAATCAAATTGCTTATCGCTCCTTAGGCTGACCTTAAAAATATCTTTGTTTCACCAAACCCGACCCACAATCGAGGAGAAGGGTCGGTAGGTCGGGTTTTTTTTCATATTTTTTTTTAAGAGCTAATTTGACAGCTTGATAATTTTCCGGGTGCAAACATTCGTCTTCTTTTATTGTCAAACAAATCAATGACATCGAGATTTTTCGTGATGCACGACTCGCACACGAATTGCCAGAAACTGACGTTTGAAACTCCCTCAACACGTTTTTTAACGATCGTGCGGGTTGTGCCTTCATTTTTCTCGAAAACGGATATTCAATATCCGTTTTCGAGAAAAATAGAGGCAGAATCATTTCGTGGGAATGGACGTGCTTTCGTCTACAACCATTTTGTTGAGAAGCGACACCTATGATGCTTTCGTCTTGATCAACCAGTTTCAATAATGAATCAAACCATAGCCATAGTAAAGGGAAATAACTCTCGTGATATATTTCAGGTTGACACACAAAATAAAATAAAAAGATCGTGGAAAAGTGCAATAAAATAATTTAAGTCGGGGGTGGTTTTAGTTAGTCGGTCGCGTTAGGCGAAACAAAGATATTTTTAAGGTCAGCCTTAGCCCAGGCAGAAAATTCGCACAATCGAACCTAGTCAAGGTAATGATATAATGAATCTATATTCAGAGTTTCATAGCTCTCACTTCATTATAACCAAAGTTATCGTGCCCCTAAAGCATCAACCAATCAGATTGCTTATCTCTGCCTACTGTAAGCAGACAATGTTCATCATCGAACTCCATCAAGGGATTCACCTAATGAATGCCTACACCAAGTTTGAACATTCTACCTCAATTAGAAGGAGAGTTATTGAGTTCCAAAGTCTTGACGAATCAAATTGCTTATCGCTCTGCTTACCCTCAGAAGAAAATGTTCATTATCGAACTTAGTCAAGGTATTGATGTAATAAAGCTATACACCAAGTGTCCTCACTCTCACTTAATTAGAACTAAAGTTATCGTGTCCCAAAGCATCAACCAATCAAATTGCTTATCTCTGCTTACCCTAAGCAGAAAATGCTCATCTTCGAACTCCATCAAGGGATTCACCTAATAAAAACCAACACCAAGTTGGAACATTCTAGCTCAATTAGGAGAGTTATTGTGTTCCAAAGTCTAAACCAATCAAATTGCTTATCGCTCTGCTTACCCTGAGCAGAAAATGCTCATTATTGAACTTATTCAAGGTATTGATGTAATGAAACTATATACCAAGTTTCATCACTCTCACTAAATTAGAACTTAAGTTTTTGTGTCCCAAAGCATCAACTAATCCAATTGCTTATTTACGCTTACCCTAAGCGGAAAATGCTCATCTTAGAACTCCATCTAGGTAGTGACCTAATAAACACCTACACCAAGTTTGAACATTCTAGCTCAATTAGAAAGAGAGTTATTGTGTCCCAAAAAGTGTGACGGACGGACGGACCGAAAATAATAGAAGTCAGCCTTAGGATATAAGGAATAAATATAAAAAAGTTTTCAAGATGATCGATTAAGAATTGCGGGCTGTAAGTGATACACAGACACACAAAAAGAATATGGGCGTGGCTCTTCCTCTGGGGGTTGGGCATTCACCACAAACAATAGGGATGGATGTTCATTAGGATAGAAGAAACAAGTATGCAAAGTTTCAAGGTGATGCCATGCGTTAAGAAATGCAGTTTGTAGATGACGAACAAATACAAGAAATGGGCGTGGCTCTGTCCCAGGAGGTCGGGTATGCACTAAAAATAATAGAAGTCAGCCTTAGGATATAAGGAATAAGTATTAACAAGGCATTGACCTAATCAACACATACACCAAGTTTGAACATTCTAGCTCAATTAGGAAGAGAGTTATCGTGCCCCAAAGTATCAACCAATCAAATTGCTTATCTCTGCTTACCCTAAGCGGAAAATGCTCATCTTCGAACTCCATCAAGGCATTGACCTAATAAACACATACACCAAGTTTGAACATTCTAGCTCAATTAAAAGTTATCGTGTCCCAAAGCATCAACCAATCAAATTGCTTATCTCTGCTTACCCTAAGCGGAAAATGCTCATCTTCGAACTCCATCAAGGCATTGACCTAATCAACACATACACCAAGTTTGAACATTCTAGCCCAATTAGGAAGAGAGTTATCGTGTCCCAAAGCATCAACCAATCAAATTGCTTATCTCTGCTTACCCTAAGCGGAAAATGCTCATCTTCGAACTCCATCAAGGCATTGACCTAATAAACACATACACCAAGTTTGAATATTCTAGCTCAATTAGGAAGAGAGTTATTGTGTCCCAAAAAGTGTGATGGACAGACAGACGGACGGACGAACCCATTTTAATAGTCCCCTGCTTTCTTCGAAAGGGGGGGGACAGTTAAAGGGAATTATTGAAATTAAAAATGCTTCTTCATCTCACTAATGTAATCAACATTATTATATCAATTTCAAAACAATCAGATGATAAATGTAGTTGTGGACGACGGAAATATATATGACCACATTTTCATGTGGGCATATAAAAATGCTCATCTCGGAACTCCATCAAGGCATTCATTTACCTAACAAATACTGATAGACAGACAGACCCATATTAGTAACATCTTCCCTATTTAAAACTTTATTTTGCCATAAATCAGGAAGTATTACGGTATATGTAGGTTTATAGTTTAATTTCAGATACCACATGTTTGCACTTACCTTTCCCTTAGTACCAGTTGTCCACAACACCAATTCAAATTCATCTAATGGACATTTTAATTCTTTATATAACTTAATGTTACCATTTTGTGGAAGGGAGAATGTTTCATCACAGTTGGGGCAATGAAGACGACTTGGTTTAGCTTGAATAAATTTCATAAATCTTCTACATTTACCACATCTGTTATAAAAAGAGAGATATGGTTTAAAGTTGCAATTTCATATTTTTAAGTTATATTTTTAAAATTTATTAAAATAAAGCCTTAAAATAGATGGTATCTAGAAACAGTCCTACCTTGTTAAAGAATAATCCTATTAATCCTATAATTCACTATTGCCAGTTGAGAAATTGGCAAAAATATCATTTTCATCTTCAAATTCAAACGTTTGAAGATAACTACTCCACGGTGGAGAATAGAAAACAAGGGAGGTAATTGGGAGGTAATTGTGTTTTTATTTCTGGTGTAAATGAGTTTTAAGTGTGAGAATGACACCTATGATCGTATAATAGGAAGTTGACAACCTATTAAGCAAAAGACAGAAATAATTATGTTTTGACTTTCTTAGAAAAATATGAAATTGTAACTTTAATCATATGAGAATGAAATGACATGGGGTTTAACGTCCTACTATTCTGCACCGACTGGTTTAATAAAAACTGGCATACGTCATACATTGTGCTATGGGGGAAATTTTGCCCTGACAGTGGCACCAAGTCCTACTCTTATTTCCAATTCGAACTGTCAAGGGTTCTTTTACGTGCATGCACAGGACCTCAGGTTTTTTTTGTCCTATCTAAATGACTAGACACTGTCCTTGCCAGGCCCTCCATCATGCACCTCTGACAAAGGGAAACCACTCAGGAAAAAAATCAATGGAAATTTCTGGGCCAAGACCGAGAGCGAACCCAAGGTTTCCTGGATAGCAAACCGCCATCTTACTTACTGAGCCCCCGCGGCTTCCCGGAAATTACCTAAGATGTAAAACTGAATTACAATCTAATATTATCAGGCGTCAATTTATCTAACAGTACCAGATTATCTGTCATCACATGTATCTTGTATTGCATATGGTATGAAATGAAATGAAATTAAATGGGGTTTAACGTCCTACTGTTCTGCTCCGAACTGGGCTAATGAAGACGGGCATATGCCATACAGTGCGCATGAGGGAAATTTTGCCCGGACAGCGGCACTACGGCCTACTCTTACATCGAATTCCAACTGTCAAGGGATCTTTTACATGCACGCCAATGAGTACACGGGACCTCGGTTTTTCGTCCCATCCGAACGACTAGACAGCTGTCCTTGTCAGGCCCTCCGTCCTGCATCACTGACAAGGGAGAACCACGCCGGAAAATCTGGATGAGCATATGGTATGAGTTCTCTCTGGATCTCACTTTGTCATAAATATAGATCTGTATCTTAAAGGGGCATTATTTACGATTTAGATAAAGAACTGTCCGTTCTCGCGATAATATTTCAAAAATAGATGATGCAAAATAAAGATATTGAAAATTTCATTCAAATTACTTTATTTTGAGCCAAGTTATCAATGGTTGTAGTTTTGTCAAGAGTTGGTAATGGTCTTGTCATGTTGATAAAAGTCTAATTAATAATTTAATGCCCAAAGAAAGACCTGCAATAGGCAGATTCAGCTCTAATGCCTGTTTATTTTGTTGAAATCACACACAATTTTTTTTTTTTACAGCAACCCGAGCGAGAAATGTTTTTACTATTCTTTGATTTCCAATTGTCCAAGAGTTCTTTTACAAGCACACCAGTGTGTACCTGGTGACCTCGCTTTTTGTAACATTCAAACATAAATAATAATAATAATAACATTTATATAGCGCTATTCCACACTGTGTAGTATGCTCATAGCGCTCAAGTCAATTCTGCAAAGTCTGAACAATATACTGTGTCATCTCATTACATATAGCGACGGAACAGATGTGTCTTCAGTGATGATTTAAAACTTGCTAGGGACGGACACTGTTTTAAGGAAGTTGGGAGTTTATTCCAATGGAAAGCAGCTTGATATGAAAATGTTCTTGCTCCAAAAGTTTTTAAATTGTATGTTGGTAATTGTAGTTGACAAGTGTTACTAGATCGAAGGTTTTTGACTGGTAAATGTTCGTTAACAAGTTCTTGAAGATAAACAGGTGCAGTCTTATAAACAGCTTGATAAGTTAGGCACAACAATTTGAATTCTATACGTTCATTAATACGAAGCCAATGAAGAGAGGATAAAACTGGAGATATGTGGTCACGGACTTTGGTTCTTGAGACTAGTCTGGCTGCTGAGTTTTGTATACGTTGGAGGCGTTTTGTTTGCTCATTGGTAATCCCAGATAACACACTGTTGCAATAGTCGAGGCGAGAGAGGATAAGACATCGGACGAGGGTAGCTGCAGCATCTGATGTTATAAAATGACGTATTGAGCCAATATTCCGAAGGTGGTAGTGACATGTTTTACACAGAAAACTGATGTGGTTTTCCATAGACAAATTCGTATCCATAATAACACCGAGGTTTTTGACGTATTTTGATGGATTGATGTAAGATTGTTCAATTTTTAAATGGGTTATGTCGCTCTTATGTAGTCTGCGTGTAGGGGCGATCAATAACAGTTCTGTTTTGTCCGAATTTAGTTTAAGCATATTGTTTGTCATCCAGCTTTTTACATCTGTCACACATGTTTCAATTTTTTCACAACAAGATAGTTGACTATTTTGTTCAGGGAGGAAAAAGTCCATGATCTGAGAGTCATCAGCATAAAAGTGGTGATTTAGATCCTTTTTAATGAGAAGATTGCTGAGTGACTTTGTGTACATACAGAAAATAATTGGTCCCAATACTGATCCCTGTGGTACACCACATGTAAGATCGACTGTGTTAGAAAAGGAGCTGTTAACCATAACTGCCTGTGTTCTACCTATTAAATATGATGAAAACCAGTTTAACACAAGGCCATTGATACCATACTCGGATTCCAGTCTGTTGAGTATTCTGCTATGATCCAGCGTATCAAAGGCAGCAGATAGATCAAGCAAAACGAGCATAGCGATGGAACCTTGGTCAACTCCACTTCGGATCGTATTGAAAACGTGGTTTAGAGCAGTTTCGGTACTGTGGTTGTTTCTGTAAGCTGACTGGTACTCGTACATTAAACTGTGATTTTGCATATGTTCCAACAGTTGTATTTTGACAACTTTTTCTAAGATTTTGGAGATAAATGGAAGGTTCGAAACAGGGCGATAATTTTTTAATACTTCCGACTCGAGAGATGGTTTCTTAAGTAAGGGCTTGATCAAAGCATGCTTGAATGGCTGTGGCACAAAACCAGAGTTTAAGCTGTTATTAATGATGGCTGTCAGGATAGGTAATAAAACATCCAATATTTTTAGCATAAAGCTGGTTGGAATTGGGTCTAAAACACAAGACGTTGGTTTTGAAGATAAAATAATTTTCTTTAGTTCATCTTCAGTCACTTCCTTGAATGATGTGAATGGTTTACCTTGAAAAGTGTTGACTTGTTGATTTTCATCTGTTTCTGGTATTAGTGCAGATCTGATTTTGTTAATTTTATCAGTAAAATACTCACAAAATTTGTTGGCTACATCAGATTCTTCACCTCGAGGCAGAATGACATCCTGTGATTTCCCCAAAAGTTTGTTGAGAGTTGAGAAAAGAACTCTTGGATTCTGTTGGTTGTTATTAATAATAGTGTTGATGTGATCAGATTTAGCGTTCTTGATCATTAAATTTACGGAATTACGAGCTGAATTTAGTATTTGTCTATCGATTTCAAGTTTTGATTTTCTCCACTTACGTTCTAAACTATGGCGCTTGTTTCTTGCTTCTAAAATATCGGGTGAAAACCAGGAAGTGTTTTTACGTTGACGGATAGTCTTTGTCTTTAATGGTGCATATTTATCTTATTTATGCCCATCTTCATTAGCCCAGTTGGAGCAGAATTGTAGGACGTTAAACCACATTTCATTTCATCTTTATTTATGCCATTTTATATAACTGTTGGATTGAGCTTGAATCTTGCACAGCAGATTGATCACAACTTTTAAGCTATTCACCCTCCCTTCCACACCCCTTCAAAACCAACACACCCTAAAAACTTACCAATCAACCATACTTTAAATATTTCTGTTATAAAATAGCTTACCGAGACAATGGTTTACCAATGGCTGCTAGAGGCGAAAATGTTACTTCAAACAGTTGGTCCATTCCCTGAATATTCTCAACAAAATATTTAAATTTTCTATGAAATATGTCGATAGCGTGTTGCTTGACATCGTAGAAGTTTGCTTTACCTAACGCTATAAGATTTAACTGTTGTTCTATTGATGATCGCATTGTACACAGAACTAAATCAGAATCAATCTGAAAAATACAAATATTTGAGTTCAATATCACATAATACAAAGATAGGTTGCCAGGTAATGAAACTTAAACCCACAGTTCAGCTATGTTGTCCAGGTTGACACTGCCTGAATCTTAAGATAAATACAAAGCAAAATCTTTATACATGCACTGTAAAATATCAATGAAGCGCTGTCATGATTCTACAATATAATCAAGGGCAATAACTCTTAAAATAATTTTCTGAAATTGTTCTTATTTGATGGGCTTATTGCAAGCAACAAAAGCAACACGTAAAACAAAGAACACAAATTCAAAAAAGATTAGATGATGAGTTTTCTTTTAAAAGCATTCACAAGATTCTAGAAGTAATTACAGAAATATTAGACAAATCAGCTGATAACATCTATTATAAGTGTTTACAAGGTTGCACAAACAAATAAGTGATAATAAGGGCAATAACTCTGGATGTACGGTAATGGAACTGTACAAGTTTTCCCACTCTCATCTAATTAGTTATCACATTCCAAAGTCTCAGCAAATGAAATTGTTTATCTCTGCTTAACCTTAGCAGAAATACTTATCACTGAACATGTTCAAGCAGTCTATGCGAAATGATATTTTTTTTACTGGACATTTGGGCAGGTATTATTCCAACTATTACTGGACCGAATGAGATTTTACTGGTCCAAAAAAGTTCATACCAAAAATATGCATAAAATAAGTAATAATGGCCTAAAACTCGAAAAACAACAAACAGTATATATAAGGGGGAAAATACTTTACTTTATTACAAAGATTATCTATTGTATAAAGACTTTTTCGCACACTTCCTTAATTGTCATTTTGTGTTAATGATAACAATAAATAGACCGTGCAAAGAAAATATAATCCCTTAGATGACAATCGAGTCTACCAGAAGCCAATGTTATTAATACAATAAAAGGACTTTCGTTTTAATCTGGATTAACCTAGCCTACTACTTACTAGACTAGCTCGATATACGGTACTACTTACTCGAGATAAGATTTTAAACAATAGTGAAATTAACACAATAAATTAAACGAGAATTCAACAGTCCGTGCACGAAGTGCCGTCAGTCAGTGCCAATACGGCGATGATTTAATATTTGTAAGTTGAGTGTCCGTTAACCCGTCCACAAGCAAACCCGTCCACGGTTAAGGTAATACCGGTACTTGACTTGTATATTATTTAATTGATTAGAATAGATCAGTTTTACTCATTGGTTGTTTATATTGTTTTATTTACCTAATAATCAACTAGCTTGGTTTGCCATCCCGACAGCGATTAGTTCGAGTTCAAATTCTTTATTCCTTTCAGCCAAAGACTCATCAGGTATAACATATAGTACAAACAAATAAATAAATACAATATGTACAAAAACAATATAGTTCACCGACGTTTTTGTAATAAAGAATAATAGTATTGTTTGTTGATTAGCGTTAGGATTTTAGACAAAATGGTAAGTTCACCAATGTTTTTGTAATAAAGTAGACCCGTATTGTTTGTTAATTGACTTTATCCCATGATTTAAAAAATTGGCGATGGTTAATATTGGGTCAAAAATAATTCCTTAAATTGCGCCGGAGCCCCTTTTAGATAAATTGAATTCGCATAAAAACAACAAAGAGTGGCTGCGTGCGATTGTATTCTTTGATCTTTGATTCACAGGACATTTCTGTTATTCAAACAAATCTGCACGAGAATGACAACATACAATTTGACAGTTACCATTGATTTGGGGTTCATGTAGAATAGACTCTTCTATCGAGCCTACAGTTATTCTTTTCTAAAATAAATTTGTGTGGATTTGATAGCGGTTATACTTTACTAATATTCTCTGACATCGGAGACTTGTGTCGCGTTCATTTCATTTTTGCGGTAAGTACGAGCTTCTTATGTCTGATTTGAAAGCGCTTTCGACTCCCGTTGCAAGTTCTATTTGTCTTATTTCTATTTGTAAGACCGGTAACCTAAATACAGTTATAGTTTGCAATTTTAAAGTCTATCTTTGCCGTGATTCGAGAGTAATTCTTAACTATGCACTCTAAACATGTATAGTCTTATGCATACGTGTCCTTCAAAATGTAGTAGACATGCAGCTTTACATGACTGGTTGGAAATGTAACCGCATATATCGTGCAGAATATGTGAACACGCGTGTTCTTACTATACAACTTTACCTAACGCGTCCGTATTATTAACGAAAATATTCAACATTCATAACATCGTGGCAGTATATCGTTTTGACATCGATTGTTTATGACAAATATAACCATTAATTTTGCATGTAAAATTACACCGAGGCCTATCGTGTCCCGCGACTATCGTTGCACACGATAGCGACTGCTACACTGTACGTACTCGAGATAAGATTTTGTTTACATTTTAAACAATAGTGAAATTAACACAATAAATTAAACGAGAATTCAACAGTCCGTGCACGAAGTGCCGTCAGTCAGTGCCAATACGGCGATGATTTAATACAACCAGCAGTCAGTAAACCGGGTCCAGAATCTTTCCTGACAACTGGGCCGGTATTCATGATGAAAATACCGGACCGAGAGCTATTTTATCGGTAATGACCGACGGTCCGACGGCTTTCGCATGGACTGTGTTCAAGGCATTTACCTAATAAACATTCCATCTGAATGAGCAGAAAATGCTCACTATCGAACTTAGTCAAGGTATTTACCTAATAAACACCTATACCAATTTTGAACATTCTACCTCAATCAGAAGGTGAGTTATTATGTTCCGAAGTCTCGGCCAATCAGAACATGCTCAGCATCGAACTTCGTTAAAGTATTGAAGTAATATGAAACTATACACAAAGTTTCACCAGAGTTGTCGAGCTCCATAGTCTCGACCAATCAAACTGCTTATCGATCTGTTTACCCTGAGCCAAAAATGCTCATTATCGAACTTAGTCAAGGTATTGATGTGATGAAATTGTACATAAAGTTTCATAACTCTCACTTAATAAGAACCAAAGTTATTGTGTTCCAAAACATCAACCAATCAAATTGCTTACCCTAAGCAGAAAATATTCATCTTCAAACTCAATCAAGGCATTCACCTAGCTAATGAGCACTTACACAAAGTCTGAACATTTCACCTCAATTCGAAGGAGAGTTATTTTATTCCCAAGTCTCAACCTTAACCCGAGCAAAAAATGCTCACTATCAAGGTATTAACCTAATAAACACCTACACGACTACACCAATTTTGTACATTCTACCTCAATCAGAAGGCGAGTTATTACGTTCCAAAGTCTCGACCAATCAGATTGAAGTCTCTACTTTGCCTAAGCAGAAAATGTTCAGCATCAAACTTTGTAAAGGTATTGATGTAATGAAACTATACACGAAGTTTCACCATTAATACTCAATTAGAATCAGAGTTATCGAGCTCCAAAGTCTCGACCAATCAAATTGTTTATCCTCTGCTTACCCGGAGCTAATGAGCGCTTACACCAAGTCTAAAAATTTTACCTTAATTCGGAGGAGAGTTATTGTGTTCCAAAGTCTAGACCAATCAAACTGCTTATTGCTCTGCTTACCCTGAACAGAAAATGCTCATTACAGAACTTAGTCAAGGTATTGATGTAATGAAACTATACACCAACTTTCAGTACTCTCACTTTGTTAGGACTAAATTTATCGTGTCCCAAAGCATCAACCAATCAAATTGCTTATCTCTGCTTACCCTAAGCAGAAAATGCTCATTTTCGAACTCCATCAAGGCATTGACCTAATAAACACCTTCACCAAGTTTGAACTGATTAGCTTAATTAGAAGGAAAGTTATTGTGTCCCATAGAGTGTGACTGACTGACAGACAGACAGACATACAGATGGACAGACAGACCCATTTTAAAAGTCCTATGCTTTCTTGGAAAGGCAGCTAGGGGACAAATTAATAGTTTATATAAAATTTAAGGCCTAAAGAAACACCTGCAATAGGCAGATTTAGCTTTTACATAATGCCTGTTTAATTTAGAAGCAGAGTTATTGTGGGACGCCAGACAGACAGACTCATTATAATAGACCCTTGCTATCTTTGAATATAGGAACGGCCAGTATTCATTTAATTTCTATTTTCACTTTCATTTCTAATTTCCAGAAATTAACATACTATGTAGAAGCAATTCACTAGAAGAATCCATTCTATTTTTAGAATTCTTGGAAACATCCATGTCAATAATAGGCCACTGATAATATAATCTTGATCAACAAGACTTCTATCAATATCAATAACACAACACAGATAACTGGATAAACAAAACTAGACTTGTGACACCAATGATGTAATGTAAATTACATGAGCTATATTTTTAGTGGAAATGAGGGGAAAACCTATTCTACGAAAGATATAACATTTAAGGGTTGGAGCGATAAATTCATTGTTCAATATGCAAAGAGACAGACAACACAAGATGAATATGAAAGAGGTAAGCCATGTTTAGTTTTGCCTATATGATGATTTTTATATGCATGCATACATTTATTTAGTTTGAACTTTTATTGTCATGACCTATGTCTTGTCTTTTTGTCAAGGTATTTCTTAAAAACCTGTTCAGTTGCATATGTTGACAATGATTTTAGGGCTGACATCCGACCAGTTTTCAGGATATGTTATTTTATTAGGGTGTCTGACTATGAGGGGGGAAGGACTTTTTATTATTTTATTAAGGAGCAGGACATATTGTTATTTTATTAAGGGCCGGATTGTTTATAAATTTACCTAGGACCCTAAATTTCTGATACAGCTGGTGATAATATCCTGAAGGACACTATTCCATTAGAAAGATTAAACTGACATTATATAAGATCTAAATCTGCCTAGTGCAGGTTGTTCTTTAGGCCTTAATTAAATGTTATATAAACTATTAATAAGACATTAATTAACATGACAAGACCATAATCAACTCTCGATGCCATAAGATGCCTCCAATTTTAAGTAGATTGGAACGGTTCAGCAATTTAATGATTTAATTTGAAAATGGAGAAGCAAAGCTAAGACTCGAATGACCAGTAGATTAGTTGCGATCAATGCACACATCTTGTCAAAACTACCCAGTCTATGCGAAATGATATTTTTTTTACTGGACATTTGGGCAGGTATTATTCCAACTATTACTGGACCGAATGAGATTTTACGGGTCCAAAAAAGTTAATACCAAAAATATGCATAAAATAAGTAATAATGGCCTAAAACTCGAAAAACAACAAACAGTATATATAAGGGGGAAAATACTTTACTTTATTACAAAGATTATCTATTGTATAAAGACTTTTTCGCACACTTCCTTAATTGTCATTTTGTGTTAATGATAACAATAAATAGACCGCGCAAAGAAAATATAATCCCTTAGATGACAATCGAGTCTACCAGAAGCCAACGTTATTAATACAATAAAAGGACTTTCGTTTTAGTCTGGATTAACCTAGCCTACTACTTACTAGACTAGCTCGATATACGGTACTACGTACTCGAGATAAGATTTTGTTTACATTTTAAACAATAGTGAAATTAACACAATAAATTAAACGAGAATTCAACAGTCCGTGCACGAAGTGCCGTCAGTCAGTGCCAATAATGCGATGATTTAATATTTGTAAGTTGAGTGTCCGTTAACCCGTCCACAAGCAAACCCGTCCACGGTTAAGGTAATACCGGTACTTGACTTGTATATTATTTAATTGATTAGAATAGATCAGTTTTACTCATTGGTTGTTTATATTGTTTTATTTACCTAATAATCAACTAGCTTGGTTCGCCATCCCGACAGCGATTAGTTCGAGTTCAAATTCTTAATTTATTCCTTTCAGCCAAAGACTCATCAGGTATAACATATAGTACAAACAAATAAATAAATACAATATGTACAAAAACAATATAGTTCACCGATGTTTTTGTAATAAAGAATAATAGTATTGTTTGTTGATTAGCGTTATGATTTTAGACAAAATGGTAAGTTCACCAATGTTTTTGTAATAAAGTAGACCCGTATTGTTTGTTAATTGACTTTATCCCATGATTTAAAAAATTGGCGATGGTTAATATTGGGTCAAAAATAATTCCTTAAATTGCGCCGGAGCCCCTTTTAGATAAATTGAATTCGCATAAAAACAACAAAGAGTGGCTACGTGCGATTGTATTCTTTGATCTTTGATTCACGGGACATTTCTGTTATTCAAACAAATCTGCACGAGAATGACAACATACAAGTTGACAGTTACCATTGATTTGGGGTTCATGTAGAATAGGCTCTTCTATCGAGCCTACAGTTATTCTTTTCTAAAATAAATTTGTGTGGATTTGATAGCGGTTATACTTTACTAATATTCTCTGACATCGGAGACTTGTGTCGCGTTCATTTCATTTTTGCGGTAAGTACGAGCTTCTTATGTCTGATTTGAAAGCGCTTTCGACTCCCGTTGCAAGTTCTATTAGTCTTATTTCTATTTGTAAGACCGGTAACCTAAATACAGTTATAGTTTGCAATTTTAAAGTCTATCTTTGCCGTGATTCGAGAGTAATTCTTAACTATGCACTCTAAACATGTATAGTCTTATGCATACGTGTCCTTCAAAATGTAGTAGACATGCAGCTTTACATGACTGGTTGGAAATGTAACCGCATATATCGTGCAGAATATGTGAACACGCGTGTTCTTACTATACAACTTTACCTAACGCGTCCGTATTATTAACGAAAATATTCAACATTCATAACATCGTGGCAGTATATCGTTTTGACATCGATTGTTTATGACAAATATAACCGTTAATTTTGCATGTAAAATTACACCGAGGCCTATCGTGTCCCGCGACTATCGTTGCACACGATAGCGACTGCTACACTGTACGTACTCGAGATAAGATTTTGTTTACATTTTAAACAATAGTGAAATTAACACAATAAATTAAACGAGAATTCAACAGTCCGTGCACGAAGTGCCGTCAGTCAGTGCCAATACGGCGATGATTTAATACAACCAGCAGTCAGTAAACCGGGTCCAGAATCTTTCCTGACAACTGGGCCGGTATTCATGATGAAAATACCGGACCGAGAGCTATTTTATCGGTAATGACCGACGGTCCGACGGCTTTCGCATGGACTGCAGACAGACGGACCGACAGACGGCCGGGGGCGACGGCAATATACCACCACATTTCCATGTGAGCATATAAAAACATATCCTACAAGACACTGCTACACTGTACGTACTCGAGATAAGATTTTGTTTACATTTTAAACAATAGTGAAATTAACACAATAAATTAAACGAGAATTCAACAGTCCGTGCACGAAGTGCCGTCAGTCAGTGCCAATACGGCGATGATTTAATACAACCAGCAGTCAGTAAACCGGGTCCAGAATCTTTCCGGACAACAGGGCCGGTAATCATGATGAAAATACCGGACCGAGAGCTATTTTATCGGTAATGACCGACGGTCCGACGGCTTTCGCGTTTTCTTAGAAAATATGAAATTATCTCTTTAACTCGCATAACTACAAGCTGGATTAAAGGGGCATTATGTTCTCGCTATAATATTTCAAAAATAGATAATGGAAGATGAATATTTTGAAATTTCATTCAAATTACTTTATTATGAGTGAAGTTATCAATGGTTGTAGTGAAATTTCAAAATATTCATCTTCCATTATCTATTTTCTAAGAAAATCAAAACATAATTATTTCTATATCTATTAACTCTATTATGTAATCATAGGAATAAAAAAAAACACTGGACATAATACCTCCATCATTTTCTATACCTCCATGCAATTAGCAAAGCTCAATGTTGAAGTTTCAACTTGAAAATGATATATTTGCCACTTAGTGAATTACTGGATTATTCCATAACAAGGTAGGACTGTGCATAGATTCCAGGTGTTTTAAGGCTTATTTTAACATACGACTTTAAAAAAAGGCAACTATTGCTTTAATCTGTGTTGAATTTTGTCTCATTTCAGAATCTTTTATATTTACAACCAAATATTTTAATAACGGTACAATGGAAAGAATCTTTACCTGTCCACCAAATAATTGCCATTGTCTACAATACACAGACTGGCGAAAAAAGTTTTTATTTCTTTAATCCCGGTGGGCCTTGGCTGATAGACAAGGGAGATGATCCAAAAACAACGCTTAAAATTTCCTTATACGGCATACAGAAGAAGTCATCAAGAATCTTAGTGAGCAACAAGTACATTATATCTCCTGCTTCAAAAGGCTTTCAAGATTGTGTTTTAGAAGGTCACACAGAAAAAAATAGTCCACTAAATATCAAAAAGGTAATTAATTATAAAATCAGAGAGAGGGAGAGAGAGATTAGTGTCCACTATACAATCTTGTTAAAATACCGATCTATATTTCATTTTGTTCTGTCTTGTATACTTTCAATGTCCTCCACTACATTAAGATCTGACCGGTTGTAGTGGGAGGAGGTTGGATGGCCGAATGGTTAGCATGTGCGGTCTGTATCATAAGGCCTGTCATTGAGTCAACTGGCGTGGTTTCGAATCCCCAGTTGTACGTGACAAGGAGTTGGGTCGCCTGTCCAACCTCGTGGGTTCTCTCCGGGTCCTCCGGTTTCCTCCCACAGCTAAAGACCGCTACGTGCAAGCAAATTATAGAAATAAAATTAAACCATATGTTAGTCGTGAAATAACTTAGTTTGTGTCGAGAGGACGTTAATCCCATTTCTCTCTCTCTGTAGTGGGAGGTTGTGACCCTATGACACAAGTCAATTGATTAACTAATCAGCGTCAGTCTTTCAAGTGGCTATCCAGAAGTACAAATTTTGCTTTGTTTTTTGTGTTCTATTGTTGCAGATTTAGCCACAGTTCCCTGCCACAGACCATTACATTGGCTACTCCCAATTTCAATAATCTGCTTGCTCATTGATAGTCTTTCGTATGCCCATCTTCACAAGCCCTGTTAGAGCAGACAAGTATGATAATAATCCCCATTTCATTTTATTTGATTTCATTTAACCAACTCACAGAGTTCTGGTGGTTTTAATAAATTAGTCCGTTAAACATGCATTATGCAAGAGCTAAATCTGATTATTGCAAGTCTTAATTTAGGCTTCAGATGTTATAGAAATTATAAATTAGATCTTTATTTAAACAAAAAGACCAAAATCAGCTCTGTAGACCCACGGATGGCTCGGCTACAGCTCGGATTTAAATAGGATTTCACTAATTGATTAAATCAAATAAGGGGTAACCTGATGAAAATACGTCAGTTAGATCGAGGCTAAATGATAGAGTGTACTTAGCGAGGCCGCTGTAAAGCGTTTCCGTATGCCATTGAAAACTTTACTTGATAATCGAGATATGTAGGTGGAGTTAACGCCTGTCAATCAAACCATCGGCGAAGGTGAAGACACATTTCGCTACCATTTCTAGGCAAATATTACAACGATGATAACTATGTTCAGAATAAAGTAATTTGACTGAATTTTTCAATATATTCTTCTTTCATCATCTACTTTTGAACTGTTATAGCAAGAATGGCCAACTCTCTATAAAAATCTCCCATAATGTATCTTTAATTTTTTCTCATTTTTTGCAGGAAATAAAACCTCCATTAATACCGATAACAGTGGATCAGAGGGTCAACAAAACCACACAAAAATCCTACGTCGTTTTCCAACGCTGTACACCTTTACCACGACATGCAGAATATTATATACAGATAGTGCGACCGATAAATACACGAGTCAAAGCATCTCCTTTCAAGGAATATATCCAATTGAAAACATGTATGAATAATGAAATAGCTTGTGCATGGTATCTAGAATCAGGCTGGCAAGTTACCTATCAGATATTAAATGGTTTTCTCACAGAAGAGATAAATGAGTTGGCTATAGCTGGGGCTTCTGATGTAGCATCTTTTATAACTCGTAAGTATTTTGTATGTACTATAAATCAGTAAGTCGGTATTTCCTTTAAAGATGCAGGTTGAAAGAGGCATTATTACTTTCAACCGGTGCCGTTCGTTCGTTTCTGGAGTTTTACGTCCACTTCCACCTAAGGTGATATCGTAGACAAGACACATATAATTATTATAATCCGAGCACTGGCCAACTTAGAACAAAACTCCTTCAAAACCACTACAGGGAATATCTTCATAGAAAAAATTGACCCTCTTAGTATTCCTTCCTTAAGTAAAAAGAGAAGAGCTCTTCAGTTAAGGTCAGGTCAAAATAAAATGTTGAAATGTGTTAAACTGAGTCAAGCTCTATACAAATAATTTTCATATAAGTAGACTTGGGTGTCTGCAAATGTATTTTTGTTTATTTACTGAAAGGGTAAAGGGGGGAGTATGAGCCGCTCAAAACATGTTTTAGTTTTATTCGAGACTATTAACTTTGCATTTAGTCTCTATCATCCAGAAAAATATTCTACGAATATTAGTCTGGATGGGTTGTCAACATTTGAGAAAAATTGGCTAGATAATCCGGTCTATTACATTGTCATAAATAACATCTAAGGGAGGTAACTCCTTTTAAACAAGATGTTTACGCCCATGAAATTAATTAAAGAATGTCATTTCAAAAAATCAATGTGATTGCATGCGAGTTCAATATCTAACACTCTTAATTTTTTATTGTAAAATTTCTCTCTTCATGGGCCATATCTATGCTTTGAAAATTAATCCTAATTCGTCGTCACGATTCATGTTTGTTTATATTAATGCAAGAATTATGGGATTTATTGTGGGAAGGGGCGCAACTCTTACTTGACTTGGCTAAAGAGACTGGATAATCAACCACATTAAAAACCAAACTCCCGGTTACGCATGGGCAATGGACTTTACGTCAAATATTGACAACTTTCCCAGACCGTATGTTGAAGACTAGGAGGTTCTGGGTGACCGAGACTACTTTGCATTACGAAAAACAATCAGTTTTCAGTTCATGTCTTTGTAAATAATGAGTGAAACTGAAAACTGAACTTTCATAATATTGTCCTTTGCAAGGGATTCCTCAATCCCTCAAACACAGATTAGAAACATTAGCAGTGATTACTTTGTAAATTAATGTTTATAAAATCAAATATTGACAAAGTATAATAGTATATTTAAAATACATATCCTACATATTTTCTTTTTTTACCCATATTTTAGACAACACCAAAGATGATGTTCAACGGTTATTTGACATGGCAGAAAAATTAAGAGGGGAATCATTTACGAGAAAAAAGTGTACCAAATCCATCCCTATTCCATATCTGTACCGAAATAAACCCAGTAATCATGAAACTATGTTAAAAGCTGAAGAAACAGGCATTATATCAAAATACCTAAAAGATAAAAATGGAGACCAGGCATCCAGTATTAATGAAAAAATCAAGGGACTTTTCTTTAGTGCATCAGCCAACAAGAAAACCAAACAGCCGCAAGAATTCAGTTACTTTGGCAATTATCGGATAATGATAAAACCAGAACTTTTGCTCCCTGGACTTAATCTCTATTTCGCTGATTTTTATTGTCAAGGAGAAAAAAAGCAGCATTATGTGACTCTGGTTTTAACAACCCCCGATAGCTTGGAAGATCGTTACTGTCGAGACAGACTTGTTAAACTTGATATCAATAACAATAATTTCTTGTATTATCAAAAAAAAATTGGATATCGTGTTACCAAGGCAATGCTCGTAGAAGTTCTATACACAGAGGATGTGGATTTAACGAAACTGAGATCTAAAAAAAGTGGTTTTGTGGAACAGATAATACCGAATCGAAATGTACTTGGTCGAGGACAAAGTAAACCAGAAGGTATTCCAAAATACACATCATGTGATAAATGTAATCTCCATTAATTCTATAAATAGAATTTGAATATTCAAACTTCCTTGATTTGACTAAAATATTACAAAACGAAATGTCAGTGGTCTGGGACAAAGTAAACCAGAAGGCATTCGACAAGTAATAGCATGTGATCAATGTAAAAATCTTCCTTAATTCTCTTATTTTACAGAGAGAGAGAGAGTGAGAGAGAGGAGGGGTGGGCGGGGTAACATCCACTCAACATAGTTTATGTTTTATCATTTAAACTTGTTTAACTTTCAAAAAACTCAATATTTTATTTTTGACTCTGAATTACCTGAATTCGATAATTTGTACAGTGTATTTTTATACTTGAGTTGATATTAATTTATCTTTATAATGTTATATGTTAATAAATCATTAATAAATATAATGTTTCTTACTTATTTTCTAATAATATCTGAAAATCAAAAATTTCTGACATGTTTTTTTGTTGGAGTTGTTGTAAAGAAATGGAATGGTGTTTAACGTGCAGCGATTTGGCTAATGAAGATGGGAATGCGCCATATAGTGTGCTTTGAGGGGAATTTTGCCCGGACAGTGGCACTATGGCCTACTCTTACATCAAATTCTAACTGCCAATGGTTGGTTCTTTTACATGCACATGGATGTGTACACTGGACCTCGGTTTTTTATCCCATCTGAAAGACTATACATTGTCCCTTGCCAAGCCCTCTATCCTGCACCACTGATTTGGGGCAACCATGTGGAAAAACCGGATGTATTTTCCAAGCTACCGCAGGGATGGAACACAAGACCTCCGGGTTAGCATTGAGCCTCTGTGACTCCCAAGTTGTAAAGAAACATGCAATATAATATAAAAATGTAAAATGAAGATGTGTTTGCTGAAATGGGGTTTAACATCTTACAGTTCTGCATCAAACAATGCAGTGTGCCACGAGGGAAATTTTGCCCAGACAGCAACGTAGCACGTGTACTGTATCATAAGGCCTGTCAATGAGTCAACTGGCGTGGTTACGAATCCCCGGTTGTACGTGACAAGGAATAGGGTTTCCTGTCCTCGTGTGTTTTCTTCGGGTCCTCCGGTTTCCTTCCACTGCTTAAAAGACCCCTATGTGCAAGTGAATCATTGAAATAAAATCAAACCTTATATTAGTCCCGAAATGACCTAGTTTGTGTTGAGTGGAAGTTAAACCCCATTTCTCTCTTATATTTATGTTTCATGATTGAGCCAATCTGATTAAAATACAGATCGCTATTTCGTTTCATTTACACTACATGAAGATCCGACCAGTTGTACTGGGAGGTCAGGTCAGGGGTCATACGAGGGGCTTTTGACCCTATGACATCAGATATTGATTAATCAATAAGAGTTGATGTTTCTAGGGTTTTACCCACAGTTCCGTGCCGAGCAAACCAAGAAATCGCCTAACAGAAAAATTTCATTGGCTAATTCCTAACACCAACTAGAACGCCTGTTATAAAACAACTATTCCAGATCCTAGTGTTGTGAAGATAAGAAAAACGAGATTTTAATCTATAAAAAATGAAACGAAATAGGATGTGTGTTTTAATCAGATTGAGATTGAGCATTAGGTTTCAAAGAAAATATCTGGATCTGTTTCTATCAAATACAAGATTATCCAGTCATTCGCACATATGCAGAAAATTCAATTAAACCAAAAAACATATGGGGAATGTTCAGTCTTAAACATACATTATGCAATGGCTAAATCTGCCTAATGCATAGAACGATTTCTTCAGCATACCCGTTTTGCATTTCTTGTGAGGGATATTACGTAATCGTATTATATTTTGTGCAATTACGCTCGTACATAACTTAATAATTTCGATTTGTTGCAAAACTGATAGTTTATTAACCTTTTGGCGTTATTTTATCTGGATTATCGCCCTTTTTATTGTGGTGTTTTTGTCACTTTCTATAATTTTGACGTCATTGACAACCTACCGTCTTTTTACGTTACGTCATTCAGTCAGCAGACTTTCGAGGCGGTCTACATTTTTTCATTTGCTTCTTTGTATTCAGTATTGTTCGTTTTTTACTCTGTTTTTGTGATAGGTGGAACACTTACCCTACTGTATTCAATATGCCTCGATTCTTTTGAATACTAAAACGTTTCTTAATTGACTTATAGCATTTAGTTTTAGACTACCTGTTTTTTTATACATTTCACCTATATGGTTACTTGTATACATGTAGTTAAATTTTACTACAATATGCTTACATTCATATTTCTTGTAACATATAGCAGATCATGACTCATGCTGGTATTACACAATGGTTTTTGTTTTTGTGTAAATTATGTGTGGTGCAGTCGGCCCTGCACTTACTATTTAGGCCTCCCATGTGTATGGCGCTATTGCGTGTCGCATTTGCATCTCATTGGTTCTGTTGGGGCGATAAGTTCTTCATCTATGAACATACTCTCAAAGCATGTCAAGTGTCCATGACTATTTATCATATCGCAACCTGCATAGGTATTTGCATTTCAATATCCCCTACTTTTTTAGAAGAGTATATCTGTTTAGAATGGAGCAATTTGACAGAAATTTTCAACATATCTATTTACGTTATCTATTTTTTTTTAACTATTATAGCGAGAACTGTCTACTCTTTATCTTATCTCCCATAATGACCTTTTAAGGCAGGGTCTCCATTAAAGAGGGAATCAAGCTGAATTTTTTTGTTATTGGTTATTGTTTATTAAATCTGATTGAAAGAGAGATAGATGGGGTTTAACGTTCACTCGACACAAACTAGATCATTTCGGGACTAACATATGGTTTAATTTTATTTCTATAATTCGCTTGCACATAGGGGTCTTTAGCAGTAGGAGGTAACCAGAGGACCCAGAGAAACCCCACAAGGTTGGACAGGCGACCCTAATCCTTGTCACGTACAACTGGGGAATCAAAACTATGCCAGTTGACTCAATGACAGACCTTATGCTACAACACGCACCCGCTAACCATTCGACCATCCAACCCCATTATCTTGATAAGAAGCTATATCCTAAAAACACTAAGCCTTCATTTAAAAATAGAAAGGAAGAAGAAATTGTATACAGTTATTCTTTATATTATTATAAAATACAAGATTTATATATTTGGATTATATAGTCAGTAATCTATATCTGTTTTTGGGGGGGTGAATGGCCGAATGGTTAGCATGTGCGCCCTGTATCATAAAGCCTGTCATTGAATCAACTGGCGTGGTTTCGAATCCCCGGTTGTACGTGACAAGGAGTAGGGTCGCCTGTCCAACCTCGTGGGTTTTCTCCGATTCCTCCGGTTTCCTCCCACTGCTAAAGACCCCTACGCGCAAGCAAATTATTGAAATAAAATTAAACCATATGTTAGTCTCGAAATGACCTAGTTTGTGTCGAGTGGACGTTAAACCCCATATCTCTCTCTCTCTCTCTATATCTGTTTTTAGATTCTCGCATTTCAAATTCAAGCCAACTGACTGAATCCAAATCAGGAGAATATCTACCATGGATATTTTGGTTTTGTTTTCGTAATCAAATGTTAAATATTCAATTTGATGACATTGGATTAAGCCATGAATAGTTAGATTTTGTCAATGGTTTAAATAAATCATTAGCTTTAAATTGAATACAATTAAATTTCTAGGTTTATTCTCTTACCTTCTGATAGCCATGTACCAAGACGATGCCAAGAGGTGTAGGTTTTAGTTTCCGACCGGGTATGATGTTGACGTAATTCCGCTCACAGATATTATTGATATGAACAGGTATACTAGCATCAGTACCGATTCCATTCTTCTCCATCAGTGAAATAAGTTCTGCTTCTGTTAAATAATCCGGGGGAGATGTTTGTCTTTCTACAAGTTTAGCCTAAAATATAAAAACCATCAAATTATTGTCTAAATATGAAATCAATAGGCCTAGGACGCACAGTTGTATTGCAATTTTTAAACCAAACCAAAGAAACTACAGTCAATCGACATGTCTGAGTCAAAAACCTGTCCCAATCTGGACAAAGTTATCTTCCCTCACACTTAAAGACCAATATTCCAGGTGAAAAAAGACTTCCAGTCCATACACATTCAACAGCAGTCTTTGAAGAATCAGTTTGATCAATATCCATTTAAAGTTGCTACGGATTTTCTGCGATCTTTGTCTTAGACGTGTCAGTCAAACACTAAGGGGTAACTCATTTCTATTTACGAAAATCAAGCTCTAGATAGAATCTAAGCAAGGGTTTTTGTTTTTTGTCATCTAAATTACGATCTAGAAGAAAGTTTACAGACTTTATTTTCGTGAAATTTAAATAATGAATTATTCAAGCCTGGATATTAGGAAATTGTCGCAGACATTGTCAGGCACAAATTCAAACTTTATCAGGGACAATGTCTCTCATTTTGTCTGGTACAAATTTGTGGTTTTTTTTCTGTGTTTTTATTGATATTATTAATACATGTCCAGCACTAAGTTGAAAATGGCAGGAACTAGTTCATTAGTAATCTTTAAGTGGCATTTAGCGATTGGGAAACACATTAAGGGGAGGCACTGCTCGACAAATATGAATTTTAAAATAACTGGCTTCTAATAATGTTATCAACTTAGGCAAAATAGGCTAATCGGCAGTTTTGGGGGAATCTGCTTTACTGGTTACCATGGAAAAAAAAAAAATCATTTTTACTGCTTAAAAAAAATCGTTCTCTGAAAGTATCAAAGGTAGAAGCCTGGAACTTTTTTTAAAATGTTCCTAGGACATTTCTCTGTGCAATTATCAATATGGTGTTGTTATTGTGTCCTTACATGTCATTCTATTCAACAAAACAAAAATTATGAAAAATGTTGTTTTCAATGAGAGATTTCAAATGCCAATTTACTACACTAAAAATTCATTTAGAGTACTGAAAATCCTTACTTGCATGGAACTAACATTACTTAAGTATGTGTGTAAGTTTCAGACATATCTGTTGTAAACTTTTCAAGAACGATTTTTTGTAAGGTTGTCGACTGTTGATATTTTACTTTTTGAGAAATTAAGACATAAATAGGTAAAACAGCAAAATTTGAATTGCAAGAGTGTTTAAAAGTGCATTTTTTCTATCATAAACCACTTTATATGTATTTTCTTTAATTACAAGTGAAATAAAAATGAATGAACATCACAAATATGCAAATATAAAAAATCGATAATTTGAGTCAAAATTGACATTTGTCGACCCTTGCCTCCCCTTAACAGAACACAATTTTTATGGGAAACAATTGTGCTTGATAACAACAAGAGGATACTTGTCGAAACGTCATGCTCTTAGAATAAAACCAGTGATTGTTTCCCATAAAAATTGTGTTCTGTTAGTTCATTAGTGTCTGAAATTTTGTCAGATAAAACTGAAGCTGTTATATCCTGGTTTGGAATTATTCGTCGTCTGGCTATTAACTATTGTAAATTAAAATGTAACATTCTTCTTACTTACATGATCTAATGGTATAATTTGTTCCCGTGTAAATTGTGGCATTTCTTCATCACTACTTAACGCTTGCCATGGCATGACGGCTGTATAGCCTGCATCTAACAGACGATTACCACTCGTAGAAAACTTCTCTAAACCAATCTCAAAATGTACAGTGGTCTGTAGATATCGGCAATCTGGTGATAACTATAGTAACGAAATAAACAAAATGTATGATAGCCTGTAGATATTGACAATAAATGAGCGGAACATGGTTGAAAATATCGCCTTAACACCCCAAACTTCTCTATATATACTTTGTCTTAAAGAAGTACAAGTCACCTTCATTGATTACATTTCACAATATTTGTTTTTTTGATGTTTATAGATCTCCCTGAAGCATTAGTAAGGAATCCCTATAGTAACCCTTCACTCTGTGACCTCGGTACTGACACTTCTCTTCACTTTGGCCTAAACAATAAGAAATTAAAAGTGACCTGTTGCTAACATTTAATTCTAGGTTGGACCCTGCTATGTAATTAATTCTCTACTCACGGTTCCAATAAAATGTCTGGTAATATAATCATATATTCTCCATGAATCATGATCGAAATCGCTTTCTCTGGCCAACTTCATTGGTGTAATAGGTGGATGATCACCAGCATCTGACCCTTTCCTATCAAAAAAAATAAAAAAATACATAACATGAGGTTTAACTGCCACTCAACACAAACTATGTCATTTTGTGACTAACCTATGGTTCAGATAGAAAACCCACAAGGTTGGAGACTGGAGAGGCGTTTCCACTCCTTGTCATGTACAAGCTGGGAATCAAAACCACACCACTTGACTCAATGACAGACTTTCTGGTCTAAAAAGCATGGTCAGACCATTCGGCCACCCTCCACCCCTCATTGACCTCTCAACTAGAACATTCTGTGTTCAGATCCTGAAACTTACCATATGTTAGTCTCAAAATTACCAAACTATTGTACTGACGAGACATTAAACCCTATTCCTTTCCACTACATTATATTCATATTCTCTTTCTCCATTAAAAATGGGGGGGGGGGGGGGATGGTTTAATGGTTAGCACGTGCGCGCTGTATCATAAAGTCTGTCATTGAGTCATCTGGCGTGGTTTCGATTCCCCAGTTGTACGTGACAAGGAGTATGGTTGCCTGTTCAACCTCGTGGGTTTTCTCCGGGTCCTCCGGTTTCCTCCCACTACTAAAAGACCCCTACGCGCAAGCGAATTATTGAAATAAAATTAAACCATATGTTAGTCCCGAAATGACCTAGTCTGTGTCGAGTGGACTTTAAATCCTATCTCACTCTCTCCATGAAAAATGACTAAAGTCATTCACAGAGTGACATCATTAAGCCACTAGCGTGACTTTAAAACAAGTATTGTATAAAAAATATTTTGAACTTACTTTGGTTTTTGGATGCCTTCATTAAGTAATTTAGTGACTAAATCTCCCCAGTTTGGACTAGATTGTTGTTGACGCAAGGTTCCTCTGAAATAAAATAACAACAGATTATTTCTTTATTTTTATAAATGTCTATATTGTGTCTTGTACGCAGGTTTATCTTGTAGAATTTGTTTATTTTTTGCAATGTCTATATTCTGTCTTGTCCGCAGGTTTTTCTTGTAGATTTTGTTTTGCGTGAAGTGCGGTCCTCCTGCACTTACTATTAGAAAATTCAATACAAACAAAGCATTGGCTGTCAGACAACCAATGTAAAATATTTCGGGTTTAACAGCTTTAGTCGCGCATTCCGAAATAAACAGAAATACGGGACATATTCTCAAAATTTAGTAGTTTGTATCTGAATGAGGATTGAGGTTGGGGATCAGGCGAAGCCTATATTTGGTAGTTGGTCACATATTCATTCTATTAATCAGATTTCAGCTTTTCTTTCAGCTTAATGGATGTGGTTATAGATGCACAGTTATTTCCAATACTTAACAATACTTATTTCCAATATATGATCTATGACTTACTTTAGATCAAAGTTTTCAGGATATTGTGTAGTTTCCGTTCTAGGGTAACTTATGTAGCCTTGTGTATAAAGCCTTTCTGCTACCTGCATAGTATGATGTGGTCCAATACCTACAATAACAACAGACATTATCTATTTTATAGATTCAACAAATAAAAGTACATACTTGTAAACTATCACCTGCGCTGATATGTTTGATATAACATATGGCGTTTAATGACATAAAATGAGGTTTAACATCCTTCTTTTCGGTACCAACCTGGGGTCTATTTCACGAAATTTTAACTAAGATAAAATCCAAATTTTAGTAACTTGATTGGATAATATTAGATTGATTTTAGTGTTTAGCCAATCAAAATTGAAATATCTACTAAAATTTGGATTTTATCTTTAGTTAAAATTTCGAGAAACAGGGCCCAGGCTTCTGAAGATGGGAAAAGTCTCAGCTATTCTTTTAGACTAAGATACAATCTTTTTTTCAATGGTTACATGTACACATCCTCGCAAAATTTAACCCCTTGCATTGTACACATCATCCTCGGTGGTCTCAATCCCTTCTACGTTCACAACAATATGTTGGCTTGTTCACTCAACCATGAGAAAGTTTGCAACAAGACACCAAACAAGATGAGACTTACTTACCATCGCCAACTTTCTTTATATTTAACGATTTTTTTGAATGATTGATAGGGATAGCATAATCATCAAGGGCGGATAATTTAAATATGTGTCTCCCCCATAGATGAACCCAGGGTTTAGTGGCGATACAGAGGATGACATGTACAATTCAAGGGGTCAAATTTTGCTCAGTGAGCTAAATTTCTGTCTATTCTTCTTCAAATTCCAACTCCATTGGCTTTTGTGCCATCCGAATGAATATGCTCATTTACATTAACAGGTCTACAGAGAACCCAGCATACAAATTCGAATCCTGGACACTCTTGTTCAGAGCCCAGTGTCCTAAAAACTTGGCCCCATGATCCCTTTGATATCATAAAACATGAGTAAAAGAGATTCTCTATTTTCTACAAAACTTACCTAAACCCGAACTAGCTACTCGCAGTAATTCTACTGTATTTAAAGCTATTGGTCGTGCTTTTGTTTTTTCTTTCTGTGTTGTGGTTACGACTCTACAAATAAAGCAGGTAAATAAAATAAGAATTTTGTTTTTCAGGAACAGAAATTGATGAATTTAATGATGTCAATTTTTCTAGAGAAGTAGTGATTTTGAAAAAACATTTTATTTCTAGCTGTGTATTATCAATGTGTATAATGGAGCCAAAGTTTGTCCCATCCCATATATATATCCATGCCATATCCTGTCTATTTGTTTTTTAAAACCCAGCCCTTGATTTCAGTTAGTTGGCTCAGTGGGTATGAAATTGGCTCACTAAATAGGGTTCTTCGGGAATTTCCCATCTGGTTTGTCCTTGCTAGTGGTGCCGAATGGAGAGCCTGGCAATCAAAAACTTGTAGTTGTTAGGATGGAACAAAAAAACATATGTCTGTTGTATACAACTGGCAGCATTGAAATGGGGGGTTTAACGTCCCACTGTTCTGTTCTAACTGGGCTAAGGAAGACAGGCATACACCAAAACAATGTGCTACGAGGGAAATTTTGCCAGTACAATAGCACTTTGGCCAACGCTTATATCGAATTCCAACTGCCAACGTTTCTTTTACAGGCATGCCAATGTGTACACAGGACCTCGGTTTTCCATCCCATCCGAATGACTATGCATTTTTCTTTGCCAGGCCCTCTGTCCTGTACCACTGACAATGTCTAGTCTCAAACCATTGTTGGCAAATTGTTAAAATTTATTGAGAATCATCGAAAAATATTGGATTCCTATTGTCACATAGTTTAAATGGTTCGTCTAGATTAGTTAATGAGTGTCAGGTTTACAACTGTTTACTTTCCTGAGTAGTGTTGAGTAATTAACAGACTAATTAAAGATACATTATGTAAGATTTAGATAAAGAACTAGCCATTCGTTCTATAATAGTCTGAAAGTAGATGATGTAAAATGAATAATTTGAAAATTTCATTCAAATTACTCTATTGCAAGCGAAGATATTAGCCTTTGAAGTTTTGACAGACGTGTGCAATAATTTCAACCACCGTACTGGTTGATCGAAGCTAAGTCTCGGTCCTCCATATTTGATTAAATCAAAGTATCGCTGAACCATTCTAATCTATTTAATATCGGAGAAATTGATTAAGGCCTGGATCAGTTTATTAATGTCTAATTAATACTTTAGAAAACATTTTAGGCCTAAAGAAAGGCCTGCAATAGGCAGATTTAGCCCTTGCATAATGCATGTTTAACAGACTAATTAATTACTATGATAGTTTTAATGATGATATTAATATATATAAACTGTACAGTACATACCTGGCTTCTTCACTACCTTTGATCATATTTAAAAACATGAGAGCTATTTCTTTATCAAATAATCGAACTCTCTCCCATTCTAATTTTAATGACTTGCCACCAGGATGAGTTATCTACAATATCAACCAAATATGCAATTATCACCACAGATGTTTAAATTTGATTATAGTTTTTTTAAATACAATACAAGAGAAATATGGAAGTTGTCTTTGAATAATATCAAGCTATACATTCAATTTATTGTAAAACCTGTCATTAAACTGACAGTTAGTTCCTTCTTACAATCTAACACAACTCATAGTGACATATGGACAAAGAGGAACGCCATCATACAACAGTCCTTGTACAAGACAATTTCCATGCAAGGAACTAAAATTGGCCTATCTACTGGTCACCTAAACGTTTGTAATATTTAAATAGTTGTAATGGTTTTTACAGATTTAGTACAAAAACAATGTTTGTTTTCTTCAATATGAATAATATATTCTCTTTTTCCATTTGAATTTCACCATGAGAAAATTAAATGATAAATAAGAATAATAACAAAAAATTTTTTTTAATGAAAACAATAGGGCTTCTTCTAGCTATGCCGTAGAGCTCCCTAATAATAAAATAAATTAATGAAAACAATTGGTTTACACTAGCAGAGCCAGACGGCACCCTATAAACCTCTCTACTATAAAGTGTCAACCAATCAACTTAACTACGGAAAGCACCAAAGGTACTAATTGGAGGTACAGCGGTAACCAGGTTATCAGTTTATTTTCGTTCCACACCTTACACAATTTACAAATTAGTAACAACAATGCCTACCTGTACATCTATAACCCAAAATGGTTCTGGTTTAAATGATTGTATTTTATCATGTCTTTCTACACAAAAACCTAAAGTTGGGGTCTGACATGGACCATATGATATTAATGTACTATCTAAATCACCATATTTACCCTGAAAAAAATAAAATAAATAAATAACTGAGCAGGACGTCATTGCTGCCATTTTGGAAGTGTGACATCATATTTAAAATTGAAGTCTGTCTATCGATGCACAATTAACCATGTAGTTAACAGTTAATATATTATATTATGTATATTATACATGTAGATAACAGCTAATATATACATGTAGATAACAGTTAATTCTACTGAATTCTGCCTGTTCCGATCTAGTGGCAATATAAGGTAGGCAAAAATCTAAAAGTTTTCGCCTGGCTTGAAATACTTTCTGTCAACTCCATTTTTTTATCTACCTTACATCTAATAAAAATTTAGGGATTATTTTTTATTAAAATTAAAGAAAACCCAAGAAAAGGATGGTCATTTGGAGACACATGTATATATTTGTACACAAAATTTAAATCAACACTAATATTATTATCGTACCGTGAAAAGATGGGATTCTGATATCCAATATTTAAGACAGAATGAAAATTTTAAAAATGGCAAAGAAGTCTTTGAGCGCCATTTGTAATGAAGTGACTTGATGAACGAGGCTAAACAGCAATGAAAGACTGGAATAACCAGATACCACAGACTGCCAATCAATTTGGGCTCTTTGCGTATTTCGCCGAACATAACTGTTTAGAAATTACAGTAAAACAGAAATGATTGAATTTAAATCAGTTTATATACACTCATTTTACATTATTATATGTGTTGCGACCCATTTGTGTCAATTTTTAGGTTCCAAAGAATAGAGATTTAGCTCCTTTAATGTACATATGTTTCTTTCTTGGACCCACAACATGAAATGAAGTAGAACACTGTAAAGATCATTGTCTCTAAGTGTGCTGTATCAAGATTACAAGATCTTCAGTTTGGATATAGTTTTTAAGTCATTCTATTTTCTGCCTTCTTTATAGATATCTATCCTATCAATCTTCTACTTTACCTGAAAGAATTTTGTTTGATATCTAGTAAAAGCACATCCAATTCTTAAATCTAATTCTTGTCTGGCATCTACAGACTGGGCTTCATTTTTATTAGGGGATACCAGATTCTGCATGGCACGTTTTATATCTGTATCTGTTATAGCACTGAATCGTGCTCGATATACTTGCTGAAATACATAATGTTACACATACATGTACAGCATACACTCAACATAATGGTCAATCTTGGATAAATACAATTAGAATTTTAAGATTTTTTTCCACCCCTTCTCAAAAAAATTTGCAAGATTTTTTTCCACCCCTTCTCAAAAAGATTTGCAAGTACCCCAAAACGTTATCATCAAAATTATCGTCAAAATCAAATTTTTAATCACAACTTTCATTTTTTAACGCAAATTGCAACTTTGGTGAATGACAGCGCGAGTCGCACATACAGGTGGCATATCTGGTGAATAAAAAACACATATTTCTAATTTTTGTTGTTCAGGCTCCAAGAACAAGACTGATTCTATTTACAGAGAAAGCATCAAGAATATTCAGTGATTCGTAGCACTTTCAGTGGCATGCAGCAGTTTGGTGATCCCTAGAGTCAACTCATTTTCTTTGTATGCTCCCAAGACTCATATAAATAAGGTGAAATGAGATACATCCTGAAGGCATTTCTCAATCCTTATTAGTGTTATCAGGGGAAGGACAACTAATAACTAATGCTACTAACCTGACCTTGAACTCTGTTCATAGCACCTATAGTACATTCCATGACTTCAAAACAAATATTCTCACCTTCTTTATCACAATCTAACCATAATACTAAATAATCTGCACCTTGTGCCTACAAGTACAAATATAGCAAACATCAACAGACTTGTCAGATCCCTAATACATGTATGAATATCACAAGCAATGTCAGCCCTTAATAGCTAATTAATCTTTTTACCTCTCTCCTTAAAAAGTTTGGCATGTGTAAATTTGGTGAAGCTTCTTTTTTCTGAATTGGAGCAGTAAACAGTTCTGCCTAAAAAAATAAAATCTTTCTTCATATATATAATAATAAACATTGAATAGTTTACAAATGAATAGCCAACATGCATGTAACATGCTTATCCTGTAAATGGGTCAGTCACCACTTGGAAGTCCTACAGCATTCCTTAATTGTCCTCCAGACAGTTTTCAAATGTAATCTTTGTAGTTTCTTGTATTAGGAAACTAGCATACCAGACTGACAACAATTTAAGCAGGGTCAACAAAAAGTAATATATGCACTTCTTGATTTGGACTGTAATAAATTCTGTGAATATATCTATGTGGATCTGGCATATACCATACATGTAATATCTGTTGAGTGGAAAAAGTTTGGAATACAGTGTAGGAAGGTGCTAACTTTAAGTCTTGATGGATTTTAAGCACACTATTATTAATAGAATTCAAATATAATGTACATGTATGCCATCCCTGTACCCACGGTATTACATTTTAATTAATAATTAGGAGATAGAGAGAAATTAGGTTTAACATTCACTCAACACAAAGTGGGTCATTTGAATTTGAGGAGTACGGTAACATATGGTTTAATTTTATATAAATAAATCACTTTATGTAGTTGGAGGATCCAGAAAAAACACATGTACATAGTACTACTACTAGTGACAGACCTTCCTAGACTAGACCATTTGGCCACAAACAAACCTCCCTTCATAAATAGGAATACATCAGCTAAACCTACAGGGTCAACTTTATCCCAGCTGTTATATTTGCCAACAAAATCACAACCCATGACATGACCACACACAGACGTCATTTTGAAGGTAACGTTTTCTCCGTTGAATTTTCCTCTGTATTCGTGAATTGAACAAGCTCCATTTGAACCTTTTCTACTTATGCAACTTCCATTTGACAGAATTTTCGCTAGTGACTGGGCTAAAGATGGCTTTTCTGCCACCATAAGCACAGTTCTCATGATGCCTAACTAGATTTTTTGTCAAAAATTGACTAAAATGCTCAAAAATTAAATAAATGTTATAAAAAATCTCATTTGCAAGTTTTCGTGGGCGCTGCCATATTTGGATTTCTTGCGAAGGGCGGATAACTCTGGATAGAAAATGGCGGGACTTTTGTATATTAATAATATTATTAGTAATAATAGTAAATAAATGTTTAAAAGTCCAGGAGAAACATATTGAAAGTTTCACAAATATGACATCTGAAAGCGCCAGAGAAGACGAAAAACTGAAATATCTTGGTAGATTTATTAAGTTTAGTTGAAGCAGGAACAAATGGATAAATGATCTAAATATAATTTTAAGACATATCGGTCCGACCTAAGCTAGGGAATTCGGAACCTTCCGAATTCGGAATTGACGGAATTAAGTACAATCACACGTGTCATGTTTCTAATAAAGTTCCGAATTTTTGGAATTGTAATCAAGTAGTTACTTTAGTAACGTAAATTGTATCAGCTCTGCTTTCTACTGATAAAGTAACTAGCAATCAAGTAACACTCACACAGAATCGAGTCTTGACACAGTTCTGTCAGTCGGAAAGTGATATTGTAGTGTCATGTCAATTTGTCAAGTTTTTGGAATGACAAATCATAAATAAATGACAGCTTTTCAGGGATCGGTTGATGAAGCTCGTTTTGATATTTTAACAAAAACAACGAAATATACACAAATCTTCAACAGTTATCGAGTCCAAATAGTCGTTATATAAGCCCAAATTGTTGTCTGACTGAGTCCGAACTGGTGTTTCTGTGCAGTCTGAAATGTCACCACAGGACCGAAATGTCATGATACCAAATGGTTGTTTCCAATTCTATGTTGTCTATATCAATGAGTCTTGCCTAGTATTGCTCATTAGGAAGACAAATTTCAGTTTTATAAATGTGACTTTATTATTGTAGTTTAAGATAGATTGTTCCGTAGCATGGTGACTTCTTGTGCTCAGACTTAAGGAATATGTTGTATAATTTATTTTGTCACGTGACTCATACATTTATCATCAAGAATAATAGTAAAATACAGTACATCACAATACTTTCTATAACTATAATATTTTATTTCCAGAAATTGTAAAGATCTACGCTATAGACATCCATCGAGCTGAATTGATAACCATAGTACAAGATGAAGATGATGAAGAACATTTTTCTATATCTATTGAGTATGTCATGAGAGTTTAAAGGCAAAACAAGCTTGTATATATATCCTAAAACTAAAAATCTGCTGCTGTTCATCAGTGTTGCATGGGGAGAGTCGTCTGACTTGTTTCAGATAGACCTTATCGTGAAACCAGAAGTGGTCTAACTCCGGAAGTGGTAGTGTAACTCCACCAAGACCTATATGTCACTTCCCAGCTCAAACTGCCCTTATGGCATAACTTTCAGCCTTAGTACAGCTTCCGAACCCCAAACAGACAAATGACTGTAACAAATATAGATTTTGATATAAAGAGAGATGCTAATTCATAGTAGGGCATTTTACAAATTAAATCAACCACTCCTATTTTCTATAAATAATGCAACTATATGGCTATATGGATCACTACATATTTTATATTTTATTTTTCAGTGCCTTGACCTTGTTCGAGTCTAATATGGCAATATGTGATGTACTATTATCCAGTCCTCTACTGATTTTACCGTTATTTGATGTAGCCTTGATTGAAGCTCAGCAGCACATTATACGAGATATGACAGATTCCACTTTGGTAAGTTTTGATTTATGTCTGTGTTCATTACCCCTGTTGGTGCAGAAGAGTAGGCTGTAAAAATTTGCATTTCATTTGTAAGAGTCACTGCTAAATAAACAACACAGAACATTATCAAATAGAACACAAATCTATGTGTATGTGATTTATTTAAACAATTTCAAAGTAAATTACTGAGGAATAAAGATCCTATAACATGGACAACTACTATTTTAATTGGGGAGCCACGGTGGCTAGGTGGTTAAGACGCTGGCTCGCTAGCCTGGAGGTTGGTAGTTCGATCCCTGCATTGGCCGAGAAAGTTCATCCTGATTTTCCGACGTGATTTCCCCTTGTCAGTGATGCAGAACAGAGGGCCTGACAAGGATAGCTGTCTAATCCTTCAGATGATACGAAAAACCGAGGTCCCGTGTAGTGTATACATTGGAATGCACGTAAAAGATCCCTTGGCAGTTGGAATTCGATATAAGATTAGGCGATAGTGCCGCTGCCTGGGCAAAATTTCCCTCATAGCACACTGTATGGCGTATGCCCGTCTTCATTAGCCCAGTATAGGAGCAGAACAGTAGGACGTTAAACCCCATTTCATTTCATTTCAATTTTTATTTTAATTGTGTTTCAGACAGTGAAAAAGAATGTGCATGCAAGAATAATGGCATTACCTGTTTGTCCAGAACTAACAAGAACTACACTGCCTAAAACAGCTGATGTTGGCAGTTTTCTTTCTATTACTGGTAAGCAATTTAGATTAAATAATAATATTAAAGGGAAATGTTTCTCTAACTTACGGAGAAACCCCAGATATATTTTAGTGAATAAAGCAGGTTAATTCTGTGTGGTACTCTTAGAACCCTTTTAGAACCCTTTATTAGAGTCTCAAGCAAATATCTGAACCCCTGGGATAAATTTTTAAATATATACTAAGATCCATTTGTTAGGTTTGTTAATTAGCCAAATATTTGGTTGATTAGCTATCAAAATTTGTTGAAGCCATTTTGTAGACAGTTGGCTTCATTCATTTACCCAATGTTAACAGCATGAAAGATTAGAAATACTTCAATTCATATTTTGAGCCAAGGCATATCCAGGCATCTAATAATTCCACTGAGCCAAATATGGATTTCTAAATTTTTGTTCCTGCCTTTTAGGTACAGTCACTGACACAAGGACTTGTTTGATATGTTTTAGGTACAGTCATTAGAACAACATTAGTAAGAGTGTTAGAATTTGAAAAAGACTATAGCTGTAATAAATGTAGAACCATGGTTACAGCTAAAGTATGTACTCCTTAATCACTTGACTAGATATGGCAGACAAGCCTATGAAACTTGTGGGTAGAGTCAGTCGCTGGTTGGAGATAGATGAGCAATACAGAAATTTTACCGCTTCCTTTTCCTTAGTTAAAGACTCAAGTTTCCGAGGGTGGTATTAAGAATCTATGATAGGCTCCATCCGGAGGCTTTGCTCCTGGCAACAAGTAGTATAGAGTGCCTAATCTAGACCAGTGATTCTCAACCAGTGTGCCGTGAGATCTTCCTAAGTGTGCTGCAAAATCTTGAACGGCACACTAAGAAAATGTGAAAAACCATTTGATCCCAATTGAGTATTCACTGGTGTCTACTGATAAGTTCATAGCTTTTCTTTTTTTAGTTTGAGTCATTCCATGTGTCTATGACTACAGTTGTATTCCGTCTGACTTACCATGTTTTTATTTTGCAAAATTCAAATATTTTTCATATATATTTAGCCAGATGTGCCGCTATTTCTTCATGTATTCCAAGGTGTGCCGATGGCAAAAAAAGGTTGAGAACCACTGATCTAGACCCTTGATTAGATGGTGTGCATGTACAGTCTCTCCCACGTTGCCACCAGAGCAATCTTACTTAGTGGTACTTTTATAGGGTCTGATTGTCCAGTCCCGTATTGTTTTCTGCATTAAATGTTAGATAATCGATATATTATCATCAAAGAAATGCAAATGATGATTTGCTAATTTCTGAATTAATTAATTAGATATTTTTTTTTTTACCAGTCTGATTTTGAAAAGTATTACACTCTGAGTAAACCAACAAAATGTATCAATGAAGCTTGTAATGGAACAAATTTTACACCTATTAATGACAGAGGTCAGTGAATCATACTGAGATCAATCAGTTCTCTTTATTTACTGTAACCGGGGTTGGGGGGGGGGGTATGGCCGATTGGTTAGCACGTGCACTCTGTATCATGAGGCCTGTCATTGAGTCAACTGGCGTGGTTTCAAATCCCCGATTGTAGTGACACGGAGTAGGGTTGCCTGTCCAACCTCATGGGTTTTTTCCAGGTCCTCCGGTTTCCTCCCACTGCTAAAGACCCCTACGTGCAAGCAAATTAATGAAATAAAATTAAACCATATCTTAGTCCCGAAATGACCCAGCCTGTGTTGAGTGGACGTTAAACCCCATTTCTCTCTCTCTCTCTCTTGAACTTTACTGTAATTTATACTGATATTAAGGAGCATTGTCATTGAGTACTGCTTCATAATTCTTTTCAGATCTCTAAAACAGTCTTCTTCAATTCTTCAGAGGCACATATAATCAAGCATATTAAAAACCCACATCAAAGCAAATTTATTTTTAGTTTTCAAATAGCCACGACTACCATCCTGTGAATGTTTTGTTTGAATTTTCAAAGCTTAAAAATTAAAAGCTTTTGATTTTTAAGAACCAAGTACAATACTTTCGAACTAAAAGCTTTTGAGAAATTGAACCAAGTAAAAAATTCAAATCACCGTTGCCTAACAGTTTAAAATTTGTTTGTAGTTTCCTCTCCGCAGAAATGTCGGAATTATCAGGAGATAAAGATACAAGAACAGGTACAGAAATTAACAATGGGAACCATACCTAGATCTATGTGGATTGTTTTAGAAGACGATCTTGTTGATTGCTGTAAAGCTGGTGATGATGTCACTGTCTGGTAAGAATTGATTCTATTTCGTCTGGACATCTGGACATGAAGTCAGTTTCGGAATGAAGTTAGAATTCTATGGAATGAAGTCAGAATTTACTGTTAGCTATCTCAGCATAAAGACATGATCTTGCAAAGATTAGCATAACTTCTGGGCTATTTTAAAGTTGTTATGCACTATTTTGTTGAAAAATGGTTAAAAGTTAAAAAGAACAATACACAGTTTAAAGGAATGCTTGTGAGTTGTGTCTGTTGTCAAAGGGGAAATAATATTGTGTTGAGGACTCGAGTAAACAGTTATCTCCCTTTAATATAATCAAACACTAATTATATAATTCTAACTAATAATTTGACAGAAGAAAGCAAAGATTTGAATATCTTGTGATATATTTAAGACAGAAAAACTGATATGTACAGGGAAATATTTTAGACAGGCACAATATTCCAGATGAAAAAAAAGACAAATGTAGACTTTTAAGGCCTCACACAAGATAAACAGTAGTATTATTAAAATCAACCAATCCTAACATTATGACCATTTACTAAAGTTCACATTACTTTCTATTGATTTTATTACATCATCATCTTCTGTCTTATAACGTCAGTCAGCTCTTGAAAAAAAACTAGTTTCTGTCCATGAACATCAAAGTCAAGATTGTATGTAACCTGGATTTTGTATTGTTCCCCATTTTATTATTATATATTTAATTCCCAAAATGACTATTATTATATTAACCTTATCCATTGAAGCTTTAAGGTAAAAAAACCCTGCTTTTTAAGTAAATAAAATTGACATTTAAAATGTATTTTATTTTGTTATTATAGTGGTACGGTGAGAAGAAGATGGAAGAATTTAACAATGGAAGTCAGATGTAATATAGATATTGTTTTACATGCTAATCATGTCCTAGTTACTAACGAACAAAAAAACAACATCCTCATTACGCAAGAACTGGTAAAATTTCTCATTATACATCTACATTTTCATGTCGTCGCCATGTTCATCCGTCCACAATTTGTTTGTAAACACTCTACAGGTCACAATTTTTATACGTCCACATTGATATGTGGTCGTATATTGTCGTCGCCCCCGTCCGTCCGTCGGTTCGGCGTCTACAATTGCTTGTGGACGCTCTAGAGGCTAAAGTTAATATCCGGTTGACTTTACATATATACACAGTATTTAAGGTCTTGAGACGAAGAGGCCTATTGATTTTAAGGGATTTCCGATAATTGCTGCCAGAGTTATGGCCCTTGATCACTTTGAAAAATCTTGTGGACGCTCTAGAGGCCAAAGTTAATATCCGATTGACCTTAAATTTATACATAGTGTTTAAGGTCTTGAGACGATGAAGCCTATTGATTATCAACGATTTCCGATAATTACTGCTAGAGTTATGGCCCTTGATTACTTTGAAAAATCTTGTGGACGCTCTAGAGGCCAAAGTTAATATCTGATTGACCTTAAATTTATACACAGTGTTTAAGGTCATGAGACAAAGAAGCCTATTGATTTTCAGCGATTTCCGATAATAACTGCAAGAGTTATGGCCCTTGATCACTTCAAAAAATCTTGTGGACGCTCTAGAGGTCAAAGTTAATATCCAATTGACTTTAAATTTATACACAGTGTTTAAGGTCATGAGACGAAGAAGCCTATTGATTTTCAATGATTTCCGATAATTACTGCCAGAGTTATGGCCCTTGATCACTTTGAAAAATCTTGTGGACGCTCAAGAGGCCAAAGTTAATATCCGATTGACTTTAAATTTATACACATTGTTTAAGGTCATGAGACGAAGAATCCTATTGATTTTCAGCGATTTCCGATAATTACTGCCAGAGTTATGGCCCTTGATCACTTTGAAAAATCTTGTGGACGCTCTAGATCCCAAAGTTAATATCCAACTGACTTTAAATTTATAATATAATAATAATGAAGTTTTATATAGCGTCTTCTCCATGTTGACACATGCTCAAAACGCTTTTTGTAATGGCTCTACTGGTAAAACTGTTGAAACAGGAAAGTCTTTAGTGCGGATTTAAATTGATTAAAAGTTTGTTGATTCTTGATCTGTTGTGGAAGTTCGTTCCATAATCTAGGACCAGCTGAACTGAAAAACCTATACCCATATGACTTCAAATTATATCTTGGAACAACTAGTGACTGTTTATTTTGAGAGCGAAGTGATCTAATAGGGTTGTAGTCATATAAGAGTTCAGATAAGTATTGAGGAGCTGCATTATTGCGACATTTATACACTAATGTTAGTATTTTGTATTTGACTCGCGCCTCAGCAGGTAACCAATGTAAAGAAGCCAGCACATTCTGGATGTGATCAAACTTATGTGTCCTTGTTACTATTCGAGCTGCAGTATTAAGAACCTTTTGGATCTTGGCTAGAAATGCTTGTGGGATTCCATAGAGTAAACTATTACAATAATCAATCCTTGATAAAATAAGTGATCTCACAAGTAGTTTACAAGCGTCAGCAGTGAGATAGTTTCTGATGTTGCATATACAGCGTAGATGATAGTAGCATGTATGGCATACCATATCAACCTGAGCGTCCATTGTCAGAGAAGGATCAAATATCACTCCAAGGTTTCGAACATTTTTGTAGAAATTTATTTCTGAATTACCAATGGTGATTTTAAGATCAGGTAGTAACTTGAGTTGTTGTGATGAACCTGTTATACACTGTTATACACAGTGTTTAAGGTCAAGGGACAAAGAATCCTATTGATTTTCAGCGATTTCCGATATTTACTGCCAGAGTTATGGCCCTTGATCACTTCAAAAAATCTTGTGGACACTCTAGAGGCCAAAGTTAATATCCGATTGACTTTAAATTTATACACAGTGTTCAAGGTCATGAGTAGAAGAGGCCTATTGATTTTCAGCAATTTCCGATAATTACTGCCAGAGTTATGGCCCTTGATCACTTCAAGAAATCTTGTGGACGCTCTAGAGGCCCTTGATCACTTTGTGACACTCTAAAGGCTAAAATTATCATCTGATTGACTTCAGATTGATACACAGAGTTTAAGATCTTGAGACGAACAAGTATATTGATTTTCAATGAATTTTTATGACTTGAACAGCTAAATCCATGATATTAAAAGTTTTGTATTAAAATTAATTGTTTAATTATATTTCTCATTTGATCACTGTTCAATTTAAGATTGTGTAATTTGATCCAATTTGAAATTAATTACTTTATTATGTTTCCGGTTTGTTGAGTTCAATATACATTCCAATTAGAAATTTTAATTATAGAATTATGTTTCCGTTTGGATGGAGTTAAGATGAAATCTTTTTTTTAATTTAATATATATATTTAAATTACTAGATAAAATATATTCAATTTGATTAACATTTTTTAAATTTCTTTTTTGGACAGAAATCTGAAATATCAGAATTTTGGCAAGACCATGTGAACAGTCCATTAACGGCTCGCAATAAGATTCTAGCTAGTTTTTGTCCACAAGTTTATGGTCTGTATGTTGTTAAATTAGCTGTTGCTGTTTGTTTAGCTGGTGGTGTACAGGTAAGGTATATCATAACACCACGTGACCACATCTACTAATTTAAAGATAAAAATTACTGATTTCCATCAAGATTACTGAACTTTGATTGAGTTACAAATGAAGATTACTCTAATCAAGATTAGTCTAATCAAGATTACTGAAATTTATGTTTTTTAAGATTTTGTTCACAAAAACAGGAAGATCGTGTAAATTAAAAGTTTTCTGTGTAGAAAACAAGAAAATATTGTAAAAAAGGTGAATTGCGGTTATCATACTTAGTGATTATTTTTCAACAAGAATACATATCTTGTTGGTCATTAAAGTTCCTCAGGACTTTCCAGCGTGGTATCTTCTTGGGAAGTCTGGTAAAGATCTGAATGTAGTTCTTTTGATGGGAAGAAAAAGCTGAGGTTCTGTATACACGGAGTGCATGTAAAAGATCCCTTGACAGTTGGATATTGAATTAAGAGTAGGCCATAGATATGCTGTCTGGGCAAAATTATTCTCATAGAACACTGCATAGCATATGGCCATCCTTGTAAGCCCGGATGGAGCACCTATCAACAAATCATTAGGGGATGAAATTATAATGCAAATAACAAAATTATTTCACCGACTAGTTTGTTAATTGGTATGTTTCATGTATTTTAATAGCGAGAAGATGAAAGTGGTTCTAAAGTTAGAGGTGAAGCCCATCTTTTACTAGTTGGAGATCCAGGTTATTAGATATTGGTATTTAATTCATGGACCGTGATCTGGGTCCCAAGTGCTACTCATTTTGTTCTTGGAAGCGATGTTCTTCGAAAAAAGCCTATAGCTCAACCAAGTCATGTACGATCGACATGGAACTTCGCATGCTTCTTCCTTGGACAATTTTGCATTGATATGGGATTGTAATTCCAAGATGGTGGTGATGATGTCATGCTCTATTCTTGTCCATAATACGCTGGTACAAGTTTTTAACTGATTGGGTAAAAAGAAAGTGTCCGAGAGTGATTTAACGTTTGCACTGTAGATGATGTGCCTATTCACTATGCAAGTCATGGGTTTGATGCTAGGTTGCTATGTAATAAGATATTGAGTCGCTTGCCTTACCTCGTGGGTTTTGTCTAGGTACCCCTGTGTGAGCAGGCGATTTATTGAAATATATACCATATGTTAACCGTGAAATAATCTGCTTAATGTCAAGTGGATGTTAAACCTCAGTTTTGTCTGTTTTTCTTGTATGGTCATTTTTCACTTGATATCACTACTGGGTCAGAGTTTTTAAATTTTTATTTATGAAAATCTTTAATGAAAACTTAAGTAGTATGCAAGGATATAAATGTGTTTAATCATGAAGTGTCCTTATTTCCTATGACAGGTACTGGAAAATCACAGTTTTTAAAGTATGCTGCTAAGATAACACCTCGATCGGTATTAACTACGGGTATAGGCTCTACTAGTGCTGGTTTAACAGTTACAGCAGTAAAGGTAGGTATAACATCTTATTCTGTATTAACTACTGGTATTGGTTGTACTAGCAGTTACAGCTGTAAAAGTAGGTACTGATTAGGGAGGCTTTGGCTTGTTAAAGTTGTTCTGCATGTGTATCTCTCTATTTAGCTAAAAGTAGTGATGAGGCAGGGGATGCTTATTCTTTCTTAAACAACTTCCATAAAAACGTTTTAATTTGAACTTTCCATTTCAACTAATCGAAATCATTTCAGTTTTTATAGCTTACGTTTCCTGCTGTTTCGTCAATCAGACATTATTGAGAGATGGGCATTGTTTTAGAATATTGCAATACAGCCCTTAAACTGTTAGAGTTATCGTATGATTAAATGTTGACTGATGATGAAAAATTATTCTGGCTTACCTAGAGTCAATGCCACTTTAAGAAGGCTGTATTCCAGAGTGTCATTAAGTTTTACTTTTTCCCTCAGGATTCTGGAGAATGGCAGCTAGAAGCAGGTGCTCTAGTATTAGCTGATAGTGGTTTATGTTGTATAGATGAGTTTAATAGTATTAAAGAACATGATAAAGCCAGTATACATGAAGCTATGGAACAACAGACTATCAGTGTAGCTAAGGTAATGATATAACTATTCACTGTACAGCTATGGTACAACAAACTATTAGTGTAGCTAAGGCAATAATTGCACTATTCCCTGTACAGCTATGGAACAACAGACTATCAGTGTTGCTAAGGTAATGATATAACTATTCACTGTCTCACTGTACAGCTATGGAACAACGGACTATTAGTGTTGCTAAGGTAATAATATAACTATTCACTGTCTCACTGTACAGCTATGGAACAACAAACTATCAGTGTAGCTAAGGTAATAATATAACTATTCACTGTCTCACTGTACAGTTATGGAACAGTATACCCTATGAACAACAAACTAGGGAACAGAATTTTGTGAGACTGCAGAATTTCTATATTTGATCAATGAATCCTGTCAAGAGTTCTTTGACATGCACACCAAAGTAGACCCAAGTTTATTCTGATATCCGAATGACTAGGCAACACCTTAGTTGTCAGCTCCGTTCTTAGATTCTTCTCCTCCTGTGCTGTGATTGAAACCCTGTATCGTCACATTTTGACTACTGATTGATTTTTGTAGAAGAGACGCTATAAAGCGGAAGCAAGACTTATTGTGAGTGTTCTGTAAATTTCGACCACATCTGCCATAAGCCGAAATAATAAAAGTTCACAAATTGTTCCTCAATGTCTGCTATTACAGACCTATATGAATTTTGTTGTATGGTTAACACATACACATAAGGTTACTCAGTGTTACAGACTAGACTAAAATAAAAACAAATTCTTGAATTGCTCTGATATTCTGAAAACTAATGTATCTATTGTGTTTATTTCAGGCAGGATTAGTTTGTAAGTTAAGTACAAAGACAACTATATTAGCTGCTACAAATCCTAAAGGACAGTATGATCCGGAACAGGTATATCATTTAATAAACATATTCATCAGTTTCTTGCATGGATGGTACTTCTCCGGTATATTCCGGAATTTACTCAGCCAACGAAAAGTGTCTAGTTGTTCAGATGGGATGTTAAACCCCAATTCATTTCATTCTATAATCATTTGATAAAGTTACAATTAGTATATTGTTTCAGTAGTGTCCTGATAAAGCATAGACAATATTGAACCCTCTGTTCAAGTTCCATAAATCTGATAAAGTTTTTCAAGTTTAAAAAATAATAATAACATATACTTTTAGTTTTATTACATGCATATATATAAGATATTGTTTATATTTTTCAGTCTATTTGTGTAAACGTGGCTTTAGCTAGTCCGTTATTAAGTAGATTTGATCTGGTGTTAGTTTTATTAGATTCACAGAATGAAGATTGGGATAGAATGGTATCTAGTTATATCCTAGAAAATAAAACTATTGGGGGTAAGTATTACAAATCAAACATATTCTAAAGCAATGCATTATGGATGTTTCGTCTGTTACAATCTGATTAAAATACAGATCTATATTTCATTTCTTTTTTTTATACTTTCCATGACCTACACTACATGAAGATCTGACCCTATGACGTCAGACATCGATTAATCAATCAGCGTTGATGTTTCCAGTGGTTTACACACAGTTCCGTGCATCGCACGCCAAGTTGTCACTGTAAGTGTAACAGATGGTTTCATTGGCTAATCGCTCACGCCATCCAGAACGCAGGTTATATAACAACTCTTCCAGACCCTAGTGTAGTACAGACAAATAAAACGAAATTTTAAACTATAAAAAAAGAAACGAAATAGGATCTGTGTTTTAATCAGATAGGGTTTGTTATTATTATTACATTATCAGTGCTCAATCAAATGTTGTTATCCAGCCAGATAAATCTATTATGTGTTTGATGTGATGTCTTTATTTTATTTTGTTGTCCATCCCAGATAAATTAAACATCTGTTATGTGTTGTTTAGACCTCTTTATTTTTTTATGTTATCCATCCCAGAGAAATACTAAACTTCTATTACGTACATCTTGATAAGACATCTTTGCTTTTATTTTATTATCCAGCCCAAGTAAACACTAAACATCTATGGAGTATGGATAAGATGCAGGCTTATTTAGCCCTTATTAAAACTGTTGTTCCTACATTAACTGAAGGCTCGACTAGGTCAGTATTACCTCAGTATTATGTTTATATACATGAGTAAGTCTATCTACAAGACATAATAATAATGTTGTCATTAACCAGTTTTTAATCGTACTAATTTTTGAAATTCAAACAGTTTAAATGAATGAATGAAATGGGGTTTAACGTCCTACTGTTATGCTCCGAACTGGGCTAACGAAGACGGGCATACGCCATACAACGTACTATGAGGGAAATTTTGCCTGGACAGCGGCACTACGCTTATATCGAATTCCAACTGTCAAAGGATCTTTTACATGCATGCCAATGTGTACAAGTGACCTCAGATTTTCATGCTATCCGAACGACCAGACAGCTGTCCTTGTCAGACCCTCCGTCTTGCATCACTGACAAGGGGGGACCACGACGGAAAATCTGAATGAACTTTCTCAGCCAATGCAGGATCGAACACCCGACCTCCAGGCTAGCGAGCCAGCATCTTACCCACTTAGCCACTGTGACCCCCAAACAGTTTAAAACTCACTAAAACCTATCATACTTTACTGCACTAACTGGTCTAATGAAGACGTGTATATGCCATGCAGTGTGCTATGGGGAGAACAGCATTTCCGTTTACTCTTGCAACTGCCAAGGGTTCTTTTACATGCACATCAACGTAAACACAAAAGACCTTGATTTTCGTTCAATCGAACAACTAAATGCCGTTCCTTACCATTCCCACCTTCCTAAACAACTGGCAAGGGGAAACCACTCTGGAAAATCCTGAAGAACTTATATGACCAACACTGGGATCAAACCCACGACCTCCTGGTTAGTGAGCCAACGCCTTACCCATTATCATGGCCAGTGTGAAATTATATTATGTTATATAGTATTATTTTATCAGGGTATTACAAGCTTACTATCGTGCTCAACGTGGTGCTGATAATCGTAATGCTGCTCGAACTACCATGAGATTATTACAGAGTATGATTAGATTAGCTCAAGCTCATGCTAGATTGATGTTTAGAGATGAAGTATTAGTACAAGATGCTGTTGTGGCTGTCACGCTAATGGAATCGTCTATGCAGGTATTTTTTGTATATTTTTTTTCCTTCGATGACAACGAGATCAATTTAATGAGGGGATGTTTTTATTTCCTGTACAGTGCACATTAAAGAATCCTCGGCAGTTAGAAAAAGAGTATGTGTAAACGCCACTGTCCTGGTCAAATTCTCCTCTTGCATTGCACATGTATCCTTAGAAATGAAACTTACCATATTTTAATTTAAAGGGCAGTGTTGGTGTTAACCAATATTACATATGTGATGGATCTGGTTAAACACATTCCAAATCTAATTTTTGAACAAAGACTTGAAGATTTAGGAAGTGACACAAAATAAGGAAAACCTGAGAAAATTCATTTTCTTCACTGTTTATTTATAGGGAGCTGCTCTATTAGGTGGAGTGAATGCCTTACATACAGCATTTCCTGAACAAGCTGAAGAAGAGTATTTATTACAAGGTATGCTATTTTTATTTCTTATTACTTTACACTTTTCACTTTACTTCGCAGGATAGACCTTGGGCATACTGGTGACAAAATACTAGGGACTCACCTGATATAGTTCATTGCACTGATTATTAGTCCAAAACGATACCAGATCAATTGCACGACAACATCGTTAAGATAGGAAGTAATATTTTCAAAATGGTGGATCTGTTCTGTGATAACTTTTCATCCATTAAGGTTTATCGGAATATACATTATAGGACATAAAAGAGAAAATATATAGGTTCATTTGGTTTTGTTGATATAAAAAAGTTGTTTTCAGGTTGGTAATTACCACCACAATGTAAAAATTAAAATTTTGAAAAATAAGGTTAAGTTTACTCTCATCTATTTTATTTGTTGTTTCAATATTTGAGAAACGTTCATTTTGGGGTGAAATAATGAAATACAGGTTGAATTATGGGTGAGATTATTATCGAATACCAACAATTATAATACTTTTGTATTAATTAAAAAAAAAAAAAAAATTTAACCATGAATTTTCACAAAACCAAAGTTTATTCCTTTGGAAAATATCAGAGACAAATATTACACTGTTACGTCTGCACTACCTTGGGAGATTGAGTAAGTGGGTCATTGTTCGGAGAATTTCTCATGTTACTTGATTTAGGTTCCGTGTATTCTATGAATTCTGACACGGAATCAAGCACCCCCACGATATACAGATTACGTCTCATTTCAATGAATTGGAGCAGGGTTAGGTGACCAAATGGTTAATAAGGTCTGTCATTGAGTCAACTGGCGTGGTTTTGATTCCCCGCTTGTACATGACAAGGAGTAGGGTCACCTGTCCAACCATGTGGGTTTTTTTTCCAGGTCCTCCATTTTCCACACTCTCTCTGTCTCTCTCTCTCTCTCTCTTGCTCTCCCTCTCTCTCTCTATTCAATGAATCGGTGCATATTGTTAAAAAATGTATTTATTTTTTATTCTTTTCAGCTGAAATGATTTTAAAAAGACTTGATCTACAAGATTTATTGAAAACTGAATTAGAAGAAATGAAACGTTTAGCAGACAGACGTCAAGAAGAAAATAATACAAACAGACCTGGAAATTCCCCTAAAAGTAACCCAGGTTATCAGACCAGTGAACCTCATCCCGTACATGGTTCAAATACACTAAACATATCGAATAATGATCATGACAATCATGCAGACGACAGAAATAATTCAAACGTAAATTATGTTACTAAAATGTCCAGTGATAAAGAGTGTCCTAGTTATAGCCCAAATGAATCGTTAGTATTAAATTCCTCGGCATTGTCAGACTTACTAGATTTTAGTACAGATGACATAATTGAGGAATCTACTCCAAAGAAAACTGGTAAAAAGAAAAGTAGTCCTGAAACAAATTCGGTGGGCAGAAAGAAACATAATTTCGCACCGTTAATTACAAATGATCCGATTGTGAAATCAAATTCCGAGATAAATATACCAAGTTGCGATTCAAATAAAAATCTACTAATTGAGACAATACAGAAGAGAAAATCGAAAGATGATTTAACAGAACAAGGCGATGAGTCAAAATTATCGGCTACCACAAATACATCTGCTTCGAAACTAATTTATGTAAGAGATACAACAAAGAAACTGCCGAAAAAGCCTAAAATCAACATGGCTGCCAAACTCAGTGCAAAGATGAATTCATCTCTTAGTAAAAAAGATTTGTCTAAATCAAAAGATTCCACATTTAAAAATCCCTCATGTACAAGTGCTAGCCTGACACGAAATGAGTTACATGATACATCTGCAGAGTTTGAAGCAATCAAATCCCACAATACTTCATTATCAAAAGTATCGCCAAAAACAATTTCAAAACTTAATAAATTTGCATTCACGGAGCAAGAGAAAAAGACAAATCACCCGGCTAAGATAACAAATATTGAATTCGACACTTCCGTAGAACTCTCAGAAAGTCTTTTGTCCGGAAATTTATGGGCTTGGGCAGACCGACATAGGAACACAGACAATAATCAGGCCAATTTGAAAAGAAAATCAACTGAGAATCTTTTTGAAACTTCAATGGTGGAGGACAATGACAACATTTTAAATATGGAATCTCGAGAATCGCCTGATGCACAGATTTTTCCTGTCAAATCACATTTGGATGGTAATCATAACAATTTATTCATAAATTCAAATAAAAACGATTCAGAAATGAATAAAAATTTGGGTTGTCGTGGAACGGATTTCAATTTTGCAAAGAAAATTCCTTCAGAATCCAATACTGATATATGTGGTGACAATTCAAAAATAAATTTGATCGCAAAAGGATCAGTGAACAATAAACAGGTTGAACACGAAAATGTAAACAAAAAGGAACACCTGGCATCGCAGGATCTGTCTCTTAATCTAAGTTCAGATGAGGAGGATGACATATTCTCTAACATTTTAACCAAGAAGGCGCCAAAAAGAGAGAGCAGGATGTTGGAGGAACCAAATATGACAGCCGGATTATTTTCTCAGAAATCTGTGACACAATCTCAAACCTTCAAAAGTCAAAGTAAAGTTATGTTACCACGTATTGGACCCACGCCACCTAATTCACAAAATGGGCCAATTCTACATGAAAAGGTTGATAAAAGTGCAGAGCCTTTGTTAAATTCAGGCAATTTAGGAAAATCGTTCAATTCTGTGAAACTTACACAAAAAGTTTATCAATTTAAAAAAAGTCCCAGCATTAGTAAAAGTGTAGATTTGAACCAAAAATCCATCACATCAGATAACAATCAAAGCCAATCCAAAAATATGATGTCAAAAGCAAACAATGACACTGCAAAATATCCCAGTCCAAGGTTGAATAATGGTGTGCCTTTGGTCTGTGGTTCAACAATTGGGATTAAACCACAGAAATCTCAAGTGATGTTTACCATAGATAATGATGATGATGAGGACTTTGATTTAGATTTAGACTTTAATCCTAGTAAAAAGAAAAAGATTTTCTAACTATTTCAGTATAGTAAAATTATATTGTAAATTCACAGACATGTAAATTATTATAATTGTCATATTATTATTGTCTGGTCTGTTTATTAGGGGTGCTCCATTGAAATTTCGGGAAACTGATTTTCTCAATTTTAGACATACACAGTAACAGACAAAACAAATATATCTCCCAGGGGTGGGAAAAGGGTGTGGGGAAAAACAAAAGTCTTGGCAAGTGTTAAATGAAATTTCTTACTTTTCTGTGCAAATATATCTCCCAGGGGTGGAAAAAAGTGTATGCGTGCAAATGAAAGGCCTGTCATTGAATCAAGTGGCCTGGTTTCGATTCCTCTCATGTAAGGGACACCAGTCATTATTGTGGTTGATATTTTCTATGTCAATGTGTGAATAAAGTACTAAAGATATACCCTTCTGTTGGTTTCAAAACCTAAAATTGGGATTCTTTTGATCTCTGCTATTCAGCAATATTCTCCAATGATATAGATATTTGGATGGATTGTACAAACTATTCGACCGAATACCGCATAAGCAATATATATCGACTATACGGTGAACCTCCATTACCATGAGAATATATAAATTTCTACCCAATTAAATTAGTCCAGTCAGTACATGCCAGATATTACGTCTGTGCCCGCAGATTAAATAAATAGAAAACTAACAGGATTGTTTCAGCATTACAGCACCCTCATATGTACATTGATACTTATTTATAATATCTTTTCATAGTGTATGATATTATGAGTGAGAGAGAGAGAAATGGGGTTTAATGTCCACTCGACACAAACTGGGTCATTTCAGGACTAACATGGTTTAATTTTATTTCAATAATTCGTTTGTTTGTGAGCAGGGGACTTTAGCAGTGGGAGGAAACCGGAGGACCCAGAAAAAACCCACGAGATTGGACAGACGACCCTACTCCTTGTCACGTACAACCGGGGAATCGAAACCATGGCAGTTGACTCAAAGACAGACCTTATGATACACCGTGCATGTGCTAACCATTCGGCCATCCACCCCCACCCCGTTATCATGAGCAAGTCTAACTAGTTTAGGCTACATTAAAAAGGTTATGTGTCCATGCAGAATATCATTAAACTCAAGACAATCTAGCTGAAAATAAAATATTTGTTATATTCTATGGTATGCTTACTCTTTGTCGAATCCCTGATACCACATTTTGTCTATTATTCATTTAAACCACTGGAACTCAGCCATCGTGGACCCCCCTTTAGCACACAGGTTAAAAATAACACATCTTTTATTTATAAACAATACCTTTTGTCAATAAATACCATAACCCCCTCTCTCTTCAAAGATACTTTGTAACAAGTATACAAATATAGCCAAACTGATGGTACAATCATCCTATATCCAAGCCTCACAAAGCTAATTTACCATACACAACATGTAGCACATCTATTGATTTTAAAAGAATACCAAAAGGTGGAATATATATGTTATTGTGTCCCAAAATATGTGACGGACAGACGAACCCATTTCAACAGTTCCCTACTTCAAAAGGTGCGAGACAAAAATCCAAATGTCATACCTAAATGTTATAAAATAGTTTATTATTATTATTATATATAGCCAGTACATTTCTCAGTCAATGATGTACCGTTCTAAAATATGAAATATTACATTAAAAATTTCTCATTTTTATCAAGTGCTCAAATTTAATATCTAAAAAGTAAAAATTCTGTGAATAACCCAAACCCTACGAAAAGGTCAAAGACAATTCTTATATTTTCTGGATCCTGACCCTGTCGAGTTTATGGTTTTGTTCTTTATTAGTTATTCACAATTTATAGCAACACTTACCTAGAATAACAATTAATAGCAACAATTACCCATAATAGCAACAGTTACGGAGAATAACAATTAATAGCAATAGTTACCCAGAATAGCATTTAATAGCAACAGTTACGGAGAATAACATTTAATAGCAGCAAATAACATTTAATCGCAACAGTTACCCAGAATAACATTAAAAAGCAATAGTTACCCAGAATAGCATTTAATAGCAGCAAATAACATTTAATAGCAACAGTTACCCAGAATAACAATTAAAAGCAACAGTTACCCAGAATAACAATTAAAAGCAACAGTTACCCAGAATAACAATTAAAAGCAACAGTTACCCAGAATAACAATTTAAAGCAACAGTTACCCAGAATAACAATTTAAAGCAACGGTTACCCAGAATAACAATTTAAAGCAACAGTTACCCAGAATAACATTTTATAGCAACAGTTATCCAGAATAATAATAATGGTATGCAAAAATGATTATGGGGTGTATATCTCAATTCTGGCCTTGTCTAGAGACGTAAAACATTCAATAAAGACAGATTATCATCCCACAATACAAATCAACACATAAAAATCCAGTCAAATGGACATTTTTATTTTTGAGCCAAATCTGATTGACCAATCAAGATTCTGGAGTTATAATAGTATCATTTAATACAAAACAGACATTATTCAATCTCCTCATAATAGTAATTCATTTAATATCTCAAATGTATTTTTAATACAAACAAATGCAAAAATATGCAATAACAACTGGCTATGTAAACATATAATTGCTATAAAAAAATTACTGTCAAATAATGACATAAATAAAGAGAAAAAAATATCACAATAATTCTAAAATACCTCTTGTTCATTTACAGATCGCTTTTCAAGTAAAATTAACTAAATAAAGAATCAGACACATTTTAATCTTTTAAAACCACCTGATACCACTTCCCCATTAAGATGTCTGGGTAATTATTTAACCTCATAGTGTTTGGGTTTCTTAACATTGTTTTGATTTAGGTTTCCCCTTTGGGACATTTAGCACCTTTTTTTACCAGCTTAAAGCTAAAAACAAAATATAACATTTCATCAACAACAAATAACAACCTCTACATATAAGATGACCATTCACTGAAAAGTATGCATACCATTCATTGAAAAGTGTGTATACCATTCAATGAAAAGTGTGTATACAACTCATTGAAAAGTTTGTATATATAATTCATTGAAAAGTCAGTTTACACTTAAATAAAAGGTGTATAAATAATTCATTGAAAAGTGTGTATACAATTCATTGAAAAGTGTGTATACAATTCATTGAAAAGTGTGTATATATAATTCCTTGAAAAGTGTGTATATATAATTCATTGATAAGTGTGTATATATAATTCATTGAAAAGTGTGTATATATAATTCATTGAAAAGTCTGTTACACTTAAATAAAAAGTGTATAAATAATTCATTGAAAACTGTGTATACAATTCAATGAAAAGTGTCATCATGCCATGTAGTTTGTAAGATGGATTGGTTCACACTGTTCACACAGCCTCATTAAGACCATTAAATGACCCTAACTACAAAATGATGGAAGTACAAAGTACACCCCCTCCATCAACGTATGTACATGTAATTCAAAATGGTAGAGCTCTTTTTTCGGTCATAATTACCACCCTTGACTGGCAGAGAAATTTACACTCTAATGTTTTGGTGCCTCTGTGGTAACCTGAATTAAGTCCTTAATATACAGTAGATGGAAATTTTTAAAATGTAAAGAATGGCGATTTAATGCCCATGTTTTATGCCATTCACAGCGACATCATTGTCTGAGGATCTGCAGACAATCGTAATACCGGTAATATGCCGGACTACAAGGCTTTCACTTCAGTAACAAGACAATTTTTAGCATTATTCCAGATAACTTTGCCAGCCAGTCAATTTCACTGCAAGTCAGTCAATTCTACTGCAAGTCAGTCAATTTCACTGCCAGTTAGTCAAGACCAGTTAATACAAATAAAATGAGAGGCCTGGTGTAAAATAAATACTGTATGTGGAATGTGTTATGTACATCTCTAAAATATTGGGAACCAGTTGCCAGAAAGATTCTAATTTTCCATCAAATAAGAATATAAAGTTTCAACAAATCAAATTGAGGTCTCACTTAGCCTAAGCTGAAATTCTCATCACGGTATTGATGTAATGACACTAAGTTTCATCATTTTCAAATTAGAATCAATTATTCCAAAGCACTGACCGATGAAATTGCTTACTCTGCTTAGCCTTGGCAGAAAATGCTGATTGTCAAAATCGGGCCAAATCATTCACCTGATAAATAACAACCCTAAGTTTGAACTTTTTACCTCAATTAGAAGCATGTTCTTGTGTTACAAAAAGTGAGATGGACAGGCAGACGAACAAACAAATCAATTTAAGCCAATAAAGTTTGAATCTTTCTGGTAACTATAGTCCAATATCTAACGTTGAAAAAAAACATTTTGATTATCAAGGCAAAATCTATACATTCATTTTGGACATGGTATTTTTACCAAAAACTCTTTCAAGATTGGAATTAAGGAACATGCCATTGGGATCCAATCTCTCTCGGATTTTACAGAATGTCTCAAATTGTGGATACAGCTTAGTAAATTCTTCTCTGCCATATTTATGATCCTGGGAAAAAAAAGATGCAATTTGGATAAGTAACTGCTGGAATATATTTTTAAACTTTCCTATGTTACAGGACTTGAGATATTGTGGTCGCAGTTAGACCTCATTAGAAATGCAGGGTACCCTAATATGGCATGTGTAAAGGGGACAGAAAGGCACCATTTGCAAACCATTAGATTTCATGATTCTGTGAGATACATGAATGTTTCTATTTCACCATTTCTAACATCCTCTTTCAAGAAATTTGTGTTGAAATGCCTTGACTTGATCTTTCTTTAGCCAAGAAACAGTTGCTTTTCCTTCAGCAACAATGGTCTTAGCCAATCATAAGGGCTTAAGTTGGATTTCAAAGAGAACAGATAACCACTAAAGGAGTAGTTGCTGAGTAGACTAACCGCATATCCTAGTCGGTACGAAATAAAGATCTAAACACTTCCAGAACACATTTTTTTTAAAACTTGAGTGATTTTCTGATAACAAATGATGATTTGAACTGTTCTAAAACAAAAGTCAGTTGATGATTGAACCATTTCACGGTTACAAAATTCTGTGCTTATGGCTTACCTTAGCCCAGTGTGGACGGCCCCCGTAGTCAGACATAACCTTCTCAAAAGCTTCCCAATATTTTTCTCTTGGTACAATTTTGTTAAATGGCCTGTAAGAGAAGTAACACAGTAATATAATAACAATAACCACACAACAGAAAATAACATAAAAGCATCTGTACACCAATATTAAAGCTGGTTTTTTTTACCAGGTTTCCTGCCCTGCCCTGCTGACGATGGTCAACCAGACTGGAATAGCATAAAGATCACAACAGAGACCTCACTGAGCCACGGTGTCTCCCAAGATTGTGAGAGAGAGAGAAATGGGGTTTAACATCCACACAAACTAAGTCATTTCAGGACTAACACATCAATTTTATTTCAATAGTTTGCTTGCGTGTAGGGGTCTTTCGCAGTGGGAGGAAACCGGCGGACCCGGAGTAAACCCACGAGGTTGGACAGTAACCCTTCTCCTTGTCACGTACAACTGGGGAAACTAAACCATGTCAGTTGACACAATGACAGACCTTATGATACAGCATGCACATGCTAACCATTCGGTCATCCAACCCCCCTCCCAAGAATGTATGGGTACATCATCAAAAATGAAATGACCTAGACAGCAGTACTATGGCATGCACGCCAATGTATACACAGGACCTTGGTTTTTGATCCCATCTGAACAACTAGACAACTTTTCTTGTCAGGCTCTCCATCCTGCACCACTGACATGGGGTAACCACATCGGAAAATTGCGATGGACTTTTGTCGGCCAATGCAGGGATCGAACATGCGACCTCCAGGCTAGCAAGCCAGTGTCTTCCCCACTTATCCACCGTGGATCCTGGTACATCATCAAAGAAACTAGTGTTAAACTATACTATACTTACGTATACATGATGATGTTAATATAACATGTATCGTTCCATCCATATGCTGGACTTAAATAAATACCATCACCTTTCACAAATCTAACTTCAATAGGAAAATGGGCTGGGAATTTATTTTTTAAAATCCAATCTTTAATTTCTGTCAATACTGGTGCAGTTTTATCTCTGTTAAAATAAAATCAAATAATCATTCTAAATATTCTTAAAAGTACTCCGAGGCATATAAACAACAGTGACACCATCTTTTTTTATAATAAAGTAATTCAATATTCCAACCAGTGATGGGATTTCAAAATTTTTGTTGTCGGACATTTTCTTCCCGAAAATAAAGGGACATAACTCTTATCGTTATTTAAGCAGGCGTTTTCAAACAACAATTAAGAATCATGTGTCAACAAAATATTCAAATTCATACGTAATAAAAAAAATAGGTGCACCTCGTTATTTTTCACATTTAATTCCCGTACGGTATTCATATTTATGTCAATAATATTCCTACAAAATTACATGACATCGTAATACCATAGAATGAAAGCGTGCCGACTACTGCCCATCCGTACCGGTTTCAAATTCCCCCGAAATTACCGTATTTTTCGGGTCATAAGTTGATACATTTTTCAGCGAAGTCTGGCATTCGACTTATACTCTGTTTCGATTTATATACGGAAGGTAAAAAAAATGACATCCAGAAATTTATTTGACCATAAACCGTAGTAAAGGTCGCTCTTTAATACAACGAGCGAGTGACACCAACTGCTAAAAAATCCCATTCGACTCTAAGCATGCGCTCTCGTCTAAAACAATTACCGTAACTACTTACGTTATTCCAATCAAAATATTCGTCAACATTTTTTAGCGTGTTTATTTATTTATTTAAAAACATAAACCCCATTCAAAATATGATCATAAATCCGACAATATGCCATCAAAATAGAATCTTTTCTCCCGACATCAGATGTGTTAGATTCGGCACAATTACACCTCTTAATTCCACGTGTCTCGCAAGATTTCTACTTTCATTTTGCATGTGTGTGAAATAGCTTTATTTAACTTCGGCTTCCACTGAAGAAATATCCCAGACAAGTTATCGAACACAATGTATATTGATTTGGGGTGTTATATACTATTAGGATATGTGACATATATGACTAATGTCTACGGCCGACATCAAGGAGATTAAAACGTGAGACAATGGAGAAATCAAGGGTTAATCACAAAGATTAAGTTTATGGGATTGATATATAGTCTGACAAAGGAGAAGCAATGACTTCTGTTCAGGATTGAATTGTCCGACAAAGAATTAAGTCAGTCAATCAAGGTATGTGTATAGACTGTATAAATCGATAAATACGTTGATCACTTAATTACCTAATCAATCCAGCCTATTATCAACGATAATCGGGTTGAGTGGTAGTTATACACTCAGTACACTATATTAATTTTGGAATTTTGAATATTATTTACCATGTCTTGATGTCCGATTGGGCATATTCCTGGTCGGACAATTTACAACGTTTGGAAAATAGCGTCGAACATGTCCGGAATATACAGGCAAAATCCCATCACTGATTCCAACAGTATCAACAATTACATTCTTTCAATTATCTAAACATTAACTGTTTCATCAGCTAGGACCTGGTCACCTGTTCGTCACTCGCTTCATAAATCATCTGTGGCACTCAGTGACCCATCTTCAATAGACGGCTTGATCTCGCTTTAACTCTGTACATCTTATCAAGCCCTTCCGTAATATTTCGGCACTAATTTCGATTGGGTACTGACCCAGCTTGAGAGCCTATCAGATTCCTTGATCATCACGAATTAAAATGTCTATCTGTGATAATCGAGTTGCAAAGTTCAAGGTTCGTTCAATGTCTTGGTTTCCGTGGAGGTCGCCAGTTTGATTTGAGTGTGTTTGTGTCACAACCTCTGATTGGACGCTACTGTTCACGTGTCTGTGGTAAAAGGAGATAACATCGCTATAAGTTCGGAAATTGCAAAGCATTGCAAAGTCTAGATGTTGTAAAACTCGCGGTCATTGTTCAGGAACATGCCAGTGACCCAGCTCCATTCTAGGCTTAGAATAGCAACAAACACAGGGAGAGAGAGAGAAATGGGGTTTAACCTGCACTCGAAACAAACTAGGCCATTTCGGGACTAATATATGGTTCAATTTTATTTCAATAATTCGCTTGTGCAGTGGGAGGAAACCGGAGGTCCTGGAGAAAAACCCATGAGGTTGGATAGCTGACCCTACTCCTTGTTACAACCGGGGAATCAAAACACAGTAAACAGAAAACCACAATGACCAATTAGCTAAACATCACCATAGAACAGAAATACACACTGAAATTAAAGTGACTGTTGATAGATCACATTTAACACATGAATTACTTGCCCACATTAAGATTAAAATCTTCCCTTATATATTGACTTGTAAATCATAAGTACCTTGGTATTGACCATTCTGTGACGTACTGTTTAAATAAACAGTTGAAGTTAAAGATCCGATCACATCGATCTACTTTCTCCTTCTTGTGAGCGTATAACAAATTATAAAACAGTCGATTTAATACGGGTACCAAGAACGACATAAATGTACTGAAAAATTAAAAAATTTGTATCAAATTAGAAATGAACTATACTACATGGAATGAAACTAAGATTTTAATGTCTTACGTTTCTGCACCAACCAGGCTAATGAAGACGGGTATCCGCCATGTAGATAAATTTGCTGATTAGAATGCAATTTCAATCTGAATAATTGTTGTATACATGGCACCAACTTTGCAAATCGCAGTAAATCGGCTCACAATCCACTAAAGATCGCAGACTAGTGATGCCATCTAGAGTTGATTATGGTCTGGTTAGCTAGGTTAATTAATGTCTAATTAATAATTTAGATAACATTTCAGGCCTAAAGAAAGACCTGCAATAGACAGATTTAGCTCTTGCATAATGAATGTTTATGTCTGGTGTTTTGGTGCATTTTTTCTTGCACTGTCAACTGATACAATGATAATCTAGATAGGTGTATAAATGAGACCTAGAATGATAATATTTACAGGTGTACACTATAAAATGAGACCTATTTTAGAATGAAAAGTGTATGAAGTCTTTAGTTTACTTACCTTAACCAATACAAGGCCTGGAAGATATGATATCCAACTAATGATTCCCAAAACCAACTAAAGGATAAATTCTTCTCCTAAATAAATAAAAACAGGTTTGTTTAGACTTCTTTAGACTGCAAAATTTAGAGTAAAAGCCTTAAGATCTAGTAACAGCCTTTAGATCTAGTGAAGGTCTTCAGATAAGGTAAAGGCCTTTAGATCTAGTAACAGCCTTTAGAGATAGTCCTTAATCATTCGACATTAATCATTCAACACATCTATTTAGTTTTGGAAAATATCTTTTTTACTAATTTATTTGAACACAAGACACTTTAATGGTCAAGGTGACTAACAAAATATATGTTCTTAAGTTGCTGACCGTTTCCTATACCCTTACCTTTTTAGTACGATTAGCACTAAAACATAAAGTATCTTCTGTATGTGGAAAGTAAAAAAATCGGAAATGTTCGGAACCAGTCACATATTTATCAAGATTTTTCAAAACCTGAAAAAATAATGAATAAAATTAAATGGTCTGTCTTTTTATACTCAATGAAATATTACAATATTATATTTTCTATCCAACAAATTATTTTAAGAGTAAATGCAGGAGAACTAAGAATATGAATGGAATGGGGTTCAACATCCCATTCACAATCCGTATGTCATTTTGAGACTAACATGTTTATATCATATTTTCTATTTTAACATTTTTTCACATATCGTTACAAACTTGTAACTCATTTTGCTGTCACAAGTCACATATTTATCAACCTAGACACCAAAATATGTCAATGCTATGTTAGGCATGTAAATATTAACAATATTTTTATGACCTCCATATTTTTTTTGTAAGATTAGCCTACTTTTGTGTGATAGGACTTTTGTTTTGTGGTCCCTTTGTCAAGCTTTTGAGCTTGTTTTGTGATAAGAGTGTGCGGGAAGGGTAGTTAATTCATGTTCATATCTCTTTTATACTATCAGATCACTTATTTGGCACGTGTAAATACTGACAAATCCAGTTCCCTGAAAAAAATGAGAGAAAACTGGTCTTTTTTTCAGCAAGTTTTGTAGCTTATTTCAAAACCACCAGTGCTCCGTAGACCAACTCAAATCTCCTTATTCACAGAACTAAGAAACGGTCCTCAAATAGTTCCAAATATCTAAATGACTCATGTGTTCCGATGCCGAAATGCCTGTCCAACCTCGTGGGTTTTCTCAGGGTCCTCCGGTTTCCTCCCACTACTAAAGACCCCTACGCGCAAGTGAATTATTGAAATAAAATTAAACCATATGTTAGTCCCGAAATGACCTGGTTTGTGTCGAGTGGACGTTAAACCCCATTTCTCTCTCTCTCTCTCTCCGATGTCGAAGAGGAAGCAATAGTTTTGGGTTGTTAAAGACTGTCCAAGTGTTAAAGGGTTAATGATGTTGATATATAAAACATATCTTACATTATCTAGTTTATCAGGAAACTGTTTCTGTTCCAGATTAAAGGCAGGTTCACACTGGAATGTTACGTGTAGTATAACACCAAGTGAACCTAGACTCACGGCAGCAGCTGGAAATAAATCAGCGTTTTGGTCTTTTGATATAGTTAGAATTTCTCCAGATGCCGTCATCAGGTCCAACTCAACAACCTAAAATAGAAAAATCAAGTAAAATCAGTTAACCAAACATAATAAAATTGTCTAGTTAAGCAATGCTTCTGAAAACATAGATACCAATCCGCAGAAGAAGGTCCATGCCAGATCTAAAATAAATGTCATCAATTGATGTTGATCAACTTTTAAAATATCAAACAAAGTTTTTAAAATTCCATAGAGAACTCTGCCCTGTACCGCATGCAAGGTTTAAAAGTCAAAATATGAATGGAAAGTTAATTCCACTGAAAGGGTTACACCTTATGGGGGTGGCAACTTCATGTTTTATGATCAACATATTATGATCACCTTATGCGCCAACCCAATGAAGACAATCCCGTCAACTTTTAAAATTTTTTACTTAAAATGAAGACGGCCATAAGCAATGCAGTATGCTATAAGTATGAGGCAGACCGTCTAACTTTTGTCGAATTCCAAGGTTTTTTTACGTTCAAGTTATTGTGTACACAGCCCCCTTTTTTTTGTCCCATTTGAATGACTAGATACCATTTCTTGCCAGGCCATTCATCCTGCACAACTCATAAGGGAACTTTCTCTATCCCGGATCTCTTGGTTACTGAGTCAGTGCCTTAAAGATGCTTCTCATCAAGTTCACCTTGGCATTTTCATTTCAGGTGCATGCATGTACAGCATTTCAACAGATGAGTAGTCAGTTTAATGAATTTCGATCATATCAGGTGCATGCATGTACAGCATCTTAATAGATGTGTAGTGAGTTCAATGAATTTCGATTATAATCTGTTTAAATTAATGGACGTTTGATATCCACACAATATAAAGATTAACTTACAGAAGAAGATATAATTCCCATATCGGCACCAGTTCCATGTGTTCCTGTAGAAATAACACCTGCGGCTGTTAGTTCTGATACGGTACCTTGTCTAAAATACAAATAATACATATCAATAAACAACACCTGCTACATGGCCTAAAATAAACTTCTGGTCCTGTGACAATCAACTACCAAATTTCATCCACTGTGCACGATGATGAAAGTCATAATAAAATCTGTTTTAGAAAGAGAAATGGGGTTTAACATCCACTCAACACAAACTAAATCATTACGGACTAACATATGGAACATTTTATTTTAATAATTCATCAGAGGAACACATAATGTTAGACAGTCAGGTCTGGGATCGAATCCAAGCCACTTGATTCATTGAAAGATCTAATAATCTAAAGTTCATGCGTCAGATTAGATGATACGAATTCTAGTAAACCAAGCTGTTATGTAATTATTTAAAGATAGGTGGCCAGGCAACAAAACATATACCCACAGCAGTGAAGTCGTCTGAGCAGTCAACAACAGTTGTCGCATATTTTTTCTATTGTCGGTAATGAAACATTTATAATACATTAAAATCTGATTAAGAGAACTACTCATTAAGTAATTATCAGAGAATCATTAGAATTTGTTTGGCTTTTAGTTCTGCCCCATGGTAACGTTTAGTATATGAAACATTTAATATCATGGATTTAGCTGTTCAAATTATCAAATTTCATTGAAAATCAATTAATATACTTATTCATCTCAAGACCTTAAACTCTGTGTATCAATCTAAAGTCAATCGGATGATAACTTTGGTCTCTAGAGCATCCACAAGATTTTTCAAAGTGATCATGGGCCATAACTCTGGTAGTAATTATCGGCAATCATTGAAAATCACTGGGCTTCTTCGTTTCACGACCTTAAACACTGAGTTTAAATTTAAAGTCAATCGGATATTTACTTTAGCCTCTAGAGTGTCCACAAGATTTTTCAAAGTGATCAAGAGCTATAACTCTGGCAGTAATTATCGGAAATTGCTTAAAATCAATAGGATTCTTCGTCTCATGACCTTAAACACTGTGTATAAATATAAAGTCAATCGGATATTAACTTTAGCCTCTAGAGTGTCTACCAATACTGACCAACGGACCGGGGTGACGACAATATATGACCACATTTCAATGTGGGCGTATAAAAATTGTTATTTGAGGTTGAATATTCAATGGAGTAAATTAAAATTTTATTAGAACCCATTCGACTGTGTAGGGCATCATAAATAGTATAAGTATTTAATTTGCCTCAAGATTTTTAATACTTACACACTAAAAGCAAGCCCATTTGCTGGTAAAATCTTTTCATTTAAATCTTTAATTAAACAACCACCCTGAACATTGACTAATCCCCTTTCTTTATCAATCTGGAAATAGATACAAATATATCTTTTTTTGCTTAATATAAAAGACACTGCACTACAGATATTAATAATTGTAACATGCTTAAGGGTGAATCTTGCGTTTTGATTGGTCGATTAGACACTGTCTATTGGACAATAACACCCCTCTAAATTAGAAAAATCACTACGTATTAATATTATGCGTACTACTTTAATGGCGATAACCACAATGGAGACAATCAATTTTGATCTCGGTACATTAGATGAAATATTTGGAGATATGTCCGAAGATGCACTTAAAACGCCAACCCCTATCAGGTAACAGCTACAAACAACAAAATATTCAAAAATCTATTACAGAAACATAAATTTTGTTTCAAAAACTACTTTTAAAAAAATGAAGTGAGAATTTTAGGGTTTTTTTTGTGTGTCTATACTCATACGGCTACTATAGCAACCAGACGATAAGCGAGCCAAATCTAACATGAGCAGCCAGTTACCCCGCTACGTCACGACGTTTTCATTACGTCAAAATTGATTTCTTTGTTTTTTATGTCACTAAAACCGATTTGGAGCAAGACGAATTTTGAAGTTTACACAATAAAATAAGTTCTTTAAAAATTCTAAAAAATAGCATGTTACAATGTCGATAAACACCTCCTGTTTCGCATTTAGAGGGGTGTTATTGTCCAATAGACATGTCCTGAGATTTTACATTAGAACCCGCGACGCTAACGCGTCTTGGGTCCTAATGATCTCAGGACATGTCTATTGGACAATAACACCCCTCTAAATGCGAAACATGAGGTGTTTATCTCCTAAATATATCTATAAATGTTTATCAATGATATTGATGATCTATAAATAGATACAATTTGCTTAATATAAATAAAACTGCACTATAGATATCAATCAATATATGTATAAATGTTTATTAATGACACGGATGACCTAGAAATTAAAATTTTATTATTCAACAATTAGAGCTTCACTTGTGATCTACTGAACTGCAGCCTTTTTGAGGTCATCTCTATGGTTACTGTGCAAACCTTTTCAACAGCATTTATAATCATAAAGAGGCATAGTTTACAACATCAATACTTTATTACAATATAAGGTACCCTTAACAAACTTTCAAATATTCCTGGTATATTGGTTACCTCATACAGAAAACAGAATAATCCACGAAACTGCCATATGATGATGGATCGTTAAGGAAAGGAATTAAAAATGATGGGGGTGGGTGTCAAATCAGCCCAGACAGTAGTATTTCTACCAATTCTATTTGGCAGGTTATACACAGTATTGATTGCCAAACCAAGTTAGGGCAGGATATTGATTACAATTGTTTTGATTTTTGTTTCCTGTGAATATTTCATTAACAAACAAGATATCTTTAGAAAACTTTATACTCAGATCAACCATGGATCAACCTATTATTACAGTAGTTGTGCCTTTTTCAAATTAGAAATTTCTCAGATTTGATCATTTTTGTGTTATCATGGAAACAAATTTGACTTAGTTTTTGATACACAAGAGAAGGAAGTTGATGACCAAGTTTTCTTGTTTTCTTTCCTGTAAACGTAGGTGAAGTTATATGTAAATATCTCACCTTTATGACATGATTATACCGCTTTAAACTAATCATATAATCTGTCGTACATGCCAGGTCCGAGGGTGAATGACCATTTCCAATTACTTTCACTTTTTTACCTTTCTTCTGGGCAAATGCCAGAATCTGTAAAAACACAATTTATCATTATAATTTCATAAGTATTTTTAAAAGCAAACATAGACATGGGCTTTTCAGACAAATGAGGAATCTAAACCACGCCAGTTGACTTAATGACCATGTTTGAAGGACCATAAACATCTTAATGTCTTGTAGAAGTATGATCAAAATCGAAAAGAAGAAAACGTGCCTAATCTCACCTGTGATACAGATAAAAGTTGAAAGAAATTAAAACCTTTTTGATTCAGGTAAAAGAAAAATGTTAACATCCACTTAAGTAGATAATGTTTATCATTGTGAACCAAAGTTCAGTAATGTATTGTATCATTACAAACCACAACAAAGACATATTATATCGTATTAATAAAAAACACTTTCTTTCCTTAACAAATGGTCACATTTAATGGACTGGTTGGTGGCTTCTGTAATGTCCACATTTTTTAACGATAAAATCTGAATGACTTCCATCTACAATAAAAACCACTGTCTCTAAAGTTCCCAAATAAATGACAGGTGGTATCAGGTGTTCTAGAAATAGTAAGCACACCCCACTTTGTGTATAACACCTGTAAATACAACTTATAAAGCTAGTTTAAGCTACATTTTGAACAAGGTAAGATACAACGTAGGATACCTGAGATATTTCTTCTGTTGTTTCTGGTTCAAAATATAATTCAGGATGACAGGAATATGTGGTGGCCCAATTTGTAAACTTGAAACCAGGTTTACCTAAAGACTGAAATATATAAAACACATTTATTAATCCCTTACATCGCTGTCCATGTTACATCATTTAAAGTTGCAATTTCATATTTTTAAGTTATATTTTTAAAATTTATTAAAATAAAGCTTAAAATAGATGGTATCCATAAACAGTCCTACCTTGTTAAAGAATAATCCTATTAATCCTATAATTCACTATTGCCAGCTGAGAAATTGGCAAAAATATCATTTTCAACTTCAAATTCCAACATTTGAAGATGGCTAATGCATGGAGGCAATATGAAAACAAGGGAGGTAATTGCATTATTATTTCCTGTGTCAATGATTTTTAAGGGTGGGAAATAATGCCCATTGGCGTATAATAGTGAGTTGATAACCTATTGAGCAAAAGACATGAAATAATTATGTTTTGACTTTCTTAGAAAATATGAAATTCTCGCTTTAAGAGATAAGACACAGTCAAGATTTTGCACTAATGAGATTTCATTTAAGACACAGTCAAGATTTCGTCTTTTAAGGGGTAAGACACAATAGACATTTTGTAAATAAATAAATATTGTTAACATCACATCTGGCAGTCTTGAGTTACTAATCATAATATTCAAATTGACTGGATCGAGAATCTAACATGTCATAAAATTAGGTATTTCAAGTAATTTAATTTCAAAACACAATAAATACCATTAGATTTACAGTTGTTATGTCTAAAATAGGTCAATATTGATTAATAAATTAAGATAAATTGACATATTCTTAGAAAAAAAAAATCCTGTCCATGTGTAAAAAAATTGGCTGATAAAATATTGGAGTGGAAACCCTGGTAAGAATCAAGCACAGTCAAATTTAATTTGGTGTGTGTAATCTAAATAATTTGTTTTGCCTGTATTAGACACACCCGACCCCATGGAACCCATTAGAAAAGTTTTTTTTATCAAAAGGTGTAGAGTCATAGGTGTATGAATCTTAGTCATTAATTTTCTTAATTACAAAAATATTGTCAGTTTAAAATAGACTAATGTGGTTAAAGACACCCATATGCTGGATGTATGATTCATCGGCTTGTGTTTATGAAATGAAATGGGGCTTAACGTCCTACTGTTCTACTCCAATGGGGCTAATGAAGACGGGCTTGTGTTTATATTTTCTAGACCGACGCCTGACATGTAATTTTTTTATTAATAACGCTGTACATGGTTCATTTTTTTTGCACATTAAAATAAAACACAGAAGTTCAATGGGAAGCAATTAAAACACAATAATTGCTTTACATTGAAGTTTTCTGTTTATTCTAATACCAGAAAACTTTTTTTTAATTAGGTGCTCATCAGCCCTTTAGTATCTTTTTTTTAGAATTTTAAGAGCTTCACTATATCCCATAAAAAATCTTTGTGCCTCTACTTGGTCCCATAAATGAATGTAGAAAAATGACGCTGTACATAGTTAATTTTTTGTTACACATTAAAATAAAACACGTTCAATGGGAAGCAATTAAATACAGTAATTGCTTTAAATGGAACTTTTCTGTTTATTTTAATACTGTGAACACACAGATTATTTTTCTCCTCAAATTTATCACATTATATTTTTCTCTGGATGTGAAGATTAATTTTTTTCAAAATATATGTCAATTTATCTTTTTTCAGTCTAGATAATCCGCCCCTGTAATTTCATTTGTGTAGCCATAGATAACGTATTATCTATGGACTATGGTTATGGCTAACGGTATTATCTATGGTAGTATGGTGTCGCTTACCGATACCGGTAAGGTCCTATTAATTATTACATTCCAACAAACAATTCCACGTGATTAGTATTGCTAAAAGTTAATTGATGCCAACTGGTAATAAATTCATTAAAATACTTACTCTAACATCAGATGCCATTGCTAAAAGATGACAGTGTCAGTGACAGGTGTGGTCGGTGTCGGCTTCTTTGATTTCTTTTATTTACAAATACAATGTCAATATCGAACCTAAAAATAACCCGATGTTGTGGTACGACTTCTTCTATCGTAAAATGGAGAGAGTCTGTGTGCAGTTGAATATTCTGTAGACTTTCAACGGCTGAACAGTTCCTGCAGACGTTATTAGAACAAGACAACCTGCGTGTTATGAATTACATCTCGTGTCGGTGGTCGATGTTATATAAATTATTTTCACGCCATTCAGACCACGTGCCTTTGTAACGTAACGTAGGATTTCCCCTGCTCACTGACTGAGCACGTGACCCAGACTGACACACATTCTTCAGCGAGCGGGAAATCCAAGTTAAAGGGAACACTTAGAGCCAGAGAGAGAGCGATAGTTTAACACAAACTAGATCATTCCGGGACTAATGGGTCCATTGTTGGCACGTGATTGTTGGCGAGATTGTAGGTTTGCGACAGGCCTGTATAGCCAGCTTGCTGGCTGCGTGGGGGTGGTGGGTTCACCCGTCACAGTCTATATATAGTATATAGGTTTGCGACAGGTCTGCTGTTTAGCCAGCTTGCTGGCTGCGTGGGGGTGGTGGGTTCACCCGTAACAGTCTATAGTACGTATTCTAGAGCTATGGTCGGCAAAATTTTTTTCGGGGGTTAAAACATTTTTTCAGGGGGACATTGCCCCCCCTCCTTGCCCCCCGCTGGCTACGGGCCTGGTTTGTGATAGGGTAGCCTAAGCATTAGGGCTAGGACTAGGTTCAGGTTGAGGGCTAGGGTTGGGATTAGCGCTAGCCCTGTTTACGTCTCGTGACCTTTGACCAAACTTTAAGTTGACCTTATCAAATATAGCCTAACCCAATCATTGACAGACCTTATGATAAAACTCGTCCGCACTAATACCATCCTACACCCCTTCCACGACACAATTTCATAAATTTAACATGGCGAATTTAGTAAGTTAAAATATATCGCGCATAAAAATAAACCAAAATTGAACGATAAGAGATTGGAATAATTTAAATTCAAGAGAAATCATCAAACACCAAAAAAACAGTCCACTTTTTCAGACCTTGTCAGATCACAAAGATAGGCCCCTACGACTAAATTTGGACTCTTGATACGACGTGTTTTCGGTCAAAATGAGACATTTTTTTTGGCACCTAGCATATTATGGTTTTTCTTCCAGTAGTAGTATAGTAATTTCAAAATTAGGTTTGAGACCTCTCTTCCATTTTGCAAAATATAAATTATCTTTCAAAATATATTGTCCTAAATATTTTATTTAAATCCAATTTAAAAAGCGTCATTGAAATCAAATTATAAAAACTGATAAAAAAAAATATTTTACACAATCATTCTTGCGCGTGACTAGAATATGGCGTGACTCTGCTATTATTATTTGAGAGAGAGAGAGAGAGAGATGGGGTTTAACGTCCACTCGACACAAACTAGGTCATTTCGGGACTAACAAGTGTTTTTTTTTTAAATTTTATTTCAGTAATTCGCTAGCGCGTAGGGGTCTTTAGCAGTGGGAGGAAATCGGAGGACCCGGAGAAAACCCACCAGGTTGGACAGGCGACCCTACTCCGGGGATTCGAAACCACGCCAGTTGACTGAATGACAGGCCGTATGATACAGCACGCACGTGCTAACCATTTGGCCATCCAACCCCCCTATTATTATTTGAAAGTGAAAGAATAAAAACATATCTTTTGATACTCGATCGTGATCATAATAAATGATAGCAAGTGATATTTTAAAGACCTGTGTGGGTCAATTTATAGGCAAATTGATATGATAGCAAAAATATAATAGCAAAGAAAAAAATCCAACAACACCCGAGGTGACTGAAATTTCACTAATCGGTATAAAGAGGGGCTTATGTCGACTTACCAGTCGCAGTCCGCGACTCGAAATGGTCGGAAATGGCAACGTTTCATTTTAAATTGTTTAAATTTTCTGCCGAAGGCCACCCAGATCTCGTGGATTGCCGCTACCCTGCAACGGAGATCTGAAATCCTGGATCCGCCGGTATTTACGGTTAGTCTAACTAATTGTTGCGAGGAGAATTTGAATATAACAAGCAGATTCCAGTCATTGGCCCAGTCGGAGCAGAACAGTATAATATAGGACGTTAAAGCCCATTTCATTCCATTTCAATTATACTTTTGAAATTCATTTTAAAAAAAACGCCACTTTAAAGCTTCGGCACTTTATCTCCATAATCTACACCGATTATTATATTGATTTAAATATTATAGCTTGCATGCACATTGTGATAAAGAATCAATATTGATAAAGAAATCACCACAAGCCGACATGCGATGGACTTAATGAATGGCTATAGAGGTATATAAATAGTTCAACTCTTAAGCCGTGTTTTATTTTGAAAAAGAGGTATTTACGAACATTGCGATACCAAAAAAAAAAAAAAAAATGTCCCTTTACACATCTGATTTTTATTCTGTATGCCATGTAAACTGTATGCATTTAGTTTAAATATAAAATAACGGTGGGAAAAATTATAATTGTTTTAATTTGTAGTTACACTACTAGGAGGCACTACGATAAATATGTCTGTAAATAAAAAAAAATCCCCTGAGATAATGGCATTTATTTCTGGGTTAAAGACTTTTTCAAGAATGCGGACAAAAAGTTGCCGCACTTTTTTCAGTATTTCCACAGGCCAATCTTATCATTTTCGACGAATTTGCCTCAATTTCGAATTTTCGCAAGAATATGATACACATGTGCAAGAGTGGCATAAGGAAAAACAAGGCGAATGCTAGTAAATCCTTACAAATATCTTACGGTCACTATAAACGCCTTGTTATCAATAAGAATGACTTGTGATTACTTTCGAAAAAGTTCCTAATATTTGCAACAGTCAATAAAAGACCGCGAATGCTCACGGCGACCACCTACGATTGCTACGAATGTCTAGCGATCACTAAAAAGATGTCCATCAAATATTCTTGTATAACTGAACGGAATTCAACGATTTATTGGCTGATATTCCTATTGGTGATTCCACTATCAAAATAGTATATTTTTCAAGGAATTATCAATCCTTCAAATGGCATTCATAGAGAATTGTATGCTATTTACTTTACATAAACTCTGTAAGGTGGGTTGGATCAATCATTGGTCTTAACGTGATTTACTCTTGTCAGTATAGTGCAGGACCGAGGGCCTGCAGGCAAGGACAATGTCTAGTCGTTCGGATGATAAGATAAACTGAGGTCCCGCGTACACATTGCCGTGCACGTAAAAGAACCATTGGCAGTTGGAATTTGCAGTCTGGACACACTTATGACGTAAGTACGTTTCATTAGCCCAGTCGGTGCAGAAAAGTAGGACGTTAAACCCCTTTTCATTTCATTTAAAATATTGCCCAGTGTACACTGGGCTTTATAATTCTCTTTGTTATAAAAAAGTTCACCATCCACGTGATAGGTGGAATGCCCAATGATTCAGCATAATTTTGTTCTGCAATCATAGATCGTGTTGAGACTATGATAAGTCGCTATATGTAGGCTAACAATAGGCTACAAATGATCAAGCATAAAATGTACAGTCTGAACTGTTTGAAGACTCAGACGCGATAATATTGTTTCACCATAGATTAATTAACATGTACAATGGCCCGTAGCAGAGGGGGCAAGCCCCCCCCCCCCCCGAAAAAATAATTCCCCCCCCCCCCCCCGAAAAAACATTTGCCGACCATAGCTCTAAAACACCTACGGTAGAATGTGCCGGGTGTCCCCCCACCCCCTAAAAACTTCACTGCCCCTCCAAAGCTAGCAAGCTGGCTACGGGCCTGGCAGTGTCTGGCTTGTTTATTCACGGAAACTTGGACGGCCGTTACATGATTTTGAGTAGAAATATATATAGGCCTACTGTCGTACCAACAGCATGTAGGCAAGGAACTATTTCCATTAGGTAACAGGTTTACCGACAGTACCAGTCGAAGATGATATTTTTTTTTTTTTTTCTTTATTTTAAATAGAAGAGTCAATCCGTGGTTATGATTCTCCGATACTTATCGTCTGCAATATGCAAATAAGGTTGTTTGCCTTCGTGCATACATGTTGTTGGCCAATAGCTGCAGTAAATTTTCCCGCGTTTAGACGGCTCGAAACAATGGTAAAATTCAGCCATTTTATAAAATTTCGTCTTGATGGAATATGAATAACAGAAACAATAAAATGATGATTATGTCGAATTGGTTAATATTTTTTTTAAAACCGTTTTTTTGTATTTTCTGTTAATTGCTTGTTTAACTACATAGATCGTCTTGGCTCAGCTTTAATTGGCGTTCAGTGAAATTTTACTCCAACAAGTTTATCTCCAGTTTTATGTTGCAACCAAAGAAGGGCACATTTTTGTCCCATATCAAAATTTCAAATTCAGAATTTGGTTCAGAGAACAAGTGTTGAAAGAAAATATAAAACTGAACTCGACGCAATTTAAATATAGGATTATTTTTATTTACAACCGAATTTAGGCAATTTGTTCTTTGTTTTTAGATGCGCTATGCCATGCTTAAATTTTGATATTGTCTTCAATTCTTTCGTGGAACCGCAGGTCAACTCTTAAATCCACTCTGTACTCTAATGCCCCATTTTCTGTTATCTATTAATTGTTTGCAGTAAAATTAACACAATAGATATAAATCGGCTTCATACAACGAAAATTTATAATAATGCATCATTAATTTTGGTTTAATCATGTGCGAGGGTAGATAACAAACCTTAAAGGACAATATTGGTGCCAGTCATTATCAAATAATATGTGATAGAACTGGTTAAACACGTTCCGAATATTATTTTATCACGGAGATCATTAGATGAGTAATCAATGTTTCAACAATAGGAAGTGACGAACGCAAAAGGAAAACACGAGTTATCCCTTTATATAACTGAATGAAGTGACGGGTGATAACAGATACATGGGCGAATTTCTGCCCACTAATAATTCTTTCGAAGACCAAAAGTTGTTGTATGGGACTGTGAAAGGATATCTGACAATTCATAAACAAAGACTCTCACTATAGATAAGAGAACATGAAAGAAAAATAGAAAAAGTCCGTGCATTACCATGTTTTTATAAGTATAGAATGAATAAACACCCGTGAATGTACGGACTGGTTTCTATTTTTCTTGAATTTTCAGATATACTCTTACAGTGTCATATAAATATTTGAATTGATTAAATCTATGTATAAAAATACATCCTATGTGGTGAAACACAACAACTCCATTTCAAATAATATTGATTCTACCATTGGAGTTAAGCAAGGATGTGTTTTAAGTTCTACATTTTTTAATATTTATACCAATGATTTAAACCAATACTTAGACAATTCTACAGACAGTGATAATTATCCTATATTAAATACTACTACTCTATCCCATCTGCTCTTTGCTGACGATCTTGTGCTGATGTCAGCTACCGAAATAGGATTACAGAACAACCTTGATAATTTAAAACGTTTCTGTGATGACTGGAAACTTGACCTCAATAAAGATAAAAGCAAAGTTATGATCTTTAATAACAATAAGAAAAAAACAATAAAAAAAATTGTCTTTGGCCACGTCAATTTAGATATTTTAAAATCTTATCTTTACCTAGGCATTTTCATAAATGATAACGGATTTTTTAAATCAGCTATTGTGAATTTTGAAAAGAAGGCTAGGAGAGCCTGGTTTAGCTTAAGACATAAAGTCTGTACATCTAATCGCCTTCCAACACATGTTCTGATAAAACTTTATGAATCAGTCGTGAAACAAATAGCTTTATATGATTCAGAGGTTGTTTTTTTTTTGGGGGGGGGATAATTTAGTGTTCAGTAAGAACTTTGAGATAGAAAATTGGGATAAAATAAATACGAATAAAATGACCATTAAAATTTGTAAATCTATCCTGACACAGCCATTAAAAGCATCAAATATAGGCTGCTTGGCCGAATTAGGAGCTTTCCCTGTTAATATCGATATATTCCAAAGAATGGCTATGTACTATAAAAGACTAAACGAAAATAGCATTAACTTAAGTAACTCATTACTGAATTCTGCATACCAGGAAGACATAAATATTTTGCAATCAAACCCAAAACTCTCCTGGTATGCGGCTATCCAAAATATCTTCAAAAAATATGACATTTCTCCAACAACAATTTCGAGACAGAATATTAAAAGTTCAATAGAAAGTAAGTTTAACGATCTCCTTGCTGAATCTTGCGGGCCGAACCATAAACTCAGAACCTTCGGATTATTCAAAAAGAAATTCAATAAACACTCAAAAATATCTAGAGTTTGTTAATAATAAGAAGTTCAAAATTGCGATGTCTACCCTGCGATTAAGTAAAAAATGCAATGCAAGCAAAATTGAATCTGAACAACATTTTCTTATGAAATGCCAAAAATATGAAGATTTAAGAAAAAAATATATTTTTTTAAACTCTTGACAATACTGGTCTAACCTTTTCCTTCGAAAATATATTCGACCCACCGAGTATTATAGCCACAAGTGTCGCAGCCTTTCTACTTCTCTTTTCTTGGGAGAGACATCTGAACTGTTAAAAATGCATGATATTTTATTTTCTTTTATGTGCGCACGCTTTGTTTTGTATTTTGATATATTATGTACCCTGTATGTGGGTTTTATACTGTCGAGTTATGTGATTTAATACTTTAAGTCCGGTTTTGTTTCATATGCAGGTTTCATCGATACTAATATTTGTGACTGTCGTTCGTTTGTCTGTCTGTCTGTTTGTCTGTCTGTTCGGAGTTGGCGGCTACAGGTCTGCCCCGAGTCTGAAATTTGGGGTGTAGGGGTAGCTCGGACCGGGGAGTAACATAGGCCAGGTGGCGTTAGTCTACCACTTCCGGTTTCGGAGTTATGACCCCCCCCCCCCCCCGAACGAAGCCGGGCATTCTTCTAGTACTGTTTATTTATGAGTGCTCTGAATTTATGTCCGTCCATAATTCTGTATCGTGGCACCAATATTGTCCTTTAATCTCTCAACCCTATCTCAGCGTTTTTACTTTTAGTTACGTTCTCGTACTGTAGCTATTGCGAGGGTGACATATATATATATGTATCGTCTGCTACAGCGCAGTATATTGTCATTAAAACAACAACAAAAATAATTTAGATGATATGATTTGAAAACAGTAATTGATCACGAATGCTACACGCAACTTACAACAAGAGTGGTATTCAAGAATACGTTTTCATTAAAGCATAGAACTAGAATACTAACCTAGTTCTATGATTAAAGAGAAAAAGACTAAAAACGTCATTTTCCCTAGCATTCGGCATTTGCCGAAGAATCAGAGCTAAAAATAGACACCGGATATACGTCACACGTAAAATCTCCTGAGAAGTACCCGTATTAAAATTATACACAACAATACTGAACCATCATGTCTCGTGGGAATAAAGTAGCTTATGTGGAAAATGATGAGCCTTCATTTATAAAAAGATTCAAAGAGAGGATAGGCTATAAAGAAGGACCCAATGTCGAAACAAAGAGGGAATTGCCCGATTTTAATGATGAAGATGAAGAGTCTAATAGTAATAAAGACGACGAGAAGCCAACTATAGTAGTATTAAAAAATGGAGATTTAACATCTGAGGAAGTTGAACAATTACAGCTTCAAATAGATAAAGAAGAACCAGCACACAACATTGGAGATAAGATAGTTTTTAAACGACCTCAAAAAAGGCAAGCTGAAGAAGAGGGTGATAGTGGAGCACAAGTAAAGAAAAATGGAAAAACAAAAGGCAGTAAAATTAACCAAAAATCCAAAGAGAAAAAATTAAAAAAGAACAATCTGCTATCATTTGATGAAGAAGAAGAAGATGATACTTGAATAATTGTCATGTTTTAGATGATTTTGATACTGTGATATGCCCGGAAATTAATTCCTATGTATTGCAGCTTTTGTGCAAAATATTTCAGTGTAATTCTTCTGAAATGAGCCCTTAAGAATATTGACTATGCTAATCAGTGGTCAATATGGAGAGTAGTTATTACAAATACAATGCATTAAATTCTGAACTTTAATATATGTTTGGTGGTATCAGTTTATAAATGTCATTTAATATGTGACATTGATTTAAAGGGATTCTCTAATGCAGTCTAATTACCAAATTTTCAATCTTCATCTTCAGTTTGTTTACCAGATTCCCATAAACTCTGAAACTGTACACGTCAAAAATTTTATTTGATTATCAATAGTAATATTGTGTAGCGATTAGCAGTTATTAAACATGAAATGTTAGATAAAATTGAAATGGTGGGGGAAAAAAAAATGAAACAGACTGCTATGGTAGTAGTTTGTTGATGCTTATCCATTGATGGTATGGATTAGAATGTAAAACCAGAATTTAAGATCAACCATGTTTATTTGGTCTCGTAGTTATTCACACTCGAAGTCAAAGATTACATAATGGGAGATAATTCCAAAAGACTCCACTAACTAATATAATAAAGGGGAGAAAAATGTTCCATGAAAGGTGGTATTGGCATACATTGTATGGCGGATATGAGATATAACTACTATAGGACACTACATAGTGGACCAGAATTACTTGGGAATCTACATGTTTTACGTTTGAATTAAAAATTTGTAAGCTTGTCAATGTGATACATATTATAAAAAAAGATTTTTGATATTTAAAATTCATCTACTGTTTTTATTGCTAAACCGTCCATCTCCCCCACCGAATTATATAAATCTTTTGGGGAATTCCAAAGTCTGATATATTAGGCTTATTTATATTTTGTTATTTTTCTAGAACAGCTGATACCACTTTTTATATGCCAACATATGTCGTTACCCTGCCCGTCCGTAAACAATTGGCTTGTGAACGGGACAGAGAATAGAGTTTTTGACGGAATATTTTAAAATTTTGTGTGAAGCATCGTAGTCACGAGAGGATGAAGACTTTCAATTTTCAAGTAACTGATTAATCTATATATAATGAGTACAAGTTTACCAGTTTAAAATCATCTTAGTAGTTTAAAATCAACTCAGTTTAGTTTTTAAAAAAAAAGTCAATATGTATTCAGTGAGTGCTAGTATAACAGTTCAAAATCATCTCAGTTTAGTTAATAGAACAGGTTAAAATCATCTCACTAGTTAGTAGCTTAATCTCTATTCAATGAGTAACAGTTATGCTCCGAAAACCTTGTATTTATACACCATTTTCAGTGTATAGTGATTTTCTGTTCTGGTGTTTCTCCCCTTTCTGAAAACATTGTGAACACAGTAGAGGCTATACATGTTTTTAATGGATTTCTTTCAAATTTGGGGTCATGAGAGGATGAACCCTATCGATATAAACCCTTTCCATTCCAGAGCATCCTTCCCTTGTGAACATGATAAAGGCTGTAGTTTTTAATAGATTTTTGTAAAATGTGGTGTGAAGCATTGGGGTCATGAGAGGATTGACCCTATCCATATTCAGCTTTCCGAGACTTTCTATTCCGGAGTTATGCCCCCTTTTCCGAAAAACCTTGGGAACGTGACAAAGACTATGGTTTTTAATGGTTCTTTTTCATTTTTTCATATTTGGCTTGGAACAATCCGCAGCGTTCCGTTCCTGAGTAATCCCCCCTTTGTTGAAAACTGTGTGAACGCGATAGAGGCTGTAGGTTTTAACAGATTTTTCCCTAGAAATTAGATTTCTTCAAGGATCCTTAGATCCTTGTCAAATTTGCTCAACATAATTCAAGTTTTCCATTTGAATAAGCTGCACTTGTGACAAAGCTGCTGGGCAGTTGGAAATAAAAGTAGACCATAGTACCGCTGTCTTGGCAAAATTTCCCTCATAGCACAATGCATGTCATAATATATATCTGTCTTCGTTCCCAGCCGGTGCAGAAAAGTAGAACTTTAGTTTAAGCCCCATTTCATTTCATATCCGTATCAGGGTTATTTCCCCATTTCTGAAAACTCTGTGATCATTGATAGAGGCTGCAGTTTCTTTAAAGCTAGTGAACAGGATAAAGATCAGATTTCTTGACAGACCCTTTCCTTTTCAAGTTTGGTCAACATGCAAGTTTTTCTTTCAGATAAGTTGCTGTCGAAACATGGCTGCTGTTTGGGTGTGTTTGCCTGGTTATTTTTTATAAAAAAAAAGGACAAAATATTTGTCTATAAAAATAGTTTATATTTCTCTATTTATTTATATAATAAAAACATTTACATCATTCAAATTAGAATATAATGCATAATAAATATCACAATAAAACTATTTAAACATACATTATGCAAGAGATAAATCTGCCTATTGCAGGTCTTTCTTTAGGCCTGAAATGTTATCTAAATTATTAATTAGACATTAATTAAATTATCCAGACCATAATCAACTCTCAATGTCATCGCTAGCCTGCGATATTTACTGGATTAGGATCCCATTTGCTGCTCAACTTCCATTCATGATTTAATCATGAAATGGATTATCGAGACTATGTTTCTTATCGTGCCGACTTTAGTAATGATCATCGAGGCTAGGCCGAAATTTCAATCGCTTAATTCTCGGTTCATAGTAGATCAATTTGATTGAAATTTTCAGTAAATTGCTTTTACATTATCTAGTTTTTAACTATTATAGTGAGAACTGCCAGCTCTTTATCTAATCTCCCATAATGTATCTTCAAATCTATAGAACATTACTGTCAAGCCAAAAGCCTATAAAACCACAGTCTAGACAACAGCCCATACAACTACAGTCAAGAAAACAGTACTGTCAAGACAGCAGCCAATACTGCTGCAACCTATAAAACAAATGTCATGACAAGACAACAGCCTATAAACCACTGCCAAAACAAGACAAATCTATAAAACTGCAGCCAAGACAATGCCATATTAAACTTCTGTCAAAACAACAGAGTATAATATAACCTATATCAAGACAGTCTACAAAACTACTGTTAAAATTGTAGTCTATAAAACTACAAAAAAGACAACAGAATATAAAACTACTGTCAAGTCAGACAACAGCTTACAACAGTTTCTAAAATAAATAATAAAAGTTAATATAGGCTTTTTTAATGGTTGAAACTGTATGTTGAATTTCCATAAAATCAAATCAACTGATAATACCCAATATGTTAGTATGTGTATTTTAAATGAAAATTAAGATTATTTGGTCGACTAGACAGTAGCAGTCAAAACTGTAAATATATTCAACCATAAACTTTTGAAAATTTAATAATTCAATTTTTATACTTAAAGTATTTAGCCAAAAAGGATTTAGCCAATCACAATCGCAAACAGCAGATTTCAAATAGAACAGATGACTAATAAATATCTATCCAACTAGGAATGAAATTAAGATCCAATTTTAATTAGACTGTCAATTCTTATATTTACAGTTATTTAAAATAATACTTTAATTCCAATATGTAAGTAAGAGCTTGTCGTCCTATGTATTATCCTACCTGAAGCTATTCAAATGACAACTGTTCTAATTCTACATTAAACTATAATAAGATTATTTGAATTCTTCGATTTCTTCTTCTATTTCTTGTTGTCTGATGAGTTCCCAGTATAAACCTTTTTTCTGCTTTAAAGTATTATGATCACCCATCTGGAAATCAAATAAATAAATGAAATAAGTAGGTTAACATCCACTAGAGACAAACTAGGTCATTCGGGACTAACATATGGATGAGTTATTTCAAATTAAAGATTTTGGCAATGTTGAAATGAAATGGGGTTTAAGGTCAGATTTATGACGATAACCATATGCCACGTAGTGTGCTATGACAGAAATTTTGCCCAGATGGCAGTGCTACCGTCTGCTCCGAATGTCAGGGATATTTAACATATGCTACCACTGGTATTCACAGGATTTTGCTTTCCTTGCAACGCTCTGCCCTGAAACACTTACAAGGGGAAATCTGGCTGGAATATCTTGAGGAATGTATGCAATGTACGGCCTAAGAACGTCTCTTTAAATAACATACCTCTACAATCTGACCATGTGTTACTACTGCTATGAGGTCAGCATCTCGTATAGTACTCAATCTATGAGCTATAATTAACACTGTGCGACCTTTAATTACGTTATCTAAAGCTTCTTGAACTATTCTCTCTGATTCAGCATCTAATGCACTGAAATATTAAAAACATAATATATAGATACAATATCTTTCAACTAGAAGTGTTCATCTATTCTCTTATGTTACGGTATAAGGCTGTGGGGGTGGGGGGTAGTGGATCAGGTCTCAGTGTTTCATTTCATGAGTTTCTACAACTGGATTTTTTAAAGAATGGATCCAATTTTAAGCATCTATTCTGAAATATTGGTAGTACAGAATTTGGTTTACTTGTCTTCACAACACCAAGCACGGGAAGAATTGAAAAAGCAAAAATTATATTTCTGTATAGGAAACACCGACGCTGATTGGTTAATCAGTGATTCAGAAGTTGCCTTGCTGCATGACCCCGGACACGACCTCCCTTCATGTAGTCGAGGCCATCGAAAGTATAAAAAAACGAAACTAAGAATATATCTGTATTTTAATCAGATAGTAAAATAGTTTGAGTTACCTAGTAGCTTCATCTAATATTAATATAGAAGGATTTTTGATTAAAGCTCTGGCTATAGCTATTCTCTGTTTCTGTCCACCTGATACTGTTACACCTCGTTCACCTAGTACTGTACTATAACCATTGGGAAATGTATTAATAAAATCATCAGCATGGGCTTGTTTCGCTGCCTCTATAACCTGATAATATAATAGATAATACATAGATTAACCATCAACATCCTTTACCCTTGTATACCAAAAACTAAGTCATGGAAACAAAAAGGTTATTAAATCAAAAGAATTACTAATTAGCAAACGCACAACTACTATAATAGGTACAATCAGTGAAGCTGAAACATATATCAGTATTCTGTGTTTGATTACATCCCGAAATCCACACCTAGACAGGAATTGATCATATGAGATCCAAATTGCAATTGAGAACATTCTTGACCCCATTACTTCTAGGCTTAACGGATATATGTAGGTCTGAGTCATCCATTTTGCTAAGAGAAATTGTTACAAGGGACTACAAGTTTCATAACTGGTTGCCTTTAAGCAACAAATACTGTATCAATATTCGCTTAAATTTTGTATACAATTATTTTTATCATATTTACCTCACTATCTGTAGCATCTGGACGACCATATCTAATATTCTCCATGACTGAAGTAGCAAATAAAACTGGTTCCTATACAAATAAAAGAATCATTTAAAAGAATGTCTATTTGTGTGGTTTAACCCCTGAGGACATTTACCAAATAAAAATGGATGTATTGTGACCTAATTAATTAAATATCACTTGCCCAGTAAAACTTGAATATTCTGCCGACATGTTTCACGAGAGAATAATTCATAATAAAATTAAAGTACAGCAATTCCTACACAAATATTAGTGTACTTATGAATGGTGAATTGTGATATACATTTTGGGTTCCATGGATTAGAACTAAATAAATCAATTTTATAAATGACACAATGCCCTATTTTGTGCAAGAGAATAATTATATACAACTTAAATATGCGATACTGACCTGATTAATGAAACCTATAGCTCGACCTCTCAACCATGTTGGATTTAAATCACGTATATCTTGACCATCTATAGTTATCTGCCCCTTATCAATATCATAGAATCGTTCTAACAATGCTGCTACAGTAGATTTACCTTCAAAAATAAAACATTAACTATACTTAGCGACATACGTATACCACTCCTTATTACACGACTAACACATATTGAATGTTTTTGTTGTGTACCCTCAATATTCTAGTGTTCCACCTAGTGGTGCTAGACTAATAATTGTTTTTCGGAGTGAGAGAGAGAGAGAGAGAGAAATGGGGTTTAATGTCCACTCGACACAAACTAGGTCATTTCGGGACAAACATGGTTTAATTTTATTTCAATAATTCGCTTGCGCGTAGGGGTCTTTAGCAGTGGGGGGAAATCAGAGGACCCGGAAAAAACCCACAAGGTTGGACAGGCGACCCTACTCCTTGTCACGTACAGCCGGGGAATCGAAACCACGCCAGTTGACTCAATGACAGGCCTTATGATACAGCGCGCACGTGCTAATCATTCGGCCATCCAACCCCCCTTTGTTTTGCGGACGCTTGGAAATAAACCAGTGGAAGCACTACATTGTGGTGACTTGAATTTCACGGCCAACATATCAGCTCTCTGCCAATCCTACACAAATTTCCCCCTTAATACCAAACAAGATAACATCAGAGTAATAAAATTACCTCCTCCAGATAAACCAACAAGAGCCAAAACTCTTCCACCTTTTACATCTAAACTAAAATTCTTTAATATCATCTGAAATTAACAAATAAGCCATTTAAAAATATATGTTACACTTAAAGATACATTTCTACGAAAGTATGTATAGGGTTATTTACTTCCAATAAAAATATGGCAAATTTGGTATACATGTATATGGAAAGTAGAGACACCCAATCTTACTACAATACTTGATTTTTTGAAAAATACCCACGAGGCATGCACAGGACAAAAATGTAAGGAGATCAAATTGTACAAGCTGAAAATGGAGTACCCCTCGGCCCTCAATCAAGTCACGTGACAAACAAGATTTCGTAATATAGAATTTTACATCTTCAGTTAGTTATCTTCAGATTATAATGTTTTGAGAGGGAATTAAAGCAAACTTTTTGAATATGTATTTAGTCCAAATATATCATCAAATAAAACAGTTTGTACATGGGAAGGCATCTTTAATTGTATGGAGTTTGATCAACCCAAATTGAACATCAGATCAACCCAAATAGAACATCAGATCAACCCAAATGGAAACTGAAAAAAAAAAATTCTACAGATGAACATACCTGTCCTGGCCGAGTAGGATATGAAAAATTAACATCTTTAAACTGTATATCACCTTTGAGACTATGAAATGGTATTATTTTACCACCTTCTAATGGTATCTTTGATTCACTATTGATAAACTGAAACAAGAAAAACACAAATCTTATACAAAAAAAAATATTCTGGTTCTATGATACTGTTCTGGCATAAGTTTTTATTTAATTAGAAAAAAAAAAAATATTTGTCATCATTATGTAAAAGTATAAATACTTCCACAAGGAAATTGCTGTTTTAATTAAAGTCTCATTCCGTCATTTTCGTGCAATAGGAATCCCTTGCAAACTACAATATTGTATTAAAATTCACTTGCTCTGTAATAAGCCTGCGCCATTTGGTTGTGGGCAAACAGAAATGATAGGGCTATTCTAAATCCGACTGATTCGAATCCGGGAGATTATCTAGAATTGGTATTTTAATTTTGTTTTCTTAATTATTTTGATTTTGTTTTCTTAATTAAATAATCAATTTTAGTATATACTGTATTAGAGTGGATTAAGCCGTGAGAAATTTGATTAAACACAATAGTTCTATAGAAAACAATTACTGCACTTTAATTGGAGCTACATTTCTATAATGATTCTCTTGTCAACTAAAGTACAGTAATTGTTTTCCATACAACTCTTGTGTTTAATCTAATGTGTTCAATTAACAATTCTGTTTAAACATTATAGAGAAATTTGATATTTTAGCAAAAAATGCAAATGATGCATTGTGACTTGCAGAACACAGGAACATTCCTACCTCAAAAACTCTTGCACCTGCACTAATCCCTTTTACAACTTGTCCAAATAATAAAGACATATGGGCTAAAGATCTGTAAGGCAAAATAGAAATCAATCATTTATAGAAAAGACTATTATTGAAACATCTTTGAGTATTAAGTGTGATTGTCTGATTTCATAATGTTTTTCATCCATCAATGACATCTACGTCCTTTGTTTGAATATTACAGATCAGGGGGTTTTGTTTAATGGTAATGATTATAACGGTAATCGTTAAGAGTTTGACCCAGTTACTGTAACTCACCTGTGGATTTGGGACACATATGGTATGGCACTTGTTTTAAAAGGAGCTGTAGAAAGGTGCGCCTAAACCATGAATTTTTTATTTTGCCTTGAACACCTCTGACAAACTCAGTTTGTGCCTTAAATATGCATGCGTCTAATCCACCGACAATTACAGTAGATTGTTACCTATATGTATTTACCTTTCTATTGTTTGTGTTGCTACTAGAAACGACATCAGATCACCAGCAGATAATTCATGTAATGACATCATATATCCACCAGCAAACATAGTTCCTAATACAATACCTAAAATAAGTAAAACATAATATATAATTGTGTATTCATAAAATTGTATCTTGTAACAGTTTATGTAACAGCTAAACTTGCCTATTGCCAGGCATTTTGCTGTATTCAAATGTTATATAAATTATTATTTAGAGATGTATTCACATGATAAGCCCATAATCAACTCTTTAGATCATTAGATGGTTTAGATATTGAGTGGATTAGACAATGTCCGCCATATTGCATTAAACGATAATATGGTCAAAATTACTGTTAAAAGGACTGACAACAAGACTTTATTTAAATGGCAATAGTACTTGAACATCAAGACTATTTAATTTATTGTCAAAACTTCAAACATTCATAACTTTGCTCAAAATAAAGTATGCTGTCTTCATTAACCTGGTTGGTGAAACAAAGTAGCATGTTAAACCATATTTCATTTCATAAAATCCAGTGAAATTAACAACTATAATTTTGCTTCAGATAAAACAGGGAGTGCCATTTTAAGTTTTAAATGACGACAAGAAGTTGAAATTTGATTAAAATATATTCTATAAGACACATTAGTAAGAAATATCTTACCATTTAAAGCTACCGTATATTTCCAGTGAAATTAATAATCATAATTTTGCCCCAGATCAAACAGCATGAGAGAGGGGTTTAAAGTCCACTTGACACAAATTAGGTCATTTCGGGACTAACACATGCTTCTATTTTATTTCAATAATTCGCTTGCGCATAGGTCTTTAGCAGTGAGAGAAAACCCACGAGGTTGATTGGCGACCCTACTCCTTTCATGTACAACCCGGGAATCAAAACCACACCAGTTGACTCAATGACAGATCTTATGATACAACACGGCTAACCATTCGACCATCCACCCCCACCCCCACCCCAGCCCACCTATCAAACAGGGAGTACCATTTAAAATACACTTTAAAGACTTTATCATAATAAAAATATATCTTACCATTTAAAGCTATATTGGCTAAACCCTGAAATACACCTATACCAACACCAAGTTGTATATTTAACTTCCTAGCTTTATTTAATTCACTACCATATAATCTGAAAAACAACATTGTATCTTTAAAGAGTCAACAACAATCGGTGTGTCTATTATTAAAGTGTTTTCTCTTGTGTTGTTTTCTTTTGTACTGATTTGTTTTATCTCACAACTTTTGAACATGACAAATTAAATGACTTAAAAAGAAAAACCAACTGATAAATCATACAGACTTTTCTAAAAATCATACAGACTTTTCTAAATATCATACAGACTTTTATTCAAATCATACAGAAATCACAATGACTTTTCTCCAAATCATACAGAAATCACAATGACTTTTCTCCAAATCATACAGAAATCACAATGACTTTTCTCCAAATCATACAGAAATCACAATGACTTTTCTCCAAATCATACAGAAATCACAATGACTTTTCTCCAAATCATATAGAAATCACAATGACTTTTCTCCAAATCATACAGAAATCACAATGACTTTTCTCCAAATCATACAGACATCACAATGAATTTTCTCCAAATCATACAGAAATCACAATGACTTTTCTCCAAATCATACAGAAATCACAATGACTTTAATACAAATCATACCAGTTTTGGTTGTCAGAACAATTATCCATTATTTATGAAATATAAATCATATCTAAATACAGTGTACATACTCATTTTCTTTTTTCTCCATTGCAAAAGCTCTGACAGTTCTGACATTACCTAAAGCTTCATCAGCCACAGCTGTTGATTGGGCTACCTATAATAAAGTATAATATGAATGAATAACAAACAGCAACATGAATAATGCATATCAACTTGAATTTACTGCAATTACAAATAGTCTACAACAATAGACTTAACCACATTTCTCATTTCTAATTGTGTTCGTTCTTGACCACATGAAGTTTCCCTGTAAATTCGAAAAAACTCTTGCCAAAAACATGGACCTGTAGAGTATTCACAATAAATTGGAGGCTAAATAGGAGCAGTGGATACAATGACTGTAGCATGTTATGTGTAGGTATCAAGATAAATTTCTCATTTAAAATGCAAAGGAGGACAGCAATATATGTAGCTGAGACTGGAATGAAATGTGCACTTAACATTGTCATTTTTGTGCCATATTAGGGAAATTTTGCTTGGAAAGCATATTTCTAAGAAAAACAATTCTGAATACCAGCTTCCATGTGATTTTCGTGCAATAGGAATTGATATATGAGATCTAGATTTTCCAAGATACTCTTACCTTGTCAATCTTAAAGTAGTTTCATTACTGGTATGTATTATTAAAGATGCCTTCCCACGTACAAAATTGTGTGATTTGATGAATCTTGGGAGGAATGTATCTTTAAATTGTCTTTTCTTGTACAGTATAAATAATTTGTAAAATAAAATTACCTGAGTTTGTGCATCTTTTGATAATTTTCGTAAAGTTGAACCTATTAATGAACCGCCTATAATAATGGCTGGTACGACAGCTAGCATTATACCTGTTAATTTAACAGATATTAGTAATAGAGTTGCTACACAGCCGATTGTCTACAATAAAATATATAAACATAAAAATATTAAACATAATATTATAGGAGAAAAATTGTATTAATACCCAAATCCCCAGTGGTATCATTCTGTTGTACTCCACTAAACCCTTGGTCGATTCACGGGGGAGGCACAGTCAAATAATTCGCCCTTGATACTTGTGCTAATTTTATCGAGCAATCAAAAAACCTGAAATGAAGTGGGCGAAGGGTAGTAATGTGCATCTTGATACAACAATCCAACTGAACCTGTTGTTTAGTGTGTATGTCACTTTATTTTTTATATTAAATGTCTTTGTGAGTACTATGTGAATGGTCCCAGGGGTTAGTGGAGTAGAATGGAATAATACCAATAGGGATACCTAGGATGACCTAAATATGGAAGTTTAATGTGTCATCTATATATACTTTGATCATTTTGAGATAAATGCCTCAATTTCTGTAGTTACCAGTGCAATGCAAAGTTTGCCAATATATGCCCAGACATTGGTCTTCCCATCTACTCTTCTTTGATTTCCAACAATTGAGGGTCTTTTTGTGCGCATGCTAATGTGTACATGGATGAACCTCAACTTTCCGCCCATCCAAATTGCTTGGCACACTGATTTGTCAGGATAAGTGATGACCACACTTGAAAAATCCTGAAGGTTCTCCTCAGCCCAGGCACGGATTTGAACCTGGGTGTAGGGGAAATTAACTTATTTCTTTGCATAAACACACAAAACAAATCTCTTAAGTGATTAGTTCTATTACCTGAGTAACAGCTCGTAAACCCTGAGATATACATAACTTGAATGAACTTTTAAAATCTTGAACATCAGATGTCAACCTGTAAATAACCAGACAAACATCTTTATCATATACAATCATAATTTACCCAAAGGACATACTTTCATCTCTATTACCATATATGGCTCTATACCATATAAGGCATTGTTTACTACAAAAGATGTACTAAAAAGGTTTAATTTAGAAGCCATCAATCTATCGATGTAATTTGAAAATACACTTTTGTATATAAGATGTTTAGACACGATTCTGATAATGTAATTTTGTCTTCCCGTATCTATCAAATAAGCGAAGACAGATACTTATTTAGGTATAATATTGACATGAACTTGAGCAGGTGTACCTATTTTTCGTTATGTCTTTGTGGTAATCATAAATACTAGCTTTTTCAAGAAAATGATATGCTACATAATGTTTTTAGTTCAAGTCTGTTAGTATTAAAAAGATGCATTATGTAAAATTTAGATAAAGAGATGACAGTTCTCATTATAATAATCTGAGAATAAATAATAAAAAGGGATGAAATAAAATGAAATGAAATGGGGTTTAACGTCCTACTGTTCTGCTCCGAGCTGTGCTAACGAAGACGGGTATACGCCATACAGTGTGCTATGAGGGAAATTTTGCCTGGACAGCGGCACTACGGCCTACTCTTATATCGAATTCCAAATGTCAAGGGATCTTTTACATGCACACCAATGTGTACATGGGACCTCGGTTTTCCGTACCATCCGAACGACTAGACAGCTGTCCTTGTCAGGCCCTCCATCCTGCATCACTGACAAGGGGGAACCACACTGGAAAATCTGGATGAACTTTCTCGGCCAATGCAGTGATCAAACACCCAACCTCCAGGCTAGCGAGCCAGCATCTTACCCAATTAGCCACGTGATCCCCCCCCCCCCCCCCAAAAAAAAAGGATGAATACATTGAAAATTTCAGTCAAATTACTTTATTCTGAGTGAAGTTATGAAGGTTTAAGTTTTGATAAGAATAATGTAGACTCAATTTTCATTTTTACCATTCAATGTTACGATAATAAACAAATTCTTGATTATCCATTTTTAAATTAAATTATTAATGGTCGATCGTGTTTCAGTCCATTAAAAATCGTGACCATCTGATGTTCTAGAGAGTTGATTATGGGCTTGTCTGCTTTGTTATTTAAATACTGCCTTGTCATGTAAATAAATGTCTAATTAATAATTTATATAACATTTGAGGCTAAAATAAAGACCTGCAATAGTCAGATTTCGCTCTTACAAAATGCATCTTTAAAGGGAATCAAAGATTATTGAATCTGTTTCCTAAAGTTGAATTCAGTTTAATGTGTAAGACCTACCTATCTATTAACTCCCCTGTTTTATATTTATCAAAGAATTCTATATCCTGTTTTATTAAAGATTCAAATAAACGTTTCCTCATCCTGGTAGAAACATTTTCTCCAACAGTAGATAGTAATGTTATATAACAAAATGTTAATAAACCCTGAAATAGACAAATCAATAGGACAGAGCTAAAGAGATGGGGTTTAACGTCCACTCGATACAAACTAGGTCATTTCGGGACTAACATATTGTTCAATTTTATTTCAATAATTCGCTTGAACAGGCGACCCTACTACTTGTCACGTACAACCGGGGAATCGAAACAAGCCAGTTGACTCAATGACAGACCTTATGATACAATGCGCACATGCTAACCATTCGGCCATCCAACACACCCTATAGAGGTGTATGGTGAAGTCATCCAACCAACCATTATGTTTGTGACTTTATGGTTAACCATATTACTGTGATCTGAAAGTGTCGCCATAATTCAAGACTCAAGCACATGAAGTACATGTAGGGAACATGTGACTATGCTTTATCCTAAAAAAACTACATAGTATATTTTGCAGAGCGTACTGTACCATAATTTCTTTATAAGGAACAATGTATTAGACTCTTAACAGTTAGTCACACCATTTGAATAATGGTTAGTAGTGAGCCTTTGCAATACCCACGGAACCAGTCGGATATTGACAGGTAAAAAAAATCCTAATTAAGAGCTGTGTACTGACCTGGACAGAATATAAAACAACTAGTCGTAAAGCAGGTCCTTTAATCTGTTCCATAAATAACTCGGCAGTTTGTGAGGTAAATTGTGAAATAACATTTACAATTTCTCCTAACATTATTGGGATTTTAACATTAACTAAAGCCACTGCCAGGGCACTCTGAAACAATATCAAATTAAAATCTTACTTCAGTAATAAGAATGTTTAAGATAATCTTTTGGCATGAACTCAATACAATTAAAAAGAGAGAGAGAGAGAGAGAAATGGGGTTTAACATCCACTCGACATAAACTAGGTCATTTCGGGACTAACATATGATTTAATTTTATTTCAATAATTCACTTGCACATAGGGTTCTTTAGCAGTGGGAGGAAACCGGAGTACCCGGAGAAAACCCACAAGGTTGGACAGGTGACCCTACTCTTTGTCACATACAACCGGCGATTCGAAACCAGGCCAGTTGACTCAATGACAGGCCTTATGGTAGGTATAGCGCGCACGTGATAACCATTCGGCCATCCACCCCCAATTAAAAAGAGGCCCAGCAACAGATTTTACCCAACACTTATAGATGGCTCTGGTTTGTTTATATTGTCTGCAGACTATTCTGAATGTCTTGAAAATTTCAATTCATCAATTCTTTGTAAATACTCAATTGAATTGAAAAATGTTTGGGACTAACAAATTACTTTTAGAGATTTAACTTTCACAATAATAGTGGAGTAAACTGCCAGGAAATAAACTAATATTTGCCAGAAAAAAGGTGATGGGTTCTGAAAAACATACTCTTGGAAAATTTGTTGCTTGGGGATTCTTGGTGTGTCCACTTATTGTGGCTCTTCTGAATGTGTTAGATATGTATGTTCTCATGTGCTCCAGTTTTCTGGGTGTTGTATGTCAGGAACCATTATTTTTCTAAAGGACAAAATCGCTTGCAATGGACTTCTAAAGAACAGATATTGAGCGAATGTATTATCAAAATAGGTATATTTCCACCTCCATACAACATCACATCTCAAGCACAATTATTCAAGGTATTGATTATTACGTACTTAAAACGGTCAACCACAAAATAGGGGACATGTTGTGCTCAACAACATTTTCAGTCAGAGCGGTAAAATAGATGTTAATAAAAGCTAAATGGTTAGGTAAATATCCTTGGTGGTTAAAACATTGTTCGTTCTATGTTTACAGTGTATGTACCATTAAACAAATTGTAACTTACTGCCACTGACGCCAATAAATACCATATTTCAGGCCATAACATATGTAAAAATTCTTGCCAATCAAAATCTGGATCTGGCGTGTCATCTTCTTTTTTATCTAAAAGTCTTGAATTACTCTTCTTAGTTTTACACTGTGCTATATTATCCTTCCGCAAGTACCATGCTGTGCCAATTCCTAACAACGCTAATGGACTTGCCCCACATAATATATTAACAGAATATTTCTTAAGTGTATTTTTGACTAGTGTGAGATCTCTACTGTACAGCTGTGAAATTCTATGGCCTAAAAACACTCTACATATATCAGATTTAGATGTAAAAGTTTTTCCAGCATTTCGTGTTAATGGTTTAGTAATGGTCTGGTAAAATTTTCTTGTCCCAAACCTGAAAGGAAAAGTTAAAAACACTTTAGATTAATTAGGGAATGAATGAAATGGGGTTTAATGTCTTAACTTTCTGCAGCAAACAGGTATTGAATCAAGAAAAAAGGTCCAATCTGTATTCCTGATTGATGAGGGGATAATCTGTGTTCATCAACAGATAGGCCTATACAATTACCTTCCTTAAATAATATCGCTCCATTTATTTTTTTCAATGGTGCCAGGCCCAATCTATTTCAGGTCAGGAATCAGAAGATTGCAGCGATTTTGTAATCCCAATCGATGTGTAGGCCTATCTCACCAAGTATAAAAAAATTATTGAAATTAAGCTTGGATTGATCTCCAATATTGGCTACTTTGCTGTACGCAGTAGCATATTCAAGTTCTGAATTATATGTAATAAACTGAATATCAAATCAAAATGAGGGTTGGCCGTCATGGCTCCAATGGCTCCATAAAATAGGGTCAGCTGAGTATCCATAGTTATTTTGTTCTAACATAAAGCTTAGATCTATAAATATGGATCAGAAACGGAGAAGATAAAATGAGCTCCAACGAAACCATTGTGAGTACGGGCAGAAACTCTTTATGTCTGAGAACTGAGACTCGCTGGGTGTAGACTACTGCTTGTGGACTTTGCCCTTTTCATGTGTAAAACACTTTGACTTTTTATCATGGAAATCATCATATTCTTCAGCCGTCTGCACATCACCAACAACTACTGCTTATAACATGAATTTAGAAATATTAGGATATACTTAACATTGTCTGAAATTATTGGCGATGCTTAACTAACTTTCAAAATTGTACCTAAAAAAAATGATAATGACCTTTGGAAATTATGACATAATGTCATTGACCGGTGAAAATCGATGACATCGAACTTCTTGAAGTTCAAAGGCCTTCTAATCAATGGTGATCGTGAAGTTGACGCCAAAAGAATTTTCCATGCCATAGTTGAAAAATAGATGTCTGCACACGAACTGACTTAGACGACCCCGTTGGTATATTTAACTATTAAGTTCATTTAAAAATCATTTATCGTCGACTTTGACATGTTTACAAATTGTTCATGGGCGCATCCATCTTGGCGAAGCTAGCATATTTATTTTCGTATAAAATATATTTTTAGTCGTTTTTTCATATATTTTAGTTAAATTACACAGGGGTCGCCCAGTTGAATTTGTTTTGAATTTTTGAGTTGTTGAGAAAGTAACTTGATTTGTCTTATCGCCATAATAATCGACAATAATAGATTTTTTCATATTTAGACATAGTTTCGTATTCCATAAAGATGGTTGCATGTTGAAAAGAAATCTGAAAGTAAAAAGTTTTATTTAGAATAACATCTATGATAGAGAGCACAATAAGAAAAGTAATATCTAAGGATACATTATTTAGATAATGAAGGAGTATAAGGATGTCTAATAATGAAGATACACCTCAAAATAATGAAGTAAACAAGGAAATTGAACTTAAAGTCGAAGCTGTGGCCACTGTGGGTGACAAGCCAACAACAGAAACTGAAATAGAGGAAGGAAATCCCCCAGAAATTAAACTGAATGACGAAACTTATTCAAAAGCAGATTCTTGCAATGAGGATGAACCCATGCAAGTGGATGATGCGAATTCAGATCAGATAAGTGACAACCTAATCGGTAATACAGATGATTATTATGCGAGTGGGGGCAGTGGAAGTGAAAAGGAGTTGCGAGCACTGAAACATGATCATGAAGATGTGAAAACGAAGTCCAAAAAAGTTGTTAAATCTAAAACGCGAGGTAAAACATTAAAGAACCAGAAGTTGATGACTGATTACGTACGGCCAACTTCCAAAGAAAACGTTTCTGGTGTAAATCAAAGTAAAAACTCAGATTCTGGTTCCAGTAGTGCCAGTAGTGATACAGATAGAATTAGTAATACCGAGAGTGACAAAGAAAAAGAGAAAGAAAAACCTGTCAAAACAAAAAAGAAGAAAATGGGAAATGCCATTAAAAACCGAAATGCTGCAAAGCGAATTGTAAGATTGTTTTCTAAAATCTGACTATAGTAATAGTTTATCAGCATGTAGGCCCTATTGGCCCTATAATAATATAGTTTAAAAAAAACAAAAACACAAGTTTATGTCAAATTTTTCACCTTTTCTGACCAGTTGATTGTGGAGTGATTAATGAATCTTTCCACTAATAATTGTTTAACTATGTGCTGAGGTAACCCAGGTTCGCTGCATGTACTACAGCAGACAGCTACAGTGATGGTGGGCAGATTCTGAACTCTAGCCTGGACTTTATCCATGTGTTAAAAAGATAGTTCAATATATTTTTATGAGTTAAAATACATCAGGTCATCACTCAATAAACACCTCTGTCTGTTTAAACCTCTCTTTCTGTGTACTCAATCATAGAAAGTAAAAAAGTATATCATGACTCTGATGTATGTTACTAGTATTAATATAATCCTTTTATTTCGTTTTTGACAAGATGTTAAACCACATGTATTCCCTTCTTGATCAACGTGATGTGGTTATATATGATATGGGTAAGACAAAATTAAATCAATTAGAATCATTTTTACTTTCAGATGACCAGATCTAAAAATAAAAGTTCTGACAGTGACGAGGATGCTGTAAGTTTTTTTTTATAAAGGTCTTCTTTGTTTTTTAAGACATTGGCACTGATTACCTCATTGACTTATCTTGTTTGGGTGGTGTTTCATTAATGATTCTTTCATAGAAATGAAGTAAATTCATTGACATCAACTCAGTACCTGTTAGATACCTGTATATGTCAATTTATTTTTCAAAAGTGGGTAGAATAAGTGGGAACTTTTACTATTTAGTAAAATACTAATCTCCTAACAGATTTCAAATTTGATTACATTGCCACTTTATACACAATATGCTTTACATATAGACTTTTTAATATACTTTATATTTTTTTTTTATAAACAATATTTTATTCTCAAAGGATTGAGGAACAGGCTAGCTGGCCTATATATTACCTTTCTCCTGTACTTTATATGACACTCATCTCATCTGTACTGTAATATGTGTGTAAAATAGATTTAATTAACATGATATACTCAGACTCATATAGACTCTCACATATACAGTACTTTAGACTTTCTAATATACTTTACATGTCGAATACACATATAGACTCTCTAATATATTTTATACCTCTATCAGTCTGTGCCTGTCCAACCTTGTCGATTTTCTCCAGGTCATCCAGTGTCCTTCCACTGCTAAAGACCCATATTGAATTATTGAAATAAAATTGAACCATATGTTGGTCCCAAAATGACCTAGTTTATTTCGAGTGGAAATTAAACCCCATTTTTCTCTCTTTCTTTTACTATAATGCACAATATACATAAATTATACAATTAACAATTAAATTGATGGTTCAAATTTTGACAAGAAAATTTCTGTTGGACATAAAACTTTGTGTAGCGAAGTATTAATACTACCCTGTTACAAGATGATGCTCTATTCTAATAATACACATTATATTTTATTACAGTGGGAAAGACCAAGTAGATTGTATAAGAGGTGGAGTGACCGAGATACAGAAACATACAGAAATGGCTATCCTGTAAGTTATCTCCCCTAGATTACAAATTCTTTTAGACCAGATAACCATTTATGATTATTTAAGGCTAGCACACACTGCAGTATTGTTTGTACTTTTGACTTTTTTTTTTATCTGATGGTGTGACGTTTACACTAGTAGCAGACACCTTTCTTTGAATATGCGATTTAATAGTTAGAGCTTCATAAATCTATTTCCATCTGATTGAACTAAAAAAATATCTAGTTGATCAATTTGTGAAAAAATGGTTAATCAATACACCCATTGTGGTGAGTCATGGCTAATATAATTCACCAGTAAGAAATTCTGGGAAATAATACAGAATGTGTATTATATAGATACATGTACTCACCCGTTATCAGACAACATATAATATTCAGTATACGGATTGAAGTTATTTGAAAAACTTTAAAATACTGCATGTTCATAAAACAAAATTCATTAATGCCATAAATAGAAATGATAATTGGTTTTAATGTCATTTACATGTAACATGTAGTAAATTTTGTTTTATTCTAGGGCAAGAAGGATGATCCAACAGCCGTATCAAATATGGAGTTTTATAAAAACCAAATATATTCCCGACCAGATGGTAATTATTATAATATGTATATATAGGTTATTATACCCCTGGCCAGGTTATTATAGCCCTAGCCAGGTTATTATAGCCCTGGCCAGGTTCTTATTCTTGATATTTGAAAATAAAATATTTCATTGTACTAGAGCTATATTTGTACTAGTAATTCAACACAATGGCCAATGAAGCGTCTGCATTCTTAAAATATTTCTGTTAAAGTTATTATAAATGTGATCCCAATGGTTAACGTTGTTAATGCTATACATTAAAGTTAATATCGATGCAGAGTGGTTTAACTTATTCCAATTCTTCTCTATACAAAGGATCCACTGTGGCTAAGTGGGTAAGACGTTGGTTCACTAGCCTGGAGGTCGCGTGTTTGATCCCTGCATCGGCCCAAAAAGTTCATCAGGATTTTCCAACGTGGTTTCTCCTTGTCAGTGGTGCAGGACGGAGGGCTTGACAAGTACAAGTGTGTAATCATTTGGATGGTACGAAAAACCTGAGGTCCCGTGTATACATTGGCATGCACATAAAAGATCCCCTGGATTTGGAATTTGATATAATAGTAGGACATAATGCCCAGGCAAAATTTCCCTCATACCACAGTGTATGACGTATGCCTGTCTTCATTAGCCCAGTCGGAGCAGAACAGTAGGACGTTAAACCCTATTTCATTTCATTTCTCTATACAGAATTGTTTAGCCACTAAAACATGTTAGTCTCAAAATAACCAAAGTGGGCCATTAAACCCCATTCCTTTCTTTTCTTTTCATTTCTCTTATCTCAGTAAATAGATGATGCATTCAAAAATGTGACATCTTAATACAGAAATAAATAGTATGACTTCTATTTTTGACTACATGTATTTATTAAATTGATGGTTTAAATTTAGGTGATAAAATAGATGATATACACAAGAAATGGTGGGGTAATTTTGGTTTATTAGAAGGACATCATGGTTATATTCAATGGTATGTAACTTTCTCATCTATGGTAGATAATATTATTAACAGGCCAAAACATTTTACCATTGACTTATAAGTGACGCTGTCTTAATATTGAACCATTTTTTGTATGATATTCCTTGTTTTAGTCGCCTGTCCAACCTTGTGGATTTTCTCCAGGTCCTCCGGCATCCCAAACTTAGGCTGCCTGTCTACAGCTAGCTTCGCCTGAGAACAGGCCCTAAGCTAATTACCCGACATTTTAATTCCTACACTGAGTATGCTTTTTTAGTAATTTTTAGAAGTATTTATTTCTCTTCTATTGTCATATTAAATGAAATTAAATATGTTTATTAAGCCGCTGTGAGTATGAAAGATGTCAAACTAATCAAAGCCGAATCACAAAATAGTCCTCTAATTATTCAATATGGCGGCGCCCATAAAAGGTAATTTCACAGAGGGGGTTTTGTTTGCGAAGACAAATTTAGGAGTATCTAGCCTTGTTTTTAAAGATAAACAGATTGAAACTCTAAAGACAGTTTACAATGGCAAAGAATTTATTGCAATATTACCCACTAGTACATATTATATATTGCTTTTACCGGATTGGCAGAAGTTTACATTTTGCTAAAGACACGTGTTTACATAAAACACGTGCGTGCTCGGGTTATTTCTACTCTGTTGTGTACCCAAAACGTTAGTCCGGCCGATAAGTCCCTCCCCAAAGTGATCACGTGGGCGTTTTAAATGGCGGCTAATTGGGGCAGTGATCATAATGACGTATGACGTAGATGGATCGCTGCGTGCAGTTTGGTCCTCCGGTTTCCTCCCACTGCTAAAGACCCCTACGCATTAATAAAATAAAATTGGAACGGTGGGTTACTCCCGAAATGACCTAGTTTGTGTCGAGTGGACGTTAAACCCCATTTCTCTCTCTCTCTCCTTGTGTTAGATATTCAACTTTCATAATGTAGTTTTTGATCAGTGGCATTAATTATTAACGGTTTGTTTTGTTTATGATTTAGGTTGTTTCCAATCAGAGAAAGTGGAATGAACTACCATGCTCAAGAACTTCAGTTACATGAAATTAAGGTATGGAACAATTAAAACACAGAATCTATTTGTGGATTTGGTGCTTTTTTATATTTTGTAAATTACTTTACTGTTATTTAATAAAAGCTATATTTGTTAGAATCTAGGCAGTTGTGAATCTTTTAGAATCTATAGCTTTCTGCTTTAAGCAATGGGTGTATTCACATATCAGCGTTTTTTGGGGGGGGAAAGTACAGAAGTCAGCAAGAAACAGCATTGTGTTGTTCAGATTGGTCCAAAAAAACCTGAGATCCCTTGGCATTTAGAATTCAACGAAGATCAGGTGGACAAGACTCTATTCGAGCAAAATTTCCCTCATGGCTCACTGAATGGTGACGTTTAACCCCATTTCACCACTTTTGACTTTGGCGTAGACACCCAAAAGTTTCACCAAAATTTGAAGATACCTCATCGGACAAGATACAAGATAAGACATTGTTTATGGTTATTTAAGACCTTTTTTATTTTATCAGGCGATAGTACAAGATAAAAAGGCACACGCCCGGGTTCTCAAGTCTTATGAAATGATGTTAGATTTCTATGGAATGAAAATAATTGATGAGAAGACGGGAGAGATTGGAAGGGGAGATAACTGGCAGAGTCAGTTTGCTCATTTAAACAGGTAAATGCAAATTATGTATGGGCTATGATATTTTTTCTAGTAATCGATATGGAGGACAGGACAGAAGGCCAATTAAATTTGTAGAAAAATAATGGCCTAAAAGTATTATTTATAGTGTAATCTCCCATTGCTCAAGTGAATTATTGACATAGATAGTAATAATTATCAAGTAATGACCCAGCTTAAATTCATACAAAGGAAGGAGAATTCATTCATGAGTATAAACTTGTTTTGAAGCATTTTATTACGAATTAAAATACCTAACTCCAAAAATAACATTAGCGATTTTCCTGGATTATATGTGTTGATTTGTTTTGTGGGATGATTGATAAACCGAGTGTTGAGATACATGTATAATTGACACAGAAAGCCAAAACTTAAACTAAAATGATCCATGGTTACAAACCACTGAACTAGCGTCATTACACATCAGATCAACCCAATTCATATCTTTATTTTGACTTAAAAGGTACATTATGTAAGATTTAGATAAAGAGCTGGCAGTTCACGCTTAATATTTCAAAGATAGATAACGCAAAATGAATATATCGGAAATTTCATTCAAATTACTTTATTTTGAGCAAAGTTATCACTGGTTGTAGTTTTGATAAGATGTGTGCATTGATTGTCACCATCGTACTGATCATTCGAGTCTTAGCCTCGCTTTTCTATTTTTGAATTTAATCATTAAATGGTCGAAGGTTCTAATCTAATTAAAATCATGGCCATACGATGGCATCGAGAGTTGATTATGGTCTTGTCATGTTAATTAAGGTCTAATTGAAAATTTATATAACATTTAAAGCCCAATGAAAGACATTCAATAGGTAGATTTATAATGCCTGTTGAAATCAGAAAGTTTAATATTTTCCATAGATTCATCCACGCTAAAATCTACACAAATTGATTATTTAGCAATCAGATTAAAATGAGGCCTATGAAAAGACAGGTGCCGCTGCCATGTGTGTTGACTATATCCTGTATATCATCTTTAGCATAAGCTGTATGTTCACAAATTTTCAGTTCATCAGATCATTGTAAATACTTAAGTTACTTTACAGAATTGAACCATTTTTGGTCTGATATTTCACAATATTATAGTTAGCCAGGGATTCCTCAATCAAACGATGATCAGCGACTGTTAAACTAATATATATAGTTTTTACTGTTAATACAGCATAGTAACATATATTCCATTCCTGGTATCTTATTCAACTGCAACAAAATGGTTCAAATTGAGCTTTGTATTTGCTGAGCATGACCCTGGTAAAATCCCATTCTTGCTCTGTTTGTAGTGGCTTAAAGAGGATACAGTATGATAAATTAATAGTAAATAGTCAATCTTTTATAAATTCACAGTATGATTTGATAAGACATATCAGTATCTTGAACAGTTAAAACTAGGTTTCTTAAGTAAATATCAATATATTATCTGTACTGACCAGGTCAAATCATATTATAATAATGATGATAAAAGCCCTTTAGATATTGACCCTAATCATTGAGCTATTATAGGGTCAGAACTTAGAAACACTGATGTCTTATAAATGTGTAAAGCTGGCGATCAATCGTTTATTAGTTATCAACAAACAAACAAAGATAGGTTACAGATTAAATAACTGGTCACTTAGTAATATTGGCTTCTGTCCACTGATTTGACATTGAAAGTTAATGCCCAAATTAAACATTGTGTTTAACTTAAAGAGAGCAGTCCTCTCTGAACTACTGCCTCATGTAAGGACTTTGATTATCTCCCTTCATGATCATCTAAACATGATTTGCACATGTACAAGTGACAGACATACAGACAGTGTGATTCCTATACACCCTGAATATACCCTATACTTAGAGAAAAATAAAATGGCAACTTTATATAGACATAATTTCTGATAAGATTAATCTGTTTGAATAATGTTTAGACCAATACACTTTTTGGTAAACCTTACTTTACTATGGATATTCTGAAAGTATATATTTGTCATTTAGTCTGGAAGAATGGGTCTTTGAAATGTCTGTTGAATAATGACTATTTGTCATATTGTCTCTTTAACCACAACGTAATCATGGGTAATGATGTTTTTATTGCTTTGTTTTGAGTTTCTGTCTACAATTTTGAGTTTCTAATATTTAATCAATAAAACTAGTAGACTCCTTTCTTTGTGAAATGTGTCCCCCCTAAATTTAAACACATCATACTCTCATGAGCTCTTATGATCTCTGATAGTCTTTACTTACATAACACTCTGGAGGTTTAGTGGTTTAACGCGTGTACGTGAAATCACAAGATCTGTTATTGTGTCAAATGGCATGGTTTCGATTCCCTGCTTGTACGTGACAAGGAGTAGAGTCGCCTGTCCAACCTCGTGGGTTTTCCCCAGGTCCGTCGGTTTCCTCCCACTGCTAAAGACTCCTACGTGCAAGTGAATTATTGAAATAAACTTGAACCATATGTTAGTTCCAAAATTACCTAGTTTGTGTCGAGTAGACTTTAACCCCTCTCCCGCTCACATAAACTACAATATTTTGATATTTGAATGTCTCAAACCAATATCAGTCAAATTAGGTTCAATACCGTTCAGTATTTACAATGACATGATGAAATGAAAATTTGGCAACAAACAGCATTCTCTGCCGACAATATATTCAAACCGGCACCACCTATTAATATCTTTTGATGGGCCTCTTTTTAATCCAATTGAATCTAAGATATGGGATTATATATCATGGATATTTTGGTTCTTAATCAAATTAATGTTAATAATCAATTTGAGTACATTTTAGCATGGATTAAGCTGCAAAAAATTAGCTATTTTTTGAAAATGCATGATCGTGTTGAGTGACTTAAATTTATCGTGAATAATATAATTTTTGAATGGGATATGACATTTGAATGTAGCTGGTTTGCATACATGTTTTTCACAATTTGACCTCACTCATGAACTATGACTTGGTGTACAGTAGATACTTTCTTGAAGAACATTGCATTGACAGTGGAATCTATCACTTCCGTCATTGTACAGGATTTTTAAAATATTCTGGATTACACAGCATGACGGAATTCTCAATACCGCAAGAGGCACTAAAGATTGATAGTTGCCATAATTTCTACAAAATTTATGTAGTCATAAATCCAAATACGAGGGTCCATGGTGATTAATATCCATTTTGAACACGTGTGTGAAAAATTTATTGAAATTGTCAACAGAGATACGGAATGGACACGCACACTGATTTCTAAAGTTTAGCATATATATTATTCAGACGACTTTTTATTGAGACATCTTAATCAACAAAGATCAACACAGTTTTAATTTCATTGATAATTGATTGGTGATTGCTTGTCAATCATTTGTAGGTTAACACCTACTAATTAAAGGTTCGATTGCAGACGGTTGATTCAATGCAATTCATATGACAGGACCGCTAATTGATGTCATAATCTGTAATATTCTGAATACGGAGTATGCTGAACTTTGTTGGTTGAAGTAAGATGGAAAAAATATCGGGACTAAAATGATGACGGATGTCATAAAATGCTGTAGTATTCAAAAGACGAATATGACAGATTCCACAGTATTTAGAATTCTTTGTTCACCGACACCTTTGCCATTAATTGGAAGCCAACTTCATCAATATTAGATTGATCGCTATGAACCTTTAAGACCTATCATAATTAATTTCTCTTTATTAAAGATAATATTGGAATGTTGAGGGTAGATTAAAAGATTATCAGGAGATTTTACTTTATCAACTTTGATTATAGTTTCCAAATATTTCTAAGATAAAATGAAATGAATGGATTTCAAGATTATACAAATGTAAACAATAGTCAATGAAATATTCCCAATCTTCTGTGGGTATTTAGAAAAAATATTGTGGACAAGACATTTTATAGGATATTCAGCTATATCACAATCTCTTTGGAAGTATGATACTTGTCTTTTTTATACGTCCACATTTTCATGTGGATGTATATTGTCGTCGCCCCTGTCCGTCCGTCCATCCATCCGTCCACAATTGTTTGTGAACAGTCTACAGGTCAAAATTTTTATCCGATTTCAAAGAAACTTGAAATATAGGTTTATCCCCCTAAAATCTTGGTTCTTTTCGATATTGGCATGTATCGGACTGTAACTTCATGGATTATGGCCCCTGATTGTACGAAAAATCACGTTTTTAGCTTGTGAGCACTGTAGAGGTCACAATTTTTATCCGATTTGGTTTAAACTTTAAACGTATGCTTATATCACCGTTAAACCCTAAGGACGGCTGAGTTCAAATTTCGTGAAAATCGGCCCAAAACTGACAGACAAAATGGCCGCCGTTCGTTATCAAATAGCGTAAAAATATGGTCAAGGTTGTGGACCCTATAGAGGTCATAATTTTTATCCGATTTTTCGAAACTTGAAATGTAAGTTTATAACCCAAAGATCTCGGTTCCTTTTGATATTCGCGCATATCATACCGTAACTTCCTGAATTATGGCCCCTGATTGTACGAAAAATTGCGTTTTTAGCTTGTGGACCCTATGGAGGTCATAACTTTTATCCAATTTAAAAAAAACGTATTATTATATCACCGCTATACCCTAAGGACAGCTGAGTTCGAATTTCGTGAATCGGCCCAAAACTGACAGACAAAATGGCCACCGTTCGTTATCAAATAGCGTAAAAATATGGTATATCAAGGTTGTGGACCCTATAGAGGTCACAATTTTTATTCGATTTAGTTGAAACTTGAAATGTAAGTATATAACCCAAAGATCGTGGTTCCTTTCGATATTCGCGCATATCGGACCATAACTTCCTGAATTATGGCCCCTGATTGTACGAAAAATCGTGTTTTAAGCTTGTGGACCCTATAGAGGTCATAATTTTTATCCGATTTAAAAAAACGTATTATTATATCACCGTTACACCTTAAGGACGTAACTTTACACGTTCATCCTATTGGCAAATCTAAACAACACATATAAGCCTTGTAGGTATTACCCCTGGTAAGAAGGAACAGGTATTGACAAATCCTGAGATTCTTCTTGGCCCCTTAATAAATGGAGGTTACCTTTAAAGATGATGACTGAGTATGACAGAATATATTTATAAATCAAATAATATATTTTAATATTAATTTCTTCTTTTTACAGATCAATGCACAATTATCTGAGAATAACAAGAATACTGAAATCCCTGGGAGAATTTCAATATGAACATTACAAGGCACCATTTGTGAAATTTGTGATGAAAGAAGCATTGGAAGAAAAGACATTAAAGAATGTTATAAACAGTTGTATGAACTATTGGGTTGGAACTATAAAAGATGACAAAGAACGACAAGAACTTCGAAAATATGCAATAGATAGAGGATATAAAGACACCAAATATTAACTTTAGGTCTCTTAGCAGACGGTCACGAGTTACTTCACAGCTAGCTTTGGGAGTATCGTAAATTAAGGGTGTATATACATACTCTGACCCTTATTTCCGTGTTTTTTTGTTTGTGTTAGAAAATATATCTATATTTCACAAGTCACAGAGAATTGAAAATATTAGATAGGATGCAGACTTTTTTTTTTTTTTTTAATTCAGATGTTAGAATGAAAATTGAAAATATTGGATAAAATGCAGAATTGTTTTGTTATAATTTCAGATGTTTATATGAGAATTGTAAACTTTGATAATATAATAGAATTTAGTAATAGCATTGGAGATATTATTCCCATTGTTTTAATTTTTTTGACCATTGAAGTTAATCTTAAAAGCTAGATGCGACATTTTAGCATTATAGGAATCACTTGCAAACTACAATATCATAAGAATGGTTCAGTTTTGTTCAGTATATACAATGTGGAATCAAAATTTCATCGATCTTTGGGGGGTTGGATGGCTGAATGGTTAGCATGCGTGCGCTGTATCATTAAGTCTGTCATTGAGTCGACTGGCGTGGTTTCGAATCCCCGGTTGTACGTGACAAGGAGTAGGGTCACCTGTCCAACCTCGTGGGTTTTCTCCTGGTCCTCCGGTTTCCTCCCACTGCTAAAGACCCCTACGCGCAAGCGAATTGTTGAAATAAAATTTAAAAAACCATATGTTAGTCCCTAAATGACCTAGTTTGTGTCGAGTGGACATTAAACCCCATTTCTCTCTCTCTCATCGATCTTTACTGCTTGCTACATATAATAAGTCTACCGCAATTTTGTTGTCCACAGAAATTTATTGGTAGGCCGGGACATTATCTATTAATGGTATTTTGATTTTGTTTTCTTAATTTAAAGTAAAGTAATCAATCAAAGTACATATTAATATAATTTGATATTTTAATGAAAATGCAAATGATGCATCGTTACTTTAAGATCTACTTTGTAGTGTGGGGGGTGGGGGTGGCCGAACTGAATCTCTCAGTTTATAGAGTATATTATTATATTAGAAACAACTATATCTCTCCATCAATACATTCTAAGGAATTTGTATGTCAGTTATTTATAAAATAATTTATTTTGATTGGTATGATTGTTTATCTTTGCTTCACTTCCCTCACTGCTTTTATATATGTATGTTTTTGTTTTATAATAAGTATAGTATTTGAAATGAACGGCTGTATTAAATTTGAGTTAAAAGAGAAGTGGCTTTAACATACATGAGAGATGTTGCTGATGTCCCACTCAGTATACAGGTCACTCACGTATACATTTTTATTTTAAAACGTTGTACCAATTCTGTATTCTGAGGTTTTAACTTGTATATAAAGACCACTCCACTATTAAGGCCAATTTATATTAGTCCAACATCTTGTCTTAATAGCAAGATTTTACTGTAGTGGCCCATATTGAGATTCAGGATACTGATATTGTCAGTTTTTGACCAACTTGTATATTTGTTTACTGCATTTTTAGTGTTACTATTCCTGGTAGCTGCATTTAGTCAGCATCAAACAGCTAAGATAAATACAGTGTATTTTTTATACAGAACATAAAGCCAAACTTATTTTAGTTAGTTCAAGGCAGGGTATGCTTACATGTTTTAGAACACCTGATGTCACTTCTCATTGTTTTATGGGATTCCACATTGATTGAAATTTTTGTTGTACTATTATTATTTTATCAGATTTATAAATGAATGAATTTGTAGGGATTCAAGATGATATTTTAATCATACAACAGATTGTACTCTTACACTGCAACTGTAATATATTATGTATTGCAGTATACAGTGAAGAAGGTATTACATCTTTTGGAGTGAATAAATTTAAGTGATTAAAACATAAGTATTCTATAATGTGATCACTTATACATGAATATTTCATTATCAACATACATTGAGCATTTCTGACAGATTTTGTAAATAGGCAAAACAGAACCTTATTCATGAATATTTAAGCTAAGATATTTTAAGAATACAGTCTGTCCATGGACAGAGAGTTAAAAATCTTTGCACAGATGCTACATTCTTAGTTCGTAGTTTTGGGTGAAATATAGATAAAGATTTGAATTAGGTTGATCTTATGTATTAGTTTGAGTAATGTTGGGCTAGCTCTATACAATTACATTATTGTTTCAAAATATGGAGATCATCTTTTTTCTTATCAGTTATGGTTTAATTTATAGCCTAGGCAACTGTTTCGACATTGGACTACAAAATCTCAACACTACCTGTAACAATACATGTCAAATTGTAAATTAACACATATTGTCATCCCATACAAAAAAATCAACAAATAAAATCTAATGAAATTAACAGTTTATTTTTGACCCAAATTAAATAGGTCCACCGGTAGTGATTTTAAAATATTTTGGTTTTAATTTTTTTTTGAATAAGGACCAGTTGTGTATGTTCTGAGAATCACAGATTCATTGTTTATGTTGTTGTGGATAGGTCTCTTTCATAGAACGATGGCAGATGAGACACCTAATCCATGGAAAAATGGAAAATATATCATAGGGAAGTTTAAAAACTGTGCTCAAAGCAATAACTATACCAGATGGTTCATTAAAGCAAACATAACATCTCTGTTGGTCAAACCAAATATTCATCAATTCATTAATTAAAAGTTTGTATAATTGTATATTTATTATGGGATTATACATAAAAACATCGAAAAGAAATAATATTTTTTTTACTTGATTTCAAAAAATGATGTTTTTACCTGGAAATACATTTCTAACTGGTGTTTATCTATCCAAATGATACTTTATAATTTATGGTGTTGTTAATATTAGGTCTTATAAGAGAATCAAGAATTTTGTTATTTACAATAAAAGTTGATAGACTAACAACTGTGAATATATACATATATTGTTGATAATTATATTTTATTATTGGATTAAATATTGGGTGTTAATTTGGATACTACTTTGTCATGAGAACACCCTTGGAGTAGAGGGGGTTGGATGGCCGAATGGTTAGCACGTGCGCGCTGTATCATAAGGTCTGTCATTGAATCAACTGGCGTGGTTTTGATTCCCTGATTGTACGGGAGTCGATCCTAGTGGGTTTTCTCCTCCCACTGCTAAAGACCCTTACGCGCAAGCGAATTATTGAAATGAAATTGAACCATGTGTTCGTCCCGAAATGACCTAGTTTGTGTCGAGTGGACGCTAAACCCCATTTCTCTCTCTCCCTTGTAGTAGTTTATTACTGTAGACTTATGGGCTTTGAATTTGAGTTTTTTTCTTGATTAACTGGCAGTGATATTAACCTTCTGGAGAACTGATCTGTCAGTCATGCTATATCAGTAGAATTTTAAAGAAATTAACCCTAAAACACAATAAATTCAGTTAAATTTATATGTGTTATGTGTAAAAGAAACTTTTAAAAAATATACATAAAAATTGAGTTAGTTCTAAACTTATCTGTCTAATCGAAGGTGAACAAAATAGTCAAAAAGTGACCGGGTAGAAAAGTGATGACACTACACAATATTGTTCTTTAATCGCTAGAATATCTCTTTAATTCAAAGATTGTATATTTAAAGCTACACAAATATTGTTTTATTTTGTACATATAAAGTCACCCAATGATATTTTATTGTTTGAGTTTGTATTTGGTTTTTATATTTATTAAGGAATGAATTAAAGATGGGCCAGGAACAGATGTAAACTTGTGTTAATAGGAACAAACTAGTTAGAGTTTAAAACTTCTCTGATTGAAAGATGGATGGCCAAAACATATTACTTTCCTGTGCACATGTATCTTTTTGCTTATAGTGTGTATATGCCCCTCGAAATGTATTTACTCTGGTTGCCTCCTGTAGCGAAATTTGTATCGAGTGGGTGTTGAACCCTATTTTTCTTTCTCACTGTCTCCTAGAAATATCTCAGTGGGGATCTGAATGGGATCTGGGGTTGTAATAGCTTGATGTAGTAGAGTCAGATATAATACAATGTAACTTATCATCATACTAGCATGAATAGACCTTATTATTATTATTATTAGAGACAGAGAGATCATTGTTTTTTTTTTTAAAGAATAAACTTATCATGTATGATATATTATTAATTGTTTATAGTATCAACTTTGAATTTGTAATATTAGGGAATTCATTGTCAATAAAATGAACCATAAGAAACTATAATTGTCAAATAGGAGAAGGCTTACAATAAAGCTGTTTTATTTATTACATGTAGTTCTGGGTTTTTTTAAAATGACATTGTAATATTTATTTATGTGACATACAAATGAGACATTATCACTTTTAAAATTGAACTATAACATATGCCCGCCTCCAGCATCAATCCAAAATGCACCAGAAATGAATTAAATTTCAAATCAAATCTCCACACGTTATTGATCCTCAGTTTTCTGAACATTCGAGGTCTGGCTGAAAAGTTCTAAACCTGTCTGGAACAGACCTGTACAAAGTCGAGAGTTTCCATTTATTGGTCTACATGGTCCCCTTCGAGGTGTACACACTTTTGCCAAAGATGTTGCAAGGCCTGGATGCCGGTCAGGAAGAAAATTTATTCCGCCACCCTAAAGAAAAAGTCGTTCACAGTTCACATGACGTCATCAATGCTAGCAGCTTGACTGAATTTTGGATTCTGATTGAAAGTGATGAATCCAGGTCTCACCAATGGTTACAAATCTGAACAAACAATTATCAGTATCTGCTTCAAAACGTTGCAGATTGTCACGGGACGTCAGGAATCTGACACGTTTCTGAGCTTTGGCACCCATCTTGCAGAAACTTTTGTCATTTTGGCGATAATGTGCTGAACCCTCTCATGAGAGATGCCCACCACACTGGCAATATGCCGAGTGTTCAATCGTCGATCAGCCATCACCATGTCATGCACCCGGGTAATGTTTTCTTGAATAGTTGCTATTGATGGCCTTCCATTACGCGGGTCATCTTCAAGGCTCTGCCACGCTTATGTTCTACAGCCTATCTCTGCCCATGATCTACACATGCCTCAGTTTTCGTCCCATTCGAATGACTATTTACGTTTCAAAACCGACCGTCCTGCACCACTGACAAGAGTAACCAGAGGAGAAAATCCCGGAACCTTCTGGTCTGTGAGTAATGCAGGAGCACCGCACTACACATAAAACAAAACCGACAAGACAAACCTACGGACAAGACAAACTACATAGACATTGCAAAAGAAATATAAACAACAAATGATGCAGAACTTCACTCAAAATGACTAAAAGACCTCAAGATCTTGCGGTCAACCAGATTGTATGATATTTTTGACCTTGTCATAAACGCTTCTTATACGCTATGTAATCTTAAACATCTGTCATCATCCACGGCTTTGCTAAATTGTGTTTAAAATACACCTTTGTCTTCTTCTAGCCGTGAGAATGTGGGATTGGGAGGGACCTCATAGGTGGTATAGCCTAGAGGCTCTCTTCATCTAAATCCGGTCCAGTTAGTAGGTCACTTCCATACGCACCGAGCCACCGTGGCCTTCCGAATCTTAGTAAAATAAGGTATAAATTATATATATAAAATACTGACAGAACCCCTCTTAAACCATAAGTGTTGTAAACAAACTACATGTAGAACTATTTTATAAGTCAAGTAGTTTATAAGATCGACAACATTTTGACATTTACCATTTTCTTTAAAGTGTTTAAGGCGGGAAACAATGTTAGTAATAGGCTAAAGTTAAGGTTTAGTACTAAAAGTGTTGGGTGTCTGTTTGAAGTTAGGGTGGTGTTCTTACATTATTAGTGATGCTACTCAACAGCATCACCTCTTATATCAAAAAGCGACGTAATTCAAGACTCTAAAGGTTCCCCAAGCTACGTGAGAACATTAACTTTTTTTTAGGGTTCCCCTACTGGCCCTAGTCCACCTTGGTTCCAGCTGCAATAGGAGGACGTCCAGAATCGGACTGTGTTGACGGTAATCTGTAGATTGCAGATGGATTCACATTTTAAGTCTTTGTGCTGCTTCGGTCATTGACACTCCTTCATGAAGCCAACCAACAGCTCTTTCCTTATAGTCAAATGTTGAAGCATAATGGAAAAATAAGTCGTGCTCTTTATATGGCAAGTTTATTCAATCTATAAGAACGAGAAGATGTGAAGATATGGCCAGTGATGCTAGGATAATCATACAATAATCACTATTATCAATACAGTGAGAATCATTCTGGTAGCTATAAATATTCCGTAACCACATTCATCAGCTTGGTCTAGCATTTGTATGTTAACGACTATAAAAGTTTCAAATCGTTCACAGTTTTACCTCAGTACATCTAATTTAAATGTCAACATCTTAGAAAGTCGACATAAACTGCACATTCTCTAGCGCACCAATAAGATTTAAATTCTTTAAGGAGTTTGAGTTTACCGGTATCTGAATTGACCCCTCATTTATCTAATGAAATTATGCTTTTCCTTTGCAATAATGGTCTTAGTTTATCACAGTGGCTCAAATCAGATTTCAAAGTTCAATAAAAAGGTATTTAGGTGTTATATAGAGTAAACCATCAATATATCTAAGTTGACCGAGTACGAATGAGATAATAACTAATTTTAAGATAAACTGAACTTATTTTATGTTCATGTATCTATATTCCATATGTCATTAACTAAAATATCGAGCTGATGCCTATTATTATGATTAGATACAAGTAGTTACGGGTGTCGTGAACGAATCAGATTATGCTTACTTTTTCTGGAACAACTGATACCACACCTCTTTTGAGGAGTGGCCGATGACGGCCCCTGACCCCGCCGTTATCTTAACCCTAGAGTCCTTCGAATTATAAAATGAAGGTCCAAACCATCGCTCCATTTAGCTAGGGTATGCTTCCGTTGTCAAGGACAACACAGCTAGCAAATTTTCATATTTTTGCATTGGGTTCTATTCGAAAAACATTTGAATTTGCCCATGTCTAGGAGTAGCACAATAAAACCGAATGACCCGGTACTCGGTCACCTTTCGTAAGTGGTCAATGTTTTTCATAATATATGTACATAAAACTACATTTAAGTAGCTAGTCGACGCCATATTACGGCCGTCTGATGAGAAAATGACATCATGGGCCTATTTACAGATTATGACCCACTACATTTAATAATGTTTTTCATATAGGATCATAAATATCAAAGCGTTATAAAGTAGATTTTAATATTTATAAGACCCCGTGTTTTTATGCCATCCACAGTACTTTTACACATAATAGTTATGCCTATAGAGAGAAATGGGGTTTAAAGTCCACTCGACACAAGCTAGGTCATTCGGGACTAACACAGCTCAATTTTATTTCAATAAATCGATTGCGCGTAGAGTTTTCAGTAGTGGGAGGAAAGGCGACCTCCAAATCCTTACCAAGTACGAGCTGGGAATGGAAAGCACACCACTTGACCCAGTGACAGACCATATGATCTAAAGGCCACGCCTTGGGTCATTAGGACATCAAAACCCCCTTATATCTGTAGAGTATGATATTTGTAAATTGAGAAACTTTATCTTTTGAAATCTACTACACTGACATGTGTAGGTGTTTATGTAGGGTGTTATTGTTTCCTTGTTTTGTATACAACCAAAACGTTTATTTTATTACAGTCGTTGGGTGCAAATCATTTAACAAGTTTCTAAGTTTATGATTTTTTGTTTATGAATTATAATCAGGACTCCTTTAAAACATGAAATATAAAGACTATATAACGTTCAATTTGAGACAAACAGACGGTTTTTCAATCTGTTTCATCTGGGCTTCACTTGCCTCACGTCATGATTCGAACAGGCGACATTCCAGTAGAAAGCCGAGTTACATTACCACTCCTCCCACTCCCCCACCCCCAACACCACCCCCACCACCACCCCAACCCACCCCATATGAAGTATATCAGACAATGCAGGAAACCTGAACGCCAAGACATCAACTTAAAAAAAAATCCCCAAAACACAATGCCAACACTAAATCCAAATGTCAAAGTATTCAAAACGTTACCTAAATATTTTTCTTTCTTGTTTACGGCTCCGGTAAACTATCGTCTTGGACAAAAACCGTTGTTTTTGAAACGATTAGTAAAAGCTTTATCCACAATCAACATCGTTATTGTTATCAATGCTATGGGTATGAAAATTGTCCATTATCTCTACCTTGGAGTCTATGTTCCCATTTTCTATCAAATGAGTAAATAATAAAGTGCGAACATGATAATTGTTTTATGTAAAGGATTTATAAATTTATTTCAATTGAGAAAGAGTCTGTTAGTTCGATGGTGTTTATTTAACAAGAAATAATAAATTCCCCCCATGGCACCGTTATGGCGGAGCATTTTCTTTTTATGTGAATCTCTCGAGGAAGATAGCTGTGATGGATGCACGTTTGGTTTTCTGGCACTGTTCGTTTTCTTCCCATCACTTGCGACGTTAGTGATGTTTTTATATGCTATATCCTATTAGGTGTGATCGAAACTTATTCTAAATTATGCTACCAAATTTCAGATTATATGAAAAGTTGGACTGACTGTACTAAGTTTGTTATCAGAGATTTCATCCAACTGCAGACACAAACGTCGGACATTTTGACGTTTAATCTGTCGCTAAACAAACATAACATGTATACGAAAATAGTGTCATAAATTATCACCATTTTAATCTCTCTAAGCAGACGTAACATGTGTGAGGACTTTCATCAATTATCATGACACGAAAAGAACTAAGGCGCGCATTCTGGTCGCACGAGAATTTTCCCCTTTCATTTGCTATCATTATAAATTGATTGCAGACAGACGGGGCCAGCTCTAAGAACATGTAATAGTGACATGCGCAAATAGATAACACTGACTTCTGACTTATTGCGGACAGGTGAAATCATTTATATATGTTCTCAAGTAGTCGTTTATAAAATGAACGTCTTTAAGCGTGATTTATAGAGAAGATTAGTCAACCGATTATTGCATGATATCTACTAATTCTAAAGTACGATAATAAATCTCACAAAATGCTAAGCAACGTTATGACCGTTTCATTTACTGACATGTAAAAGAGGCTCCGACATTTCTTATTAAAGACACCTGGATTTATAATATGTCCGATAGATAGAAAATAAATTATGTTATATCGATACATTAAAATATTTATAAGACTACAGTCATATAGTAAGGCGAGATCGTCGTGAAAAAAAATGATATGATCTGGGGTTAGACTGTGAGAATGCCCAACGGTTCGTAACTTCACTGGTCTGACACCTGTTATAAAATAAGTATCCTCATTGTCGATTGGTTTGTAACATACGAATGGATGAATGAAATGGGGTATTCGTTCCGCTTTTCTGTATTGTAAGGTAGGAATAGAGAACCGACTTGAAGTAAGATTAATATAGCATGTCTTGGAATCTATCCTATTCCCAGCCACATCGATTATGTTCTGTGTACAATTTATTTAGAAAAGAACTGTACATTGATGCTTACATTTTTCTTTATATACTTTCACTATATATTATGGTTTCACCTATAGCTAATAAAGACAGTGCACGACCCTGGACAAGAAACAAGAACTGGAACCTATTTTGTCAATCTCGAAGGCATGGATCGGATAAAAATTTCGTTAATTCAACTGTTTTCGATACAGACCAAATCAAGTCCAATAGAATTGTAAAATACCAGTGCAATCTGAAGGGTAGGAGAGTACTTTAACAGGTCAAAGGAGCAAGGGGACACTTTAACAGACCAAAGGAGCAGGAGGGTACTTTGACAAATCAAAGGAGCAGCTAGGAGACAAAATACCCCCCCCCCCCCAAAAAAAAAAACAAACAAACAAACAAACATCAACACATTAACAAACCAGGGAGGCTTTCCATCGATTCTGCTATAGGGAAAACGTGTATTTTAATCATAATAAGCCATCAAAGTCATATATAATTACATCCACATAACATAATTATCACATTCCCTTTAACGTGGGTAGTTTAACTTTAAACATAGATATGGTGGCCTTTTAAGAAGAGATGCCTCGTTATCTCGGTTTAAAGATACATTCATTAAATGGGAAGAACCAATTGATCGTGTAACTTGATCTAGATCTGTTTCGATTTATTTAGTGGACGCATTAATTGTATTTTCCTAAATTAAAAACCTGCCATCTTGAAATTTAGTTTATAAAATGCCCAAACAATCCCAACTTACAATATATAGAAATGATTTACTTAATAGAAGGAGTACACGTATTTCCCTAAATTATAAATTTTACGATTGTAAAATCGACCATCTTGAAATCCGGTTTATAAAATCCCTAACTGTCGACAGTTTATATATTATACCCGTCAAAACTTCATGCCATTTCGCAATTCCTTGTAATCCCGCTTCTATAAAGTCTAGCTTATCAACCGGGGAGGAGAACCCCAAGTCCTTAACGACATATACAATTTATCGCAAGGAGTTCCCCAGTCCAAGATACCAATTATGGTCGAATAAACAAACCGGTTTCTATCAAGCCGTCATTCAAAGAAGTCAAACTTGCTTGATTTAGATAAAAATAAAGTATTTAATTGAGTTGATTATATTTCATTATTGATGGTATAAGTGCTATAATATTATTGATGGTATAAGTGCTATAATATTATTGATGGTATAAGTGCTATAATATTATTGATGGTATAAGTGCTATAATATTATTGATGGTATAAGTGCTATAATATTAAACTTTTGTGTATAACATTAAGAGGAAGTGGGTTTGTCTAATGATTTTAGTTTCATTCATGGTTTCCTGCCTTGACACAGATAGCATGCGGTAATGGCTCAACATTGGCTTTATCTATATTGAACCTCAATGAACAATGAAAAATGAACTTTTTAATATTCAATAGAATTATTTATGACACAGATCAATAAAGGGGTACATTTTAAATTAAAAGAATTCCTTATTCTTTCTTTATATTAAAAAGTCATTTATTGGCGGGAATGTCAGACGTTTCCGCCACAGAGATGGTTAAAACTAACCCTAACCAGTTGGCTTTTCTTAGCACCGGTTAGCACTCAAACTTCTTGGTCCGAAACCTTTTTGTCTGTGACCGAAATGTCTTCTACTTTTGAAGAGCACGCTATATGTTCTAAACAGAGCCCGCATACCAGCAATGGGTATAAATAAATAAAATTCATACAATGGCCAAGTCAATAAATATAAAATTCTACTTGAGCGACTTAGGTGGTCAGGTGGTTCGACGTTTCGACGTTTCGGTCAAAGAGGTTATGACCACAGAGGTTAATTAGGTGCTAACTGGTTAGGAATTGGGATAGGATTAAAAGCCTATATATATTGGTCCTGTTTGGTGAAAAAAATTCTCTTTTGTAATCAGATTGGTATTTCCATCATCATTTATCTTTCTTGAATTAATCCGGGATGGAGATAGACAAGCTATAATCTGATCGTGATTAAGTAATTAAACCTCCCCAATCTGATTAAAACACAGATCCTATTTCGTTTCGTTTTTTATAGTTCAAAATTTCGTTTTATTTGTCTGTACTACACTAGGATCTGGAAGTGTTGTTATATAACACTGACAGACGGTTATATCCAATGAAACCATCTGTCACGGCGACTTCTTGGCGTGCCATGCACGGAACTATGGGTAAACCACTAGAAACGTGAACGCTGATTGATTAATCAATGTCTGACGTCATAGGTCAAAAGCCGCCCGTACGACCCCTGACGCGAATCAGTACAACTGGTCAGATCTTCATGTAGTGTAGTCCATCGAAAGTATAAAAAACGAAACGAAATATAGATCTGTGTTTTAATCAAATTCTAAACCTCCCTCACCTTTTATGGAACAAAAACTTCATTATCAAATAGAATCCAAGATCTGATTTATTGAAAACCGGTGAGCTGTTTTGGGGTGATTTCAACACTTTTAACATTTGTTTTGTTTCTTTATTTAAAAAATTAATTATGAAAATGATAAAGAAAAATACGACGCTAGTAATAATTCATTCATATCAATATAATTACAGATAACTCCTCCATATTGATGGTTTGAATGTCAGGAGTGAGCATGACTCTTTAAATGGGTAGGGCGATTTACCCAATACAATCCAATACTAACTAAATACTACCAAATACCATCACATACTACCTGATTATTGTGAAAAACGAATAGAATAATTTTTGAAAAATTGAGTTAATTCGCAGAAAACATGCCAAAAATGCAGGGCAAATATGCAGGGCAAATGTGATGGTCAATGTCTCGCAATTCCAGTTATCTCTTATCAATAATGAGGTATTGTGAGATGGTATTTGGTATTGGTAATAGTATTGGGCGGTATTGGGGAGTATCGGATAAATCGTCCTCTCGCTTTAAATAGATGATCACGCCCTGGAGTATATAAAAGTAAAAGTAAACTATATACTGAACTGATAATATATATACACTGTATGTATATATACGTCTTATTACCTATTTATTGTATACTCTTACTTATATACCGCCTTGTGTTTTATTGTTTAACGATCTATAAGTGGTCATCAAACTTAATACGGAACCAATTACTACAAACATAGCGGATGTTATTGAAGCACCATTATTCAAGGAGATGTTGATATAAATTATTTAGGGAGTGTGTGAGGTTTTGTTATTAAGAATCTTATTCGAGTCAACAAGAATATTTGAAGTGTCTCAAGGATTCTGTGAACAATCTAACATAATGCCTTTAGTGAAGTAGTAGAATCTGGTGCCTGTGTTTTGTATTTGTGGACTACCATCTCTATTGACGCACCAGCACCTGAAATTCAGAAACAAAGGATAATATTAAGAAAGCAGGGTAAGTTTTTTTTAAAAAGTTTTTCTGGAGTGTCAACTTTCATATATTCCCCAACTTAGAGCCCATAAGTACACAGACATATTGTATACCGACGTTTCAGGTCACAGAGGTTAAACATCGGTGCTTATAAGAACAAAGGGCTTAGGGTTAAAAACACCCGTGTGCTCGAAAATTCGTACATTCCAAAATTAATCCTGACCATGTAATTTATGAAGGACATTATATAAATATAAAAATACATATATGTAATTCATACAGATGATCATTTGCCATGGAGCTAGATATATTGACCAATATTATCGTACGGAGCTCTATGGAATTTGCCAAGCCACCGCGATATGCGCCAGATAACTAGCCACAAAGTCATACGTGACACCCATCAATATTGACGACAAATAGTCAATTACGACATAATAATAAATGGATCGCGATCTATAATAAATTAATTATGACCTAATAATAAATGAATTGCGATCTATAATAAATAAATTGCGATCTTATAATAAATGAATTGCGATCTTTATTCAATGACCTGATAATAAAAAAAAATCCAAAAAGTATTTTTAATAGACAATTATCCCCAAATCATACCCAATGGATGTCTTCATTATGATTTCCTGAACAAAGACACCCATTTTCAAACATTCTGTTTGTAGTCGATTATCTATATAGTTTTTGCGAGATTTGGAAGTAAAAATGTTACATTATTTAGGGAATGTGGTTCTGCGATTTGTGACTTGTATATTAAAAATTCTGAATGTCATTTGGAGTCTTCTTTATGACCCAATATGAACGCTATCTGGTATCGGTAATTCTTAATGTCAATGGGTGAATTCAAATATCACAAATCTGTACTGTAAAGGCGAATTATAAAGACTGTTATTCATCAAAATCTAAAAGTACATTCTCTACTTGTGTTAGTCTCAGACTGCCTAAACCCTTAAAACCCACGAGTAGCTTGTGGCTTTTAATGAAATGAAATGAGGTTTAATGTCCTGCTTTTCTGCCTCCACCAGGCGCTACAACCTACCCTTATTTCGAATTCAAACTGCCTGCAGGGTTTGTTTTTAAGTTTAAACGACAAGGCGCTGTTCCATGTCACGCCCTCCGCCCTGGATTCAGCTCAGCGAGACAGAGCCTTACACTCAATGAGCCACTGCTATTAATAATGAGTGATGAGGTTGTGAAAGGTTCTGTATACAGCGTAATTCCCGCGAAATGCTAGGTGTACCGTGTGCACAGTTGCCTATTATCATATAAGAAATTAACAGTTTCTGTGAAAGGGGGCGTTGCGAAGAGTTTCCTTTAATTCCAAATTCCTTAAAGGTAGGAAATGAAATGAAATGAGGTTTAACGCCCTACTGTTCTGCTCCGAACTGGGCTAACGAAGACGGGCATACGACATATGAGGGAAATTTTGCCCATCCGAACGACTAGATAGCTGTCCTCGTCAGGCCCTCCGTCCTGCATCACTGACAAGGGGGACCCACGCCGGAAAATCTGGATGAACTTTCTCGGCCAATGCAGGAATCGAACATCCGGCCTCCAGGTTAGCGAGCCAGCTTCTTACCCACTTAGCCACCGTGCCCCCTTCCCCGCCCCTTAAAGGTAGGATATCAGTCAACGAAAGTGTTCCCATTACTGCTAAGTCTCTCACAGGCATTCTACAATGTTACCCTGTGATTATTTTATAAGCATACTACATTTACAGATGCTAAAATATGAAGTAATTACTAAAAATAAAAATGAATGCATTATTATAACTTGAGCCTATAAAGCCCCCCACAAGGTTCTGCAAAATGAGTTAAAGGCAATAACTTTGAAAGTAATTAGTATTAAAAGTGTAAATAATCAGTACAGAATTTTAAAAATGGACGTATATTGGTATGAAACCTTTACATTTATTGATAATGGAAAATATACAGACATCGTTTTTTCGTTCTTTGATTTTTATTAAATTTGATCAGTGTAATTTATCAGTGTATTCAAAGAATGAAACTACAAACAATTTCAAACAGATTAGAGTGGATCCCCAAAAAAGCTTTCTGTTATAAAGTAAGCCCAAATTTAAGAACGTGAAAACGTGCATGTTTCAATTCAAATTTAGTTGATTCATGGGTCACATTTCTCATACAAAGATTACGAACCGTACACAGATCATAAGAAAATCAAACATTTGCGTTGATGTAATTACAGATGAAAAATGAGACTAAACACCTTATACGGGACCTTATTTTACTTGTTGATAATAATATATCATGTTTACATGGGAGGCATGCAGGGAGACGTACTGGGTCCTATTCTTTCTTGCACCATAATACAAGAAATCTGACCTCAAAGTACACATAACTGCCATAGCGGTTTATGAATGTGGTAGGTAAAAGGCCAGTATAAAATAGTCATGATAATATAATGGTGATTAAAGGTTAATGGCGATCATTGAAACGAGATAAAAAAAGATTTTAGTAATAATATTACCATTAACCTATTACCAATGATATAAGATAGAATTTGAAGCTGATAGATAAGACTGAATTGGACGAAATTGGGGTTCTGCAGTGCATCAACGACGTCGCCTGGGCGCCGTAGAATTTGCCAGATAAAAGCGCTTCATCTGGCAAGGGCCGCAAGGCAGTCTGCCTACAAGACTGTATGGAAAATCAATCTAATTGCATTTTCCAAGCTATGGAATATAAAATTATAATACATGTACTTAAAAAATCATAACTCATGAAAAAGCAAAATTAGTCTAAAATCATTTCTCTGACAACTTTAGGCTTAAAGGGACAAAACTTTAACAGAAATGATAGCCTGACAAGGACTCTTCCTACCAGCTCTCAAATTTCAATCAATTGATCACCCCCCCCCCTCTCTCTGAATCACTATCTCAGACGCACACGTGTGTTTTCTCACTATTTCGAACCGTTTTAAAAAATTACAGGATGTATGTGCCGGGAGCAGGGTGTGTCATGGTTACGTATACATGATGTCATTTAAACAGCTGTATTTATTAAAGTATTAAATAAAAGTTATAAATGTATTATAGGATATTGACTTGGATCACTTGAAATACCTATTTGTATCGATAAATAACGGCGTTTAAGGGGAATTTAATATCTTCAAAGAAAAACCATGTGTATGTTTATAAAGTTTTTTTGGAAAGGTCAAGTCTCCGGCTACCCCGTGTTAGTAGTTACGGGTGTAAAAATTGGTATTTTGACTTGTTCTACAAGCTATCTTGCACGTTGTTATATTTGATTTAATGATTTCATAAATCTAAATACACAATTCAGATAACATTACTGGATATAGGTTTTAAAGTTTTGACACATGCCTAAATGTATACATGTTACATCGCAGATATACCATAATAAATCTCAGTTTTTTTCTCTCAATGTATAATCAAAGATAAAACATTTGTCTGCCCTTATATCAATATAAAACTCCTTAACTGAAACGCTTGTTATTTGTCTTTTTGTTGATGTCATAAGTGTGTTCGTCATACATGTTTTTTGTTTTGTTCACTTTATTGTACGTGCTATACACAATGTATCTACGGCATTATATTCATTATTTATCTACGGCATTTCTTTTGCTCTATTATATTCATTATTCCATAAGTCTCAATACACCGATTCGGTTCACTACTCACGGCAACTGTATGGCGCGTACAGTGAACGTGGCTTAGGGTTCAGGCGATGTACAAGACAATGCAAAATGGAAGAAGAATACAATTAATCACAGAGCTATTTACAATAACATAACAAAAAAATGAATTTGCCAGATAAAAGCGCTTCATCTGGCAAGGGCCGCAAGGCATTCTGCCTACAAGACTGTATGGAAAATCAATCTAATTGCATTTTCCATGCTATGGAATATAAAATTATAATACATGTACTTAAAAAATCATAACTCATTGAAAAGCAAAATTAGTCTAAAATCATTTCTCTGACAACTTTAGGCTTAAAGGGACAAAACTTTAACAGAAATGATGGCCTGACAAGGACTCTTCCTACCAGCTCTCAAATTTCAATCAATTGATCACCCCCCCCCCCCTCTCTCTCTCTCTGAATCACTATCTCAGACGCACACGTGTGTTTTCTCACTATTTCGAACCGTTTTAAAAAATTACAGGATGTATGTGCCGGGAGCAGGGTGTGTCATGGTTACGTATACATGATGTCATTTAAACAGCTGTATTTATTAAAGTATTAAATAAAAGTTATAAATGTATTATAGGATATTGACTTGGGTCACTTGAAATACCTATTTGTATCGATAAATAACGGCGTTTAAGGGGAATTTAATATCTTCAAAGAAAAACCATGTGTATGTTTATAAAGTTTTTTTGGAAAGGTCAAGTCTCCGGCTACCCCGTGTTAGTAGTTACGGGTGTAAAAATTGGTATTTTGACTTGTTCTACAAGCTATCTTGCACGTTGTTATATTTGATTTAATGATTTTATAAATCTAAATACACAATTCAGATAACATTACTGGATATAGGTTTTAAAGTTTTGACACATGCCTAAATGTATACATGTTACATCGCAGATATACCATAATAAATCTCAGTTTTTTTCTCTCAATGTATAATCAAAGATAAAACATTTGTCTGCCCTTATATCAATAAAAAACTCCTTAACTGAAACGCTTGTTATTTGTCTTTTTGTTGATGTCATAAGTGTGTTCGTCATACATGTTTTTTGTTTTGTTCCCTTTATTGTACGTGCTATACACAATGTATCTACGGCATTATATTCATTATTTATCTACGGCATTTCTTTTGCTCTATTATATTCATTATTCCATTAGTCTCAATACACCGATTCGGTTCACTACTCACGGCAACTGTATGGCGCGTACAGTGAACGTGGCTTAGGGTTCAGGCGATGTACAAGACAATGCAAAATGGAAGAAGAATACAATTAATTACAGAGCTATTTACAATAACATAAAAAA